TACTTATCTGGAATTCATACAATGTACTTTTCTTAGAGAGCTATTTTTTAACAGGTTTTGATTAAACACTAAATTGTGGAACCAAGCTTCCTTGTATCTCCTCTTAAAGCAGTACAAAACAATCACCTAGCAGACTGAGCAAGTAGATTAGTACATCGTAATTATGAGAGATTTGTCTAATGTTTCCAGGTTTTAGAAATTACAAATATGTATTTTATAGTTTTTGTCTTAAAGACATATAGTAGAATTGTAATTTCTCTAATGAGCAAATTCTTCCGGAGTCTACAACTCAATTTTTCTAATTTAGTTTGGGTTTAAATGTGGGTTTTGAATGGCCATCTTGAGAGCCTGATTCTGTTTTCTATCTTTAATGAGCGTCCTCTCAGGAATCCATTTCATACATAGCACACTTTGTGTTCCTGTGCTCTGTTACAGGAAAGCCTCCTTTGGCTGCCCCATTCCATTGGTGCCATCATCCAAGCACTTTTTTTCACACCATTTTCAATACCACCTGGCAGAAATACATGGAGTGTTAACAGAAGAAGAATTATTGATGTCATTTTTCATTTTAGACGCCCCCCCCGCAATAAATATCCACAGTCAATCTTCCCTCATAGAGATTGCAATGTAGATCTTTGTCAGGAAGTCTACCAAAGAAAAAGTGATTACTTTAATTTTTCCAGTTGTCCAGACTTCAGGTGACAATAGGTCAGAAATTTTCAAAGACTCAAGAATTCTTTGAATTTTGCTGTGTTAAATGCTTTAACCGTTTATAACATAAGATAATGCTAAGACAACAGCAGATCCACTGAGAGCAATGAATCAAGTTCCAGGAGCAAGAAGTGATGAGAATCATTAGAAAAGTAGCATACTCATACAGTGACTTGGAAGAAAAAGGCATCTTGAGTAAAGATCTCATGCCAGGCATGTTTTATGAATAGAACCAATAAATCATTTGATAGTCATCTGTTACAGAGTTAGAATAAAAGTTTGGGAAATTGTCATTTCCTGTTCCTTTCAGATTGCACCATCAGGAGTATCTATTGTGCTCCAGTGTAAGAGACTATTTTTGTTTAAGTGATAGCTTGTTTCCTTTAGGTGCCTCCATACAGTGCAAATCCCACCCGGATGTTCTGTCCCAACTTTCTAAGATTTTTTTAGCCCTTTGCCCTTCTCTGCTTTTCTAGTCAGTGTCTCCAATTAGCATGCATATTGCTTCCAGAACGAAGGCAATTCTGATTTATTCTTGTAAATATATTTTTGGATAGGTCTTTTTCTCAGGGACAAATGTGAAACTCCTCTAGCATAATTTGTCTAAATCTATCCGCATTTAGCTTAGTAGACTGACTCTTAAAGCAATGTCTCCTACAAACATTGTAATCCCACAGTTCTCTACCTTCTATCCTGACTCCCCTGTGTCCAGTGCCTTGACCACTGCCTATCAAGCTTGGAACACAGCTCAGAGGTAACTTTTCTATGCCATCTCTTCTTTATACATTATGTGTTCTCCTTCCATTCTTTTCTGACCTTTTCTACAAGTATCTTCTGCATGTTTGGATTTTAGATAGAGTCTCATTATGCCATCTTGGGTGTCCTGGATCTCTCTATACAGAGCAGGCTGTCCTCAAACTCACAGAGGGATCAATGTGCTTGCACCTTCTGAGTGCTCCATTAAAAAAGAAAGCAAAACAAAACAACAGTAACTGTTTCATGAATCATACTCTGCTATGTTTATATGTGTGTTTAGTTAGTGTCAAGGCCATTGTCCAAGGGTCGTTTGATAACTTACTTCCCATCCTGTGTACTAAGCAGAGTGTCTTATAATTTGTAGCCTGTCAAGTTGGTAGAATGAATAAATGTGAATTGTGTGTTCTCAGAAAGTAAATATATGGTATGACCACTTACTTTTCTGTTTTAAGTTGCAAGAGCTGTGACCAAGTTGTAGGATATATAGTTAAAAACATTTTAGAAAATCATTCATCAGACAAGCAAACAAAAGGACACATTTTTGGTTCTCCACACCCACATCTGGTATCTTACTACCTATAACTGTAGTTGGAAAGGACCCAATACTGTCTTCTGGCCTGTACTTCCATGGGTACATCCACAACCATTTAAGCAGCAAATGCATAAACACACAAATAAAATACATGTCTAAAAAGATTTTGAAGTGCTCCTTTAATCTCTGCTCCTGGAAGGCAAAGGAACATGGATCTCTGTGAGTTTGAGGGCAGCCAGGTCTGAAAAGCAAGTTCCAGGACAGTCAGGACTGTTATATAGGGTACCCTGTCTTGGAAAATTTTTTCTTTTAAAGTTGGGAAGTGAAATTTATAGAAAGCTATAGAAATACCTCAAGGGCATAAAATATGATATAATATATTTTTACATAACCTTAGTTGATAATGCTTTCAAGTGTTATACTGGTTATTACAATTTTAAAACTAAATAAGAAGTTCTAGTTAGAGCTACTACAGCTGCAAGCTTTTACTAGTATTTAGTTGGGACATTTTAAAGCCTTTCTCACATCAAGCAGGTCACATGACCCAATGTGCTGAGTATGTGGCTTTTGTTTGAGTGTTAAGTTACTGATTTTGACTGAAGTGAGTTTTTAAAGTTTGAATTGAATATGCAAGCTAAATCATGGTACACTTCTCATGAAGATTACATGTTTGCTGGCACTATTATATTTTTTCCTTCTTGGGCTTAAAGAGGCAAATACTTATATATTGATTCTTATATATTTCTTAAAATACATATTTTATGATAACAAAACCCAGATAATCCAGAACAATGTTAACTTTTTCTATGGTAAACATCTTGTAATTTCATGTCTGCCAAAAACTAGACACTTCTGAAGCCAGGTAAGGTGGCACAAGTCTTTAATTCAAGTCCTTGGAAGGCAGAAGCAGGCGTGTCTCTGAGTTTGACCCCCCTATGGTTTACAAAATGAATTCTAGGAGAGCTGGAGCCCCAGAAAGAAAGAGTTTCTCAAGAAAATAAAAAAAGAAATGTGGGTACTTCTGTGTTTTTAATATTTTCCTGTCATAATTACATAATATTGGTTTATGCTATTTTTATTGAAAGCAGACATTAATGCATGTGCCAATTCTGTATAACTGTATAGAAATAACAATAAATTTTAAGAACCTCCAGAAAAGTAAAAGGCAACATCAACCACACTGCTCAAATAGATTCATAAATCTTGTTTCTCCAACCTGTTGGAATGAGTCTTCCATTGTGTATAATTATAAAGAAACATCTAACTTAGGAAATTTATTTCCTCTGTCTTCAAACTATACGTTAGATTGGTTGAATAAAATGGAACTATAACAGATTAAAAAATTTAAGCCCAAACAAATATCATTGATTTTTTTCCTTTGAGGAAATCATGTGGCTTATGCAACGGTAAAATTTGTGGTAGGTGTATACTGGGCTGTACGTTTACATGGGGCTATTGTGTTCCAATAACCATTTGTATTTTGTCCTAATTGGACACTACATATTATTGCAATTCTCTAGACTAAGGCTTTTCTGTATGTACCAGGTTGTACCAATTAAAGGTAGTTTAAAACTGTTCTATTTGTTTTAAGTTTCTAGCGTAAATAACTATTCAAAGTAGAGTTGTTCGTTCTAAAAGTCCTTTGATAGGACAATGTCTTCCCAGGAAATGCATGGTGTGAAGATGTCCTTGAGGAAGTATCTGGATATCCTGGAGTGCCTCTCACTTTCCTCTCTATCATTAAATCCACCTTTTAATTCTGAACATCATTAGGATTTATATGTCCATTGCTTTCCTTTTCTAATGGATCATTCATTCTTCGGTTATTGCCTTTACCTACTCCTGCTACTAGCCTCCTTACAATATGCATGACTCTACTGAATAAATGTCCCTCATGCCAACCGTGCCATCTTCACACAAATTTTGGAGCCTCTGGAGAATTTCCTTTGCAGCTTTCATTCAGGTCACAAATATCCACAGTAAAGTTGGCAGTCTTTCATGAGTCTTCATTTGAGCAATGTTAATCATTTCAACCTTTCATCCTTCCCCTACTACCCAGTGTTGTGGTAAATGTGATTTTGCTTCTACCTTCTTCCATGTGCAACATTCAACTGTCCAAATGCTGCTCTTCGCCAACATTTCTTCTAATGTTCATTTCCCAGGCTTAGATTTCTCTCAAAGTTGCCATAATACAGGAGATTCCATTCTCGTGTCTCACCACATTTGCTATACGTGATATAACTGAAGTGTTCATCATTGTTAGGTGTGTTTTGTTTGTGTCACCATTACTATATTTTATTGTCACTTCTTTCCCACAAGGCTGTGAACTTCTTGAGCTTTTCTTTTCTGACTTTATAGTGTCCAGTAGGAGAACATACAAATTGCCTGACTACTGCTTGCCAACTGATGTTAATCAAAATCAACAAGTGATTTCAAAGCACATATTTATATTATTAGTTACCTTCATATGTAATCCCTATCTCTAGAGTACTTCAATGCTTTTCACGTGTCAAGCCCTGATTGTTAAAATGCTTGAGTATCAGGATCTCATTTTATACCTTCTAGTTATTTCACTGTCCTATAACATCATAGAGAAATTTGTGAGCGCCGAAGCATTGACTTTTGAGGAAGGAGATAGTTGCTTAAGATACTGACACTTTGTCATCTTGACCTATTCAAAATGCAGATCCAAATTGGAAAGTATATTTTGTCTTGAGGATGTGAGAATTATGAAGAAGCTATTTCCCTAAACAAGTGTTTAAGACGTAGAATGTCAATGTGTATTATTTAAAGTATGTCTGCTAATAACCTTGCTGCTTTCCTTATGTGTGAGAGTGTGCTTTCTTTTCCTTTGTGTTGTGAGAAATCCATTAAAGTAAGTAACAACAGGGAGTCTTGCTACAGCTCTGAGCCAACCATCCAGGACCAGATTTTCTCTATGATATCTTATTCATTATTGTAGAAAGTTGATATTTACACTTTCTTTTCTTTCAAATTCTAGCTCCTCCACAGTTTGTGGTTAGGCCAAGAGATCAGATTGTTGCTCAGGGCCGGACAGTGACATTCCCCTGTGAAACTAAAGGAAATCCACAGCCAGCTGTTTTTTGGCAGAAAGAAGGCAGCCAGGTGAGTGGAGCATAACTGCTTTTCTGACATCTCTGAACCTTGCTTCTCAGCGATCCTCAGAATTTGCCTTGTGTACCCTGCTATCAATGCTCATTGTATGTTGTTTCTAAGAAAGAATTGATTCTAAAATAGCTGGATGTCAAGTGTTCAAACACAGCACTGCCTGTTTGCCAATGTTATTTTGAAAAATCCTGCATCTAACATAAAACAGAAATAAAATAGTTTGAATCACCACCTATACTGATATTTAAAATACCTGATGGCAAATGTCATGCTGCTTTATTGCATTTAGTTGCATGTTATGCTTAAATGAAGTATCTCATAAGAAAGTACCTAGAACAGTCCTTGGCACATAATAAGTGAAGTGGCTTCTTGAAAATTCAATAATAATTGTCACAAAATTCAATTTCAATCTCCCTGTCTTGGACAGTATAAAAAGATCACAAATTTAAGCACACTTACATTGAAAGGCGCAGGAACATTTTTCTTCCTTTTTCCCCTTCTGGATATCTTCATAATAAGATTAGACAGGAAACAGCACATTTTATAAGAGAAACAAATACCTTGTTTTTGCTTTGATTCTTCTGGGCAAAAGCATCTCTCAACGTCTTTCTGAAAACTCAACTGGACACATTAATTTTCTCAAGTAAAACTTGGATCGAATGTGGACTAGTGGTTACCTGCTAGGGCGAGGCAATAGGAATTTCCATCCTGAAGTAGATGAGAATTGAGGAGTCTTAGACTAAGGGCATACCTGCACATTTCTCTTGGAATGAGCTGTGTGTTCATCCTGAAGACACTATAAATAACTCAACAATGCATGTACTTCTCAGCATGCTCACTTGCTATTCCAACTTCTAAAAGGAAATTTGGGGGTAGTAATGGCAGAGCTCTGTATAACAATTGTTGATATTGACATGCTTTCTGAAACCTGCAAGAGATGAATTTCAACTCAGGAGTTCATTTCAGGTTGTTTTTTTATTTTATTTATTTTTATTTTATTTCAGCTATTCGGATATAGAACAGTTTATTTGAGATTGAATTAGAAAACATGGTATAAAGGAACATGCATATTTACTGATTAAAGATAACTGTAAGTTAGGATAATTTCACACATGTAAAAATCATATCCCTAATATAGTTATAAGACAAGTCAAAATGTAAACTGGTAATCTGCCTCAATGAACAGACAGTGTTTAACATAATCATCCATGGTTTTGAAAAGCAACTATCAAGAGAATTTAACTATTCCTACAGTATTGTTTGACAAATTGAAATATAGTTTTAAAGATATTGCCAATGATGTTACAGAAAATTTTTTGTTAGGTATGGTGATTTGTTTATAATATTAGACATAAATTTATTTCTTTCACCAATATCTCCTCCATGGGAATTAAGATAGAATAAGAAAATAAGAATAAAGCTGAATTATTTGAACAAACTGTAAATTTCAAATCAATAAATTGAGATATAACAAAATAATTCCATCTTCCTGCATACAGTATCCAAATTTTACAGTCACCTGTTTCTTTCCATCAATGGAAAGAGCCAAGAGCCTAGACTTAATATTCCATTTTCCTCAATATATGCTGATAATGCCAATTAGTATTAATAGGATGCTCAAACACTAACAGGGCTCTGCAGACTTCCTGGGCTCGGCTTGTAATCCATTTCCTTTTGCCTATGTCACACAACCTGGGAATATAGATGATGGATTAAACTCAATCAAATGCCACTTTCCATGTCAATGAGTCATTTAGAAGGTGGAATGATATTACTCTGAAGAGTAAGAGATTCTGGGGGCAATTAGCCCATCTGATGGATTAGTGCAATGTAAATTAGTATTCTAATGGCTAATTGTTGGAAAGTGCACATTTTGAGTTATTGTATAATTTTCAATAGCCCTTAAATTTTAGGCCCTTCTCTTGTAGATGGTTTATATTGTAATATATTTGGATTCCACAGGAGATTTAGTTTGTTCTCAAATTATTTTTCAAGTGTATGAAAATGCCTAGTGTTGTATAGTAATATAGCTTTGGGATGAGGGCAATAGCATTTTGAAATTATATTGTTGACATGCTAGCAAACATTGCTCCTTTTAGACAGCATTTAATAGCATGGTAATGTTTATGTAAAGCGGGCTTATAGTGTCACACTCGAATCTAATAAAGTGGACATCCATCATGTCGCAATAAAGAGAAGAGCTTCTAATTAAAGTAGGACATCATTTGCTGGATTAAAGTCATTTAGCGTAATTGAAAAGTGTTAATACCCTATTTTATCCTCTTCCACTGGCATTACTTCAAGGGTAAAAATATTTTAAGGTGAAAATGTGTCTTATGCCTTTAATTGAATGTTATTACCTCCTGATTTTAACTTATTGAAATTGTTTAATTACAAACCTGGAAAATTAATTACTATATTGCAAAACAGATCCCAGAGGGTTCTAATGCTCTTTTTTGTAAGTAAATACAACATAAAAATTGATATGTCCTTATTTATAATGCAGCTAGAAGCATACCTCAGTATGATTTATTATATCCACATGTTTTTCTTAATTGAACAACAGTAAAACATCATAGGTCATCCAAATTAATGATCCTGTTCTCACAGGAGAACTTTAAGGTCTTCTGTTTGGGCTGTCTGAGGTGTGTGACAGGCTTTAATGGAGAGGGTGGTGAGCTGTTTTTAAAAGAAAGTAATATTGTGAAGGTCTTAGAGGTTCCATGCCTACTTTCAGAGCCATTCTACAGCTTCTATTATTTTAAATAACTTACTTAACCTTGTTTAAATTGTATTATTTCTTCATAGGTCTTTGGAAAGGTGTATCACTTACAAAGGAAAACTTATCATAGAAACCAAAGTTACCCTTGGTCAGTCTGTAGTATACACAGTTTAGGACCTATTCTGACATATTCAAGTTGGCCAACACCAATGACATTTGGTATTGATTGTCCAGCTTATTAGCTATCTGCCTAATTAACCTTACAGTGCCTGTGAAGTAGGTGATAGGAGTAATATTTTTTCTGCTTATTTTAAAGATGTAGAAACTAAATTTCAAAGCTAAAATATATAACTAGCAAACATCACAGAGTAAATAGTTGATATATAGCTATATTAATGACCCCAATTTTGTCAATAATTTGAAATTTTTTGTGTTGAAATATGATACTGTGGACTACAAAACTGTTAGAATTACATCCAAATCCAACTTGAAACTTAAAAGATCTGAATTTCAAGAAGTACAGATGAGTGTTCCTCCAGCAGGCACATGCTGACCTTGTAGCTCACAGACTAAGTCTAGGAGAACATTTCCCAGTCATTTCTAATGTGGTTCATATAGCTATTTCAATACCATGTGTTTTGAAATCTACAGGTTTGATTTTTCCAACCATCTTCCAATAGTGGTTACAGTGGTTAATGCAGTTTTCCTTGTGAAGGGAGAAACACTGTGGAGACTGTTTTGTTGTTTTGTTTTTTCCCCCACAGAACCTACTTTTTCCAAACCAACCTCAGCAGCCCACTAGCCGTTGTTCGGTGTCCCCCACCGGAGACCTCACCATCACTAACATTCAGCGTTCAGATGCTGGATACTACATCTGCCAGGCCTTAACGGTGGCAGGAAGCATCTTAGCTAAAGCACAGTTAGAGGTCACAGATGGTAAGATTTCATCACTTGACTTTTCTCATGAAAATAATGAGTTATTTCAATATGCATGTTAGGCTTGGGTAGATTTTTGATGTGGTGAATCATTTGCATCAATGCCTATATAATACCTTTGCCTAAGTGGATATATTGTATTAACATAATTACAGCAATAATTGTTAATAGTCTCTAATTCTCTCCAATTTCATACAACCCCCCCCCCCGCAAAGTAGACCCTCAAAGACGGCTATTTAGATCATTAAAGTTGCAGTGGTGGATTATTTTAAACAAATGATATGACTCCTTGTGTTTACAAATGTAATTTGTATGTTTTTGCTGAATGTTTTCCTGGCATGACTGCTTCTAATGGATATTAATACTTTTATTTCACTAGAGGAGTAGGAAATAGCATTTTATCATCAGTGAAATAGAAATGAGATTTTAGTTAACTAATCACATTATGACATTCTTCCAACTTTAATTATCCATTGACTAAGTTAAATTAATTAAATATATTCTGAAGTAGTGATGAATGCTAAAATCTTTACTTTTTTATTTGCACGTATGTACTTTGAATTTTAATTTCTACTAAAATTTGAAAGGGTTCTGATTTTTTTTCACCACTAGTTTATTTATTTCACTTCAGTCCCCTTGGGGGATTTAGACAATGTATGAGCTGTGAGCAGGAATTTCCCCCCTGTCTTTGATGTCTTAAGTTTAAAAATATTTAATTTTATGAGTTTCTGCACTCCTTTTGGCATTTTCTTTTTCTAAATGGTAGTTTCTGAGATACAAGGTCTTTGATTATCATACTCTCATGTTTTCTTACTTTTTACTGGTGAAATTCTCTGTTCTTCCCTTTATTCAAAATTCACAACAGATTAAAAAGCCATTTAAAATGACTAGAAAGACCATATATTTTATTATCTGCCTATTGTAAGTCTCAATTTACCACTGTGTCAGAAATGGTGCATGACTGGGTAGCACAGATAGACACTGTCGAGGGTGATGCTATGAGGCTATGGACTGCACCTACTGATTCTGGGGAGAATTTACTGCTCTGGACCTGAAGGAGAAACCCAGCTCAAGGGTAACAATCATGAGCAAGGCTTCCCTAGATGGCAAATCTTTGATCCTTAGGGCCTTCATAATTCTTTCACCAAATAAGTTAATGATTTTTAAAACTTCTATGTTTTGCACCAATGAAAATGTCTAGACACATATGTTTGGAAAATAAGATATTTGGGCCAAAGAATCCAGTATATTCCTATTGTAAATATATACATAATATATTTATATCTTTAGAAATATCATTAGCTTACAGAAAGTTAATTTCTTCCTTGATTCATCAACTCTTTTTCCTCAAAATTAAAAAAATTTGTGAGTACTCTATGGGTAGAGCCAATAACATTTAAAAGGTCTATATAAATAAACATATTTTACACCTGATGCTGACAATAAATGCCTTTCTGTGTTCTTATCTGAATGTTTTATTAAGGATTTATAACATCTAGTTACAGAGACCACAGAGTTGTTCACAGATGAGTGAAAACCCTAAATATTCATTTAACCTTCGACTTCAGTGTCAGGGAAAAGCTGTGGTCATCTTCCAGACATAACATCCTTGAAGCTGGAATTCCTTCTAGCCAGAAGAGTTTCAATTACCTTATTGATTGGAGTCATGCAAAGGCAATAAACTACTTATTTAGGCAGTGAAACAACGGAGGAGGGGTAAATTCTAATTAGCTGACCTTTAGTTGTGTCTAATGATGTCAGAGGTAAAGCAATAAAAGCTTATAAGAAATTACTAGAATTCTATGTAGCTATTTAACTTAAAACAGATATGACACAACATTTAAAATATTATAAGCATATTTTATTCGGGTAGTGAAGACACATTTTCTCCCTTGAATATAAAATTATTTGTAATGTTTTATGGATTGAATTTAACTTAAAACCCAAACCCGTGTGCCTTTCCATGAAGCTTCCATTTGTCCAGCTACTGCCAGATTTGTTACAATTATTATAATGATATATGCCCTTATTCAATTCAATTGTTTATTTACTTCTAAATATGGGAAAAATTAATAAAACAAGAGGTTGTAATTTTGGTTTGTCACAAGCAGATATGGTTCCTTGTAGAATTTAGTAATTGAGATCATAGATTCAGGTTGCTCAGAAGTCAGAGCATCTTCATATGAATGGACCTTTGTCCTGCTGTTAGTTGCACTGCACTGTTGAATTCCTATCAAATATTTGCATATAGAACACATTTACTGTAATTTAATTAAGATGCACTAGTGTGTCTGTGCATTCATTACATACATATATTTATATATACATCTAGATACACATGAGTGTTTACATATACAATATAGAAACTACAGTATTCAAACTTTTAATAATTAAACAAGAATTTGTGCTGCCTATCCTACTATAGATATTTCCTCTTTAAAAGTTATATTTTTAACTTGATCATATCAGTTTGATTTTGGGGTAATCTGATGAATTTTTAAAGAAACACTACATTCAACTAATTTTGTTTTTCTAACAACTATTTGTTCAATGTGAGACATTAAGATATGTTTTTGGAGCATTTAAAATATTTCTTAAAACAATAAATATTCTGATATAGAATGATGTTCCATAAGTAAAAAAAGCACACTGTGCTAAAACTTTGTGAAATTATGCTGGATGTCAATACTGACTGTGAGTAAAAAATTAAATTTAGTCATGACACGCATTCTAGTTGATGAGTTCATTCTTAGCTATGTGCACCTACTCAATTAACTGGTTCAAATGACATGACTATGCTTTAAAAACTGAATGTCATGATTTTGTTTGTAAATTATTTAAGGTTTAGTGTTTTACTATGCACAAAAATACATCAGTTGATGTAAGCCTAGCATTCAGTATCTGCTATGAATAGTAAGTTATATGAGCCAAATGTATTTATAACAAAAAGCAAAGATGGAGGTTAGGGTTACATGTGATATGTCACATAGATTTTTGAAAAGTGTATTTCTGTGAACAATAAATGAACAATTAATGATTAACAGCTAGAAGCTATGCATATTTTTATTCTAATTTCGGCATGACTAAGCACTTCAGTTCAAGTCAACCTTTCTAAAATGTCAAAATTTATCCTCAAATCATTTTAACTATAATGAATGCACGGTAAGTTAAGACATAATATGGTCTTAGTATAGTATATGTAGATGTATGTTATATATATATGTATATATGGAAACCATATTATAGATATTAAAAAGAGTAAGTACATTATAAATAATATATAGTGCTTTGGATGTTTCCTATTACTATTCAGCATCAATGTATCAAGACAACTGAGTGTCAAAGAATTCTAAATTTCCTTAATATATGTTTACCTTTTAGTTTTGACAGATAGACCTCCACCCATAATTCTGCAAGGACCAATAAACCAAACACTTGCAGTAGATGGTACAGCATTACTGAAATGTAAAGCTACTGGAGACCCTCTTCCTGTAATTAGCTGGCTAAAAGAAGGCTTTACTTTTTTGGGTAGAGATCCAAGAGCAACAATCCAAGAACAAGGAACACTGCAAATTAAGAATTTACGGGTACGTAGGATTCAGCTTGTTGTTGAGTCTTCATCCTATCAATACCAGTGTTCTAAAGAAAACTTGCAGAGTGAACTGAAAAAGTTCGGACATCTCAACATGGTATCTGTACATTTTGATAGGTCATGTTATTTCTTGGTTTAACAATGATTAATTCAAATAATCAGAAAGTCTATCATGTCATTTCACTATTCACAATTTCACACTATACCTAAAATCCTTTTGTGTGGGCATCAATATGTATGTCATTTGTGAAACTAATTTTTTTATGAGACAGGGTTTCTCTGTATTGTTTTGGAGGCTGTCAGTCCAGCCCGGCCTTGAACTCACAGAGATGCACCTGCCCTGCCTCCTGAGTGCTGGGATTAAAGGATGCACCACCACTTCCTGGGTGTGAAATTAATTTTTAACATCACTTATTTTTGTTGTGTATGTGTGTTTGAATGTGTGCATAAGTCTATATTTGCCCTTAGAAATTAGAGGACAACCTCATGTCTTTTTCAAAACTCTTTCATCATGCCATTCCTGTTGACAGAGCAAATGGATAATGGACAGTTTCCCTTGGGACTTGATCTTAGTTAGTAGAGAAAAGTGCCAGGTAACCACTTTTCTCCATCATCCCAATGCTGGGATCACAAATCCACAGCACCATTTTTAGAATGTTTTGTTTTTCGAGACAGGGATAATCTGCGTAGCTTTGGAGCCTGTCCTGGTACTCATGTTGTAGATCTGACTGGCCTCAGACTCACATAGATCCACCTTCTTCTGCTGCCTCTTGAGTTCTGGGATTTAAAGGCATGTGCCACCACCACCCAGCCTCATTTCTAGATGTTTAAGTGAGTTTGGGAATACAACTCAGGTATTAATGCCTGCAAAGCAAGCACTTACTGACTCAGCTCTATATCCAGTATTGGGGTTATATATCTTGAACAGAAAGTTTTGGATAGTAGCAGGCAACAGAAATTGTTTGACAATAATTTTACTACCACTGTCATGGAAGTCTTTGGGGTTATAAGGGTAAACTGGCTCGGCCAATAATTTCATGAAAGAAAAAAAAAATGAGACTATGTTCGTGTTTAGATAGTTGAACAAAGCCCTTAGTTTTTATTCAGGTTGCTACAAATTTTATATTTACACCTCTAGATGAGAACAAGTCCCTGCTTTTTTAACTGAATGCACATGAAGAACAATGTTCTTCAAAATGAGATAAGTTGGATTTACATCAAAGGTTACCAAATACAGTCTGTGATTTGAATGCTGTATTAATTTTCTACTAATGTTTAACAGTAGTGTAAAGCAAGACATCATTATTTTCTCACAGTTTCTGTTAAAAAATTGAATTAAAAAATGACATGACATAGCTAGAAATTCTGCTACATGTGTTGTAGTACTGTGATTAACAGTCAGTTAGGGTTGGGGACTTGCCAGAATACCAAGGGAAGATTGATTTATTTTCAAGAAATGTGGTATGATTGTTGGTTTCCAAGAGTTATTTGAAACAGGAATAGATTAACTATCCACCATCTTCTGAGTGGTAGCTTCCAGGATCTAGATATCTGGGTCTTTCTAATATGACTGCTTGTATCCTCATCGTCAGCCTGAAAGCTGCAAAAAAAAAAAAAGTGAGCATTTCCTTTCGCGGCACTAAAGCTCAGACATGATATCTGTGAACTTTGGGTATGCTACTGACCTGAAACCAGTCTAAAGGTCTGATCACCAAATCAGTGCAGTGAGGGAAAGTGAAAACCTGGGAGCTCTTGTTATGAGGGTTACCTGGCCCCTGCCAGCATAGCCCATTCACTGAACTAATGTTCACTGAACATAGCCCATTATGTATAGTAAAGCTGCCTGCACTGCCACACCTCGCAGATAGGGAGTAGAGCAACATTTTAAAAGTATTCACAGGCCTGGTATTGGAAGCTGGAAGTGAAACAGGTAATATGATAATATGTAAAAATATTGGTAATTATTTAGTGGAAGAACACTTATTAAAGTTTGGCACTGGAACGGGAGCTGGAAACCAAAACAAAGAAAAACAAACAAATAAAAGCTATAACAGAGCCAGCAAGTGAGATGGTTCAGTGGGTGAAGACATCTGACACCATGCCTCATGACATGACTTCAGTACCTAAGATCCACAAAAAGAAAGGAGAGGGGAAAACTGAAGCTTTCAAGGTTCCTATGACCTCCTAACAAGAGCCTTGACATACATATATCATATATATAAAATAGATGATAGACACATATATAATGATATGGTAGATAAATAGATTGAGAGATGATAGATACATAGGTAGGTGACAGATGGATAGATAGATAGATAGATAGATAGATAGATAGATAGATAGATAGATAGATGCTAGATAGAATGAAGATACTACAAGTTAGCTGAATCTTGAAATTTCATATTCAGAAGCCAGGGCATAGAGTAAAATGTTTTGCATTTTCAAGTGAAGATGTTTCTTTTCTTAGGATTCAATATATCTACAATTATGCCTAACACGGTAATTTATCAGTGTACTATACATTTATTTGCAAAATGGAAGACTAATCATAAACTTAAATAAATTTTATATATAATCTTAACATTATTTACAACGAATTGATTCTTCCTCCCTTAAAATATTTTTCTTCCCTCACACATACACACACAGAGACAAATTTAAATCTAGGTTCCACATTTGAGACAAAACATGGAGTAATTTATGAATCTAGCTTATTTTGCTTATCACAATGATTTTAACAATTTTAAAGAGGCTGTCATTTCTTCTATGTATGTTTTTGTCACATTTATTAAAGATTAGGTGGCTGTAGTTGTGTAGGGCAAAATATTGCCAAGTTCTGTCAAAGGAAAATAAATTAACATGGACTCTTTTTTAATATTTTTTAAATTCTTCATGAATTATCTAACTTTCCTTGAACAAAATAAAAGTTATTAACAAATTCATAACAGCTCTCCTTGCATAAACATTTTAACCTCATTCTGAGATAAAGGCATACTTAGGTCATGAAGGTTAATGCTTTTTTACTGTATTGTTGCATTAAAGGACATGTGTGCATGGACAGTCAAAATCCCTAGGAGTGTTAGAGAGAAATAATTAAAGGTAGATGTTTGATGATGTCAAACAAGCTTTGACTCCTTGCACAGGTCTTTAAGTCCTGTCTCTGAGATGCCATCCCCAGGAGGCTTGTTTGTAGCTAACTGCCCAAGGAGAAAAGGGGTGACAGAGTGTGCTAACCTATTCATTTCCTTTTAAAGAAATTGGTCAAGGATGAAAGGATAAGGAGAGAAAGAAAGTGAAGCACTCTTGATCAGAAACGTCCTATCTAAAGTTAAAGCACAAAGAACGAACATGGTGATGGTGATCATAGCAACACAAAAGTGAGACTCAGAAGCTATTTGGGCTTTTGATCGGTTCCAAATTGAGCACATTGTTCTTTTTCTGTACAATGGATGCTGCTAAAGGAGGATTAAGACAGGCTTTACCACTTCACTGGTGTAGTCGAGAGGTTTTCTATAGGTCAGATCCTTTGTGTCTCATGATTTCTTTTTCAGTGCACCAGGCAAGAGAACAAAATAACATGATGGATGCTAAGTTCTCCTAGTCCAGCTAATTGGTATCTGAATCTGTATCTTTTGAGAAGTTGAATATTCCAATACTCATTAAAACCTACCTACCACAGCTAATGTCAGGCTCATATCTCCACACAATGACAAGGGGATGCAGTTAAGATACATTACCTACATACGGTTCTTTTTACAGAGAATAGCAAGTGCTACATTTTAGTTCAACAGCTATAATAAAATGCAAATTCTTTTACACGTTCACAGTCCATATTCAAATGAACATCCCATTAAAATCCAACTTCAGCTCATTATATTTAGCTTGTGAGTGATGCTTCTTAAATGCAAAGATTCCTAATGACTATAATGCACTTGAAGCCACATTTGAAAGGATGGCTTATTCCACAATGGCTACTCCCATAATCCCCACAAGAGAGAAGACAATTGTACTGAGATAATATAGAAAAGAGTGACAAGCTAGAGCAATTTCAAACTTTAGTTAAATACATAGTGACATTAAAATCAGTTAAAATGGTAATATGGCAGTAACTTCATATACTAATGATTTATCTGAAAATCAATAAGGACTCTGAGTCATGGTTTAATTTTGATCCTAAAGGTGTAGTATCCTATAATTTCCCATATTTTATGAACAGACTCATGCTCATCATAGAATTCACATTGTTCATCTTTTGCTTGCCTTAAGCTCTCTTCTTTGGCATTTACTCACATATACTTTTTCTAACCCACTGCCAGTAAATGTTGGTATTACAAACACCTAGAACTCAAACACCAGGAGGAGCTTTGAGTCTCATGTTTTATTGATCTTATTGATCTTTGGAGGCTTTTGTCAAGATTTTCTTTTCTGTCTTCTATTTTCTTACTTTTCCATTTGTAAAAGGCAACTTTTAATCATATTTTCAACAATCCTAAAAGTCCTTGATCTTCAATGAGCAACAAAGATACTTTAAATGATCAATGAATTTGGATATTTTAAGGGTGTTTAAACAAGGAGCTGCATATTTGGTTCTGATTGTGATTATTTTGAAATGACAAGGCTCTGTGGCCATTTTTTTCCTTTAGTTTTATGTGTTGAGATTATCCAACTTTGTCATTTGATTCTACTCTGATGTCATTTACTTGTGATTAGAGAATGCATTCATTCCTTAAGTGAAAAAGAATGTTTTGAATGTTTGGCTTCTCAGAGGTGTGGATCTGTCATTGTCTATTTAGGCCTAAGTACTTTTATCTATTTGAAATATATATTCTTTGAGAAAAAAAAGCCTACATTGCATTTATGAGGCATTGCATTCATGTAGAATTCTACATGAAATCTAATTTGGCTTACTTATCTGATACTGACACAATGAAATCCCACGAAAAAATGAAGTCAAAAGGCAAATATTACAGTGGAGTAGGGATACTTAATAACTTCATTATACAAATTATATTTTGTTGTCTAAATATCCTTTTGTAAAACTTTTAATCAGTCTTGAAACAAATGTTGCTTTAGTGCCACACACACACACACACACACACACACACACACTCACAATTGACTGTAGTTCATGATTAAGACTGAGTGATTACAAGATGATCACAAGTGAATTCTTTCTTTCCATGTGTGCTAGATTTCTGATACTGGTACTTATACTTGTGTGGCTACAAGTTCAAGTGGGGAGACTTCCTGGAGTGCAGTGCTGGATGTAACAGGTGAGTTTCTAATAACAGTCATATTTAAGTAACAAGGCGATGGTGGATCAAGTTTTTAACATGGATTTTTGGATGTAAATCTAAATTGCCCCATTCAATGTCAATTTTGAATTTGAACGTTAGTTGGCATGTAGCATGGCATCTGGTAAACTTCATGCACTTGTAATTCATACCCTTGTTGTTTGATTTCTTCTGAAATGCAAGTGATTACACTGATTATTAGCATGTTGGAAAATCAGCTAATAGCTTACAACCATCTGATTTATGAAGATGAATTGCACACTGTCAAGTCATTTTTTTTAATGATTTTTTTCTTTCAAGGATTATTTTCTGCTTAGAAAATCAGGAATGAGGTTTACTCTGTCTGTCCTCTACAGAATTGGGAGCCACCATCAGTAAAAATTATGATATAAATGACCTGCCAGGGCCACCATCCAAACCACAGGTCACTGATGTTACTAAGAACAGTGTTACCTTATCCTGGCAACCAGGTACACCTGGAGTTCTTCCTGCAAGTGCATATATCATTGAGGCTTTCAGGTATGAGGCAATTCCTGTTTCCTATCTCCATTGGACTTTTGTCCTAGTTACCATATCTCCAATTTCGCCTGAGCAACCCTGATTGATGCCTTATATTAAGGACAAGTTCATATACTTTCAGAATTTCTACTTATTTTTACTTTATTCAAAATCAGATATAAAATTTTATGTATCATCCAATAAGAAGATTAAAAAATAAAATTCATTGTCTGTTCCTATGTCTGTAAAGAGATATTTTCTAGCATAATTGCTCCATCTTTTTTTCACCTGACCATTGCAGATACAATCAAAACACATTTCCTTTTACCTATACTCTATACATACCCATCTCCTATTTTTTGTATTCTCTCAGACACCTTCAAATATTTTAACTTTTTTCCATATACACATAAATATATACATGAACATTAGAGGATATTTGAGAGAGAAATGTAGCTTTTTTTTCTTAGTTTGAGTCACCTTTCTTAATAATATACTTTCCAGATCCATACATTTACTGGTGACTTCATGATTTCATTTTTCTTATAGCTGAGTAAAACTCCATGCATATAAGTATGACATTAGGACATTATATCTAGACAGGACACCCCATAACCAGTGTATTAAAGTTATACAGTGTATATTGACACACTTGGTTTGGGACCATTATTCCTAATTATTAGATCACAAATATAAAATAATCCCAATATTTTTGATACTGTCTTCTTGAATAAATCTATTGGCTGTGTTTTCAAAAAAATTGAAAACTAAAGTTAAGAAATCAATTCCATGTGCTACTATTTATTGAATGAAAAGACATTTCAATATGTTATGTGAAATAGTTTTCCTGACTACAGAGGTGTGGTTGATGAATCATTGCCTTTTATTCCATTGTTTCGTCTAACTTACTAAAGTACAAATAGATAAGGCACATACCGTATTTTTCAGTTTCACTGTGCTTTCGTTTGATGTTGTACAGTTTGAAAGACAGCCATTGTCCTTTATCAACATCAGGACACTTTATGTGTTAAGCTTTTCTGTTCTACTTTTAAGTTAATAACAGATACATATTTTCTTTTTTTAGAAATTAGATTATAGTTTAATGTGTTGACATTATTATTATTATTATTTTATTATTTTTTATTTTTATGTTTAAATTTAGATTAGAAACATGGTTGGTTCACAAGTCAGTTCCAGGTCCCTCTCCCTTTCCCTCCCCTCCTCCCGTGCCCTCTCCCCAACTCTCCCATTATCCCCTCATTTCCCCAGGGAGGGTGAGGACCTCCATGGGGGTGTCCATAGTCTGTCATTTCATCCAGGGCAGGGCCTAGACCCTCCCCACAAGAGTTCAGGGTGAGAGTGCACCTCACATTGTTGGATGGGAGTCCAAAGTCCATGCGTATACTCTGGATGTATACTGCCAAGGCTCAATAGATTACCTAGGCCTCCTCACTGACACCCACATTCAGGGCAGATACATATTTTCAAACTGTAGTTTGATTTTTTTAAGGATGTTGCTCGATGCTAAAAAACAATAAAGACCTGAAAAGAAATAATGTTTTCTTATTTTTTTAGCAAAATTGTATTTGCCCTTGAGTGCAGTGTTCTAAAATGGCATGCATTTGTAGCTAGTTGTAGGAGGGTCCATACACAAAATCTGGTACTTCATCATTTAGAAATGAGAGCTCACAATACTATGTAATGTTCAACTTTATTTAAAGTGTGACCGGGGAAAATATTCATTACATGCTTCCTTTCTTCTTTTACAGATATGTAGTTTTAGAAGGCTCTATTATAAAATTGCATGTGGGATTGATGCAAAAGAAAACACACCTGGTTACAGGAAAATGTATTGGCATAAATTACTCTGTAGCCCATTTAGTCTTTCTGCAGGTTAATTCTTTGCAAGGTATATACATATGCATTCATGAGGACCATATTTATTGTATAAACTTGATGTTGTGATTTTTGGCCTCTGTTCCTTTTACAGGTATTCATTTAGTGGGCTGCTGTGCATTTAGCAAAGGGGTGTCACATCTTCTGGGCTGAGTTTAATTTTGTTGTGCATGGCACTCCGTTAGGTGGGCTCAGCTTTCTTGTAGAATAAAATGAATTCATCCAAGTGTTTCATTATTGGGCTGAACCCTTCAAGTGTTATGTGTGTGTTTTTGTGTGTGTGTGTGTTTAACTTTCAGCCATTGACCTTTGTCATTGACACTCAATTCCATTTGATATAGTGTTATGAATAGTGTTCAAATCTGTTTCTGTTCCCTTTTCAGCCAGTCAGTGAGCAATAGCTGGCAGACAGTGGCAAACCATGTTAAGACAACTCTCTATACTGTAAGAGGGTTGAGACCCAATACAATCTACTTGTTCATGGTCAGAGCGATCAACCCCCAAGGACTCAGTGACCCAAGTCCTATGTCAGATCCTGTACGGACACAAGGTAACTTCAGTAGCTGTTAAAAATGATGGCATTGGGATGGTATATCAATGTAAACCATGATCAAAGAGAAAGTGTACTTGCTAATTGTTCATGATTCTCTGGGTTTTGTCCCTGAAAGTAAATTTTTTCAAATTTTCAAAGAACCTTGCTATGAAATGTCTTTTCAAGGCTCTCAGGATCTATGAAGGTAAAATAAACAAACAGTTGGATACATGTGTAGTAAATGAGAGTCCCTGAATGAAGAAGAAAAAATTTCTCCTTCTCTTTTATACAACAGAAAAATTAATAAAACCTTTAAAAAACATGCCCAAACAACAGTGTCAGAATTATTTTTCCTCTTTCTGGGTTTTGCTTGGTTTTTGCATTTTCCCCTGGAAAATGGCATTCCCAGTGTGGATTTTGAGTAGGAGTATAGTATCAGTGACCCAGAATCTACTAGACACGTGCTTTTAAAAGGCTTTGAGTCCAAAGATGGGGTGTACTCAGGGGCCTGAGTTAGACTAGCATGCTTTCTATGTGGTATGGTGTCAATGTTTAACAACCAGCCCCTTATTGTTTTCCTAATTTCAAAGAGGTACTTATTTCAGAAAATAACAAATAAACGTTTCTTCTTGGCACAGGTGACTTTTTGGGCTAACATACCACCATGTCTCCTATAATATTCCAATGATTCATTTCAAAATGGATGTTTTCTTCTCCTTGTTCGTACCCTGTCCTTTGCTACTGAGAAGTCACTAAAATGCAGGTTTAATACAGAATGCTATATTATCCTTTTCCATCCTACTAGTAAGAGAAGGAGTTAGTACAAAAGAAAATGGGGACCCTATTGTTTGTTACAACCTACTCCCTACAGGGTTCTTGAGAGGGTTAATTATTTCTTATTTGTAAGAGCTTTTGAACGAGATATAATTCAGAGTAGTATTTTTATGCTATGAAAAGCACCATGCAGCCATAAAATATTATTATAATTATAATGTAGTTCAGGGGTAGTGACTAGCATGCCATTATCACAGAGAAGGGTGCGGTAAAGGAATGAAATCAGATAAAGTCACCACGTGATGGCAACGTGGCTGACATGATGACAGTTGAGGGAGGAGGGGATGATGCTTCGCTTTTGTTCTCTCCACCATAGTGTGCTTAATTTTCCATGATGATGAAGGGTGTGTAGGTAAAGGACCTGTCTCCAGAGAGAGAGAAAGCACAACAAAGACAACGAGGACCTGAAAGTAGTTGCATTTTACCTCATCCCTACGCAGTTGCTTTTCACGTGTCTGGGTTGAATGGGTAAATTAAATGACTGACTGTGAAATGGAAGAAACTTGTAATTTTATCTTAAGTCAAGAAATTTGAGAATGTATATTAGCTCCACCCCTGTGGCTAGAGGTCATTGTGCATGCAGCTGCAATTTGAGGTAGAGAAACAAGGTTGGAGATCGTCTGGTATGACAGAGGGTAGCACAAATTCATGATCTTCACTAACTGTGTTGGTCACTAAATCTTGACTCAGAGTAAAATTCTCAGTGAAAAGGTCAACAAAGATTAATGAAGGTTTTTGTGATCTGACTTGTTCCAGCTGAGAAACTTCAAAGAGCTGAAGACCTATATTCTCTTAACAGATACTTAATAGGAAAAAACATGTTTTGTGTCTGAATGTCAGACTGATTTTTGATGTCACATATTCAGCTGTTTGGCAATCTGCAAAGCACTCCTTTTCAAAGAACACATTAGCTTTTGAGGTCTGAGTTTTCAAAGGCGTTAATGGCTATGTACTTTGAAAATCGTTTACTTCATTAAACCTCGTAAATACTTTTAGGTAAACATCACAGTAGACCATACATATATCAGCAAAGGTTAATAGTATTCAGATAAAGAAACATATTATTCTAAATCAATTCAAGTTTTACTTTGTTGAAAAAAGTAGAAATTAAAGAAAATCACATTACATGGCTCCTAATTATTTATGTTCCACTCTAAGTTAGCATGCTCAAGTTATACCTCAAACTTTGCAAGAACATTACATTACAAACTGAGGAAAGGGCAGTAGAAACTAAGAAAATAAACCATTTGGACATCCTACTTTAAATCAAATAGTTTTAGGAAAAACATTATGTTGACATTAAAATGTGTTGATTAAAGATCTCTATTTCCATATGTGTAACATATAATGTTTGAGATCAAATTGATGGGTTTGAATGCATGTAATTTTTAATTGTTCTCATAAAGGCTTCAAGATGTATATTTTATTATTGTTTGGAGTAATAGAACACTTTTTAAGCAAATGAGGTAAAAGGAAACCATAATTTAAGAGTAATTATGTAGCATTCAAGGAATCATTATCTATTTCCTTACTTTCTCTTTTGTTCCACCAAAGAAGCTATATGATCTCTTTTTAGATGATGGAATTCTGACAGAAACTGAATATTTGGGGAGCATTTTACCACTATTATGAGTTTTTCAATATTGTGAAATAATCTTTTGTGTTATTCTCATTCTCACTCTGTGTTCCCTTAATGGCTGAGTTCACATCCTCAGGCTCTCATTTTTCTCAGTCTATGACTCAAACGAAAATAGGTCAAGGAATAGGAAAAAATACAACCTTCTGATCAGACCAAGAGACTGAAAAAAAGACTATCATGTTCAGTTTCAGATGTCTTAAAATAAATCTTGAAAATGTTTCATTACCCTATCATCTATATAGAAATGATCATTCTAGACAAGTTATTAGGGCACAGATTCTAGGGCACAAACTCATAATCTGGTGATCTTCTAGAACAATACATCTATGTGGAGATGCAGAGTTTCAAAGACTCATTTGTAAATAGAAATTTTTGTTTCAGAAAAACATAACAAATATTCTGTACCATTATGAACTCTATACACACACATCCACTCATTTTTATATACATGTGTCTTGCATGCAAGGTTGATTTATATCATGAGACATTTTAATTCTTCTGGCAGTTAGTTCTAAATTGGATCAAATGCACTGGAATTTAATAATAAATTTTGAAATTAGGAATGGTTTTCTCCTTAACTACAGATATCAGTCCCCCAGCACAAGGAGTGGACCACAGACAAGTACAGAAAGAATTAGGAGATGTCATTGTTCGTCTCCATACTCCAGTTGTCCTGACGCCTACAACCGTTCAAGTCACGTGGACAGTAAGTTTTCAGAGATTATATTCATATCTACGTACAACAACAAAATGTATTTAGAATTTTTAAGGAAAAATGTAAATAACTGCAAAACTACGTTTAAAACACCATTTCAAATCAAGGTGTGATCAATGAAAAGCAAAGAAAATATTCAATGTATGAAAGTGTCTGAAGAGTATTAAGTAGAAATAATTTGTAATAAGCCTTGCTATCCTTCTAAGAGATTTGCTAAACTGCAGTTTACATGACAAAATTGTAGGGGACATAAATACTTTTAGCATGATTACTGTTCTGAGATCATCACCAAAATCAAATTTTAGAATGGTAAAAATCACCCCAGAAAGAGACCCTGTGACTATTAGTGACCATTCTCTTTTATACTCATGCTTACACCTCTTCACCCAATAAATGATACACTGCTACAGATTTGTATATAATGGCATGTTGCTGTGTAGAGAATCACAGAATTCATTTTGTATTTGGATTCATTCATCAACTCAACATTGTTGAATATCACTTATGTTATAATAGGCATTAGTACTTTATTCCTTTTAGTGTACATATATAAAATCTGTTCCATCTAACTTTTCAATATGAAGTAGTCATTAATAGTATTTTGTTTGGTGCACAGCCCATGTTCTCCTTTTATACCTTACTTGGTAAATCCTTGAAATGTTTAATTTTCTTGTCTACTATGAATAATGTCTCCACAACTATTTGTGGATAGTTTTTAATGTAGCGATTTCATTCAACTTTAGCATATTCCTGAGGATTTTTGATCAGTGTGTTAACTTGACACTTGGCATTTTCTTGTACTTGCTAAATATTTTCTAAGTATTTATATATACTAGCTAGTAAAGTCATAGTGTACAGGTCTCTTCCAAATCCTTTTCAGTTCTCTCCCATTCAAAAACACTTAACATTCTCAGTGTTTTAGGTTACACCATTCCAATTGGTAAGCACTGATGAATCATGATTCCAACTTTCTTTCATTTAATTACTAGTGATGATATATTTATCTGTATGTATCTGTGATCATTGTTTTGGAAATAGCTAAATAAGTTTTAAAAACTAAACTCCTTTTTATCTCTTGGCATCCATATCATTGTAGAGAAACAATTCTATCACACTTTACACCAACTTTCTCGATTAATCAGATTTAAACCAAAACTATTTACTTTTATCATTTACTTAGTAAAAGTATTTTAGATGTAAAACAAAGTACAAAACAATATTAATTACTTTTAACAAGTCCTGTTCTAGCCAATTTTGTATTAAAAGTATATTTCAGACCCTTAGTACCACTATAGGGTCACAATCCAGTTTTAAAAGGCGACACACTGGTAAAGGCAATAAAATGCTGCACATAATCACAAAATGTTTCAGTCACATAGGTGTTTAATTGTATCAGACCCCCAAAATATCAATGTGTTAGTTTAATATACAGCTTGATTGATAATTATGGAGGCAACATATCTTAGAACAGGAAGCATTAAATAATATTTAAATACTATTTAGTCAAGTAACAATTGTTTTTATAAAAGAACACTTGTAATTTGGAAAAGTGAAAGAGAGAGAAAGACACCATGTGACAGGGTTCAAACAGAGGGCCTTTTTTACTAGGGAAAGTGATCATAAAAAGGGGAAAAGGGAAGGGGGAAACCTGTCTCTGGAGACAGGAGAAAGGAAAGAGGGGAAGAGAGAGGAACAGAGGGAGAGAGAGAGGGGAACAGAGATAGGGAGAGAAAGAAAAAGAGAAGGATGGGAGGTGGGCAGGACCCTTTAAAAAGGGAACAAAGTGAATGTGCACAGGTGGTACTCTTAGTGGCTGAAGCTGAGGGTATATCCTGTCAGAACCCCAAGGGCAGGCCACTGCAGATGCCTGAATACTAACATACACAAATATAGACAGGTGTATAAATTGCTTAAATTATTTCACCTACACAAGTTTAGCATCAGGTGTGCTAGGTTGTGAGGACAAGAATACTTTAATTCCTGTTTAGTGTTAAGGCCACCTGATGTGACTCACAATGACCTTCAGGTGTCAACCAAAAAAATGTACTGAAAAAATCCATTCACCTCTCAAAGACTAATGTTAATGCTAAATAAATAATAGTGGCTATTTGGTAAAACTTACCAGTGATATGAGGATAGATGAAAATGGTTTTAAAAACTTTTCTACAGATGAAGTAGCAATAAATTACTTGTTTTGAAAAAAATGATGATTTTAGGGTGGTGGTGTTGTGGTTCAAGGAAAAAGAAAGAATTAGAAACCCTCTGTTTAGCACCATGACACTTGTCCGACCATGATTGCTTTTGCAAAGTCGATTTTCAGAACCCCACTAAAACACATACAGCATTTAGCAGTTGGCTCAGCAAAGAAAATTCTTTAGGATTTCCTGTTCAGGTGTAGGATTTTGTTTTCATTTTTTATGAAGCTGTATACAGTGAACACAGCTTTTGTCAGATCAGTAAAAATGTGGGTTTGAAAGCACACTATTCCTTCTTTCTTAGTATGCCTTTTTATTTTTTTTCTGACAAAGATACACAGTCAATGCTCATCTCCACAGACTACAGGGTGCATTCACTTAAAGTCATGATTTTACTGTTTCCTGCCCCTGTGATATGTGGTATCTGCAGAAAGTAAGCATTTATAAGCTCATAAAGTTAAACAGGTGAAGGTGGAAATCAAATCCTGTGACAAGACTGGAAGTCTAGAGTTCTCTACGTCTCTCTACTTTCTCCTAAAGGCAAATACTTTATCAATGCATCAAAAGTGCTACTCTTTTAGATGTAGGAATTTAAACCCGGAAATTTGTTATTGGCCTTTGATTAGAATAAGTACTAGGAGTACACCCTGTCTATTATTAAAATTAGTAAAAAGCATAAGACATAACTTGGAAGTGATGATTAACATGAGCCAGAGTGAGTGCTCTAGAGACTCGACTCACTCAATGCTCATCAGATTTTAAAGTCAACTTTCAGCATTTCTCTTCTTGCTTTCACCTGTAATAACATTTTTCCTTCTTCTAAGCAGTGCCTCCCAACTGCACAAAATTAAGTTAAACTCTTGTTATTAAGTAGACCATTACTATCCACTGGTTGATGGCAGTGCTCACTGGAGTGAGAGAGCAATGCTGTGTAGTAAACATTAGCTTCACAAAGTACCTAAAACACTTAATTAATGAAATCCAAACATGGGTAAAACCAATTTGCCCTGATTTACAGACTCCCTTCATCTCCAAACAGCTGCTTAATGTTCTTCTTAAAAACACAGCTTGCTTCTTTCAGTATTAACAAGCTATTATTGTGAGTTATGTCTTTCTTTCAGTATATAAATTCACTTAAAGGGAATTCAGAGAAGTTTATAAAATGTAAGCTTAATGTTGTTTTAACATACGCAGCAAGGATTTTTTTAACTGTGGCAGTTTTGATGAAAGGCAATTCTCTCTGGTTCTCATGAATTTAAATTTTCTTCCTCGGTTGCCTAATTTTATGTTAGAGCAACTTCTACTTTCAAATTTACACCAGTTTGTTACAAATACAAATTAGTAGCATAGCTGAGCAGTCTAAGGCCATGCATGGGGCTCCATGTCAGACCTGAGCTTAATTTTTTTCTTGATGTAGCCCCATAAAAGTGTGACTCTAATTCCAGAGGATTTTTGTGGGTTAAAATCTGTCAAGTAAAAGAAGGAATTCCTAAGTTTTGAGTTCATCTATCAGCCAAAGATTTGCTTGTAAGAAACACATGCATTTTAAGGACTCTAGATTTAAAATAGCCTTTCTCTAATGAGAAAACTATTCCTTTGTTCTATTTTAATTGCTCTGTTTTAATTGAAGTTTTCCAATTTTTTTACTTTATGAAAACAGTAATGTGATCTATTATTCATCAATTTGTCATTTTTATCAAAAATATGCCATCAAAAACTAAACAATAAAGGTTAGAAGCTACTATATAAAAGAAAACCCTTTTGTTTATAGCATGCTGATAATTGAATTTTAAGCCCTAGTAAAAACTCATATTCTTTTTTAATTTCTCCACAACTATCTTAAAATGAGGTCATTTCTTTTCTCGTTCACTAATCTTTACACTTCCACAATGAAATGTCTGGCTTTTGATCCTGAGAATGTGGCCACTAAGCTGTAGTATGGTTTATTGACTGGAGAAGCAGCTACAGTAGTTTATGTTCAAATCATGCATTCATAAAGCAAGGTAAAACAGTAAAATGATTTGACATTCTTTTTTTGTTATTATTGTTAAAACCTAAAAGGCATTTCTCCCTGTAATTGAAGCAACCATAAAACCTCTCAGGAGAGCAGCAGCTGAGACAGCTTGTACAAATCTTGTGCAAGACCAAGTCAAAACAAATCCCAACATGGAGACAGAGATTGGGCACACAATTCCACCCCAAACCGTGGAGTTATTGGCAATTGCTAGCAGCTGTGAAAGAGAGAGAAGCGAGAGTTTTGTGTTTGAGAGTATATAGGCATTGATAAGTTGACCAAGCTCTGGTAGAAGGCCATACATCTAAGTTTATTTGGGCAGCACAAATTTGTCTTGGAGGATTTAAAAAAGAAAGGTACATAGTATTGAATAGGAAGGGAAGGGATGTGAGTCCAGGAAAAGTTGGGGGAGGTGTCAATATGACTAAAACGTGTATGACACTCTCAGACTTGAAAATGTTTCTCTTCAAAAGAGACGGAATGAGGGGGAGGGTATGCCACAGTTGGTGCTCTCCTGGCACTATTCCTAGCAGCCCTTGGTATCTCTCAATGGTCTGGAATTTGCCAAATGGACTGTACTGGCTGGCCAATGAGTGCCACGGTCTCCCCTCCCCAAGGCTAAGAATGCATCAGCAAAACTTGGCTTTTGTTGTATTTGTATTAATGTGGGTTCTAGACTCAAATTCAAGTTTTCAAGCTTGCATGGATGGCAGTTCTCCAACTGAGCTGTCACCCAAGTATAATAAAGTAAAAAGAGGATTTTAATATTCAAACTCAAAATCTCAGACTTATATTACTATAGGGAAAGACATGGAAGTTGTCAGAACCAGTAGACTGGGAATAACTAGAGGAGAATGAGACTGCAGAAATGATGCAATTTGAGTTAAATACTGTTAACAGGGTAGAGCCATCTTTAAAGTACATGATGGCTCTATGCTATTAACAGTATTTAACTCAAATTGCATCATTTCTGCAGTCTTAGTGTCTCCTGCAGCTTATCCAGATACTGGGATATAAGCATTCTTATCCTTTGCTTTGTCTCTTGAGTGATGTCCACTCTTCATTTAGATTTTCTGCCCTTTAACTCAGCTTCCTCTCCCCTCTAGGTTTTCATAATTCCCAGTGGGTCACCTTCACATTGTTTATGCTTATCTGTTGTGGTAAATTTACAAGTGTTTGAGTAATTATTTACCAATGCCCATCTTCCACATAGACTGTAAGAAGGATTAGGACTCATTCTTCATTGTCCATTTTCACACTCAGAAGTCAGCAGAGTTCTTGGCACCTATCAGTAAGAACAACAACAAAATTTCTAGATGAGAAGGTATCAGTGAGTTAATGTTAACTAAAAGGTATACTATTTATGAAACCAGAAAAATGGGGATTGTTGAATGCAAGAAAAGAGAAAGTGCAAGGGAATTGAAACTTGATAAGCTGGAACCTTAGTAGATCATGTTTGGCTAGCTTAGATATTGCAAGATATATTCAGACGAGGAAATGATTGGTCTACTCATCATTTAAAAAATATTTTAAAATAACAGTGTGTACTTGCAATTGAATGACATTATTAGAGGCAGGGATATGAATGAGAAGCTACTAGCATCATTCAGATAGCCATGACCAGGGCAGAGATGGGCAAATTCCTCAGTGACATCTTCCCTGTTTCTATCAATCATCCTGTGCTGTTTTTCAGGTGGATCGGCAACCCCAGTTTATTCAGGGATACAGAGTGATGTATCGTCAGACTTCTGGCCTACAAGCTTCAACTTTGTGGCAGAATTTAGATGCCAAAGTTCCCACTGAGAGGAGTGCTGTCCTAGTGAATCTGAAAAAGGGGGTGACTTATGAAATTAAAGTCAGACCTTATTTTAATGAGTTCCAAGGCATGGACAGTGAATCAAAAACAGTCCGTACTACTGAGGAAGGTCAGTAAAGGTTTTGAGTGTAAAGCAAACTTTTGTTTAAGTCATTTTCTTTTATAGTTCTTACTTGTGATAATTGGAGGACCAGAAAAAGATCATCTAAGAGTGAGTCTAGGGAGTATAAGTAAAAATATAGAAGGTGAGAGAGGGTGTGTGTGTGTGTGTGTGTGTGTGTGTGTGTGTGTGTGTGTGTGTGACAAAAGGACCAAAGGGAAATAAAAGGAAAATGAAAAAATCAGAATCTAATATTTTCTTACACCTTGGAAATAAACCTGTTTCAGGACATTTGAACTGATCATAATATACTCCTGTATTTTAATGAGAATCTATCTAATTTATGTTCACAAGACATTCAAAGACACAGAACAGACATATGCATGGTGATCTCTGTTTGGGGATATAGCCAAGGTTAACATCTATCAGTTCATTTTCTTTGTACAAACTGTCAGTCGGGGCCATGATTTCTCCTTTGGAAGGCCGTTTGCACATTTGCTGTAGGCATCTTCTTAGAAGATTTTCACCACCCCACCCCATATTTGGAACAACTTTTACCCACCGATACTTTAAAGTCAACCCATGGTGACACTAAGATGCATATAGATTTTTAGCTAGTCTTTACATTCAGTACATGAAAGGTTTTAGTATATGCTGCCCTCAAATAAAAAGGCAAAGGAGAACACAAGAATTCTCACCCTCCCCCAATTCAGCTTGTGGATGGAATTTGTGGGCACACTTCCTATGAAAGTCTTTACTCTGAAAATGCTTTTTGTCAAAGGATACAAGAAACAGCCTTTTGAAAGCACTACAAATGCTAACAGACAGATGTCCACACTCAACCAAATTGCTTTAAAGTCACACATTTCCTGTAGCAAAAAATAAAAAACATTAACTTTACATTGGTTTGCTTTGAAATCTATCAACATGGAAAAAGTGAATATATTTGAAGTGATACTACTTTTAGGAAATAAAAAAACAATAAAAATACTAGCATTATTAATATTTTTATACTCTACTAAACTTGACCTCTGCTGAACACTTGTCCCACTGGTGAGTGGAGAAAATAGTTATAATTTAGGATTATTTTAAGTCTTGTTCCAAAAATCAGTTTCACTGTGGAGAACTTTTCCTTTGGATTAGACATTTGCCAACATTTGGTCTGCCTTTGTCTCCATTTTCTATGGCCTGGTAAATGTAACAAATGTACTCGACTGGACTAAGTCTGGGAGCAATGAGCAGTGATTCACATTCTTTCAAATCAGCAGAAGAAGCTGAGTAGCAGAAAAATTGAACTGTCAGGGAGCAGGCTTAATGTTCTTGCCTAGCCAGCAGCGAGGAGAAGGTAAAGCAAGCTTCCAAGTGCTGGTTTTCAGTGCAGTCATCTTACTTAATAACTACAAGGCTAGTACACGAGTGGTCACATTTATGTCACTGTGCCACATTCTGGAGCAGTAGTGTCACACTGAGGGACAGTAAGGAGCAAACTGTATTAGCAGCTGTCTCTCTGTGTCTCATATCTCAATGCAAATATGTCATACCAATGAAATATGAAATGACAAATTTACTAAACATGGGACACTTTCTTGAATAGCCTTTGATGTATTTTAGGTTATTTCTAAAGAGTATAAAGTGTGGTGTTGCGAGGCATGTATAGTTTTACAGAAATCCTTTAACAGTCCACAATTCTTTGTTTTTAATCTCTAGACAGGTTTTTTATTGCTATCCAAATGTCCCAGTGTTTGTCTTTCTACTATTGAGTTAAATTGAGAGGTTTGCTGAGAATGGCTAAGTTCTGCTCAATTAGTGTTTCCTAGCTCTGGGAATCCCTGAATGGGAGATCCTGCAATCTAAATTCAGGAACTGCTCTCACTCATCGCTTCTCAGCATGGTTGTAATTAGTTATAGGAGAAACTATAAAGGGGGAGAATGACTCTCAGAAATAAAAAAAATCTCCATTTCACGTCTGACCCAACGTGAGCCCATTTTCAGTTTTATTAGCAGAGTTTTTACGCAGCCACATAAAATATGTTTTAAATCTTAAATTACGAGTCAGTTCTTAATAGTCAATTATTTTTCCCAGTATGGAAAGAAAAGCATTGTTTTTATTAGTGAGATTGATAATTGCATTTCTATTTGACTTATTAAACATTATTTCAAACAATACAAAAAAAAGAACCAAACCCACTCCCTGTAGAAATAATGCTGTTTTCATTTTAGGATATATCATCTGTGAATACTTTGAGTATTGTTGTGTATTCTTCTAGAGACACAGCCATTGGAAAGTATTGAAGATTAAAATAGACTTCTAGAATCAAAGATTGGAAATTGGCTGCACACTGCTTAGCACAGAAAAACACCAAGTGTAACTGTTTAGTTTGTTATCGAGTGTGCAATACTCCTACTGGTTGCACCACTTAATATATGAATTCAATTTCTACCCTGGTTTTCAACCAATTGTCACTTGTTGAAAACTGTATACAGATTCAGGATGACTGGAAGGTCTTGTCTGTATTTTCATGTGCTGTAAGCATATGCATACCAGAACTTGCTGTTTACATTCTGTGTACTCCTCCGCAGCGCCAAGTGCCCCTCCCCAGTCTGTGACTGTGCTGACAGTTGGAAGCCACAACAGCACTAGCATTAGTGTATCCTGGGACCCTCCACCCCCAGACCACCAAAACGGAATTATTCAGGAATATAAGGTAAGCCCAGCTAACAAAGAGAGATTCACAGGCAAGCTATCCCAAGAGTTCTTAGTATCATTTCAACAGAGCCTGTCTCCAAAGGCTCAGTTGTTAACTAAGATGCATGATAGGAAAGGGTGAGAAGACATGACGAATGAGAACCTAATGTCAAGCTCAGAGACACATAAGTCAGCTGGAAAATGGAGAGTGGAATGGTTTCCGGTGTAACGGGATTCAGTAATGATAGAAGGAGGGGCTTGTGGTGCAAGTACAAATCACACTGAAGCCAAATTCACCTGTATTATCAGGGAGAGACAAACTGAGGATTGGGAAAGTAAAAAGGAATAGGGAAAGAACAGTACTACTGTGCCAAATCACATTGAGGTTTCCCTTGGGATGGCCGTTGAAACAAAATTTTAATGGGATAGCAAAAAAATAATTGTCTCATATTTGAACCAATGATATCTAAAGAAAAAACACATCCCTGATGTTCCATTACCATAGCTGATGTTTAAGACACAAAGTGTGTCTAACTTTTTACAAAAACTTTGACTGAATCATGAGGTGATTGTACCTTAAACTTTGAAAAAATTTAAAAGCCATGCGTTTTTTTTAATATTTGTATATATTTCTAGTATTTGGGAAGTAACAGGAAGGCAGAGCTGGTATCAGTAACTAGAGATTACACCTTCAGAAATTCATTACTGGTATCAGTAACTAGAGATTACACCTTCAGAAATTCATTGCTGGTAGGGAAAAATAGGCTGAATAATTTCATGCTAAACTGGGCAGATTGAATTTTATTCCTAAAAGATATTAAAAAAATAAAACTATGCCACATTAATGGTCAACTTGCTGAAGCAAATGCATATGCTAATTACATGTTTTTGTTTAATATCTGTATCATATTTTAAGGCTTAAGCTTAAGAAGGATAACTGTCCACATAGTAACATAACTAAAACCATTCCAACAGTGTGACAGTATTTTGGGAATATTACAAAGTTAACCACTTCCCTGTATGTTTGTTTCTACATGGTTCAAGACTTGAAATTCTAAACTTGGGCTTAATTAGCAACAGTAGTTTACAGCATGATGCTTCTCATTTATTATCTGTCTAGAATATTTGTAGAGTGGTATGCATTCAGATAAGAGCTAAGTACACCTGTTTCAGAAACAAATGTTATACATTTTTGAACATGCATTTGTGTTATTAAGAAGCATTCTATGATAAGTAAATAAATGTAAATGCCTGAGAAGTTTCCTAGCCATTTTATTGTAACAAATTTCTGTATCTCCAATGAACATATTCTGTAAGTTTAATTTATATTGAAATAACAACCCAGCTACTTTAACATCCATGTCTCAACCCTTTGGGCTATTTTATTTCAAGCATGTGTAGTGTGTAGATAGGATTTGAACACTACTAAAATTTATTCATATCTCTGTATATATTGACTTTAATTGCATTGTGATCAATTTCTGTGAGATCAATTAATCCTGTTAACTACTTAATATCTTCTTGAATGGAATATGAATTATATTTAGTTGTGTGCCTACATACCTTTGAAATAAAATGTATATTGGATTATGTATAAACATTTTTTGATAAATTAAGCAGAGGAAACTGTGAGACTTTATCTACACAAATGTCAAATTTAAAATCACCTATCCCTTACCTGATATGTCAAAGGAGTCACTACACAGTGAAAAGTGCTCAATGTAATTCACATGAAAATAGTGAGAGATAAAGGAACATGACAGAGTTTCAGTTTGTCATATTTTTCTCCCTCTAATGCATGTAAATATACATAACACACAGTGGATGGCTATCTATCATTTATGAACAATTTTATAAGACTATGTTGGATTCAACACCATTACATAACCAAGCATTTAAACTGTGATTAGTCAGTGTGTATGTATTCATCATAATAGTCAAATTATAAGAGTGGAGACTTCATACTACCTGTTTTTACTCCCCCTTTTCTATAGATCTGGTGTCTGGGAAATGAGACACGATTCCATGTCAACAAAACTGTGGATGCCGCCATTCGCTCTGTAGTGATAGGTGGCTTATTTCCTGGAATCCAGTACCGGGTAGAAGTGGCAGCTAGTACAAGTGCAGGGGTTGGAGTAAAAAGTGAACCACAGCCAATAATAATTGGTGAGTATTAGTTTATGACATCTGAACTTTAGTATCTGTCCATGCACAGCAAGGTAGACTGTGTTTTGGGACATTCATCTTGACCATGGCCAGTTATTTTGAGAGACCCATATAGTACACCCTGTGTGGGTAGACAGGCAAGTAGGTTAATTGACAGTTCTTACAAACAATTCACACTACTAATTGTTTCTATAGAATTGATAGCATCTATTGACCCCTCTCCTAATAAAATACATGCATGTTGATCTCTTTCAGGGTTCTTAACGTTTATATTTGGCTGTATACAAACTACACTGTTTTCATTGCTGTGGCTAACAGTGATCTTTTTAATTGGGTAATGTGAAAATGCCATTGTTTTCGTTTAGAAAATGTGGCTATTTTCACTTTCCACATACTTTTCAAATCAGATTGTCGGTTTCTACAAAATTATCAAGGAATTACAATGGAAAAATGCAGTCTATTTGTAAAACTGAGTAAACATAACATCAAGTCCTTCCCAGGAACATAATATATGTTTTCATTACAGAAGTCTTGTTTACTACTCTGCCAGAGTGTTTTGCTGTTTTCAGTGTGTGATTTTTTATATGTTTTGTTGATGTACTTTCTGAGTGTTTGATATATGTTTTACACTATGCTGAATTGTTGTTTGAAATCTGTTTTTCTCATTGATTTATATTACATGTGAACTTATTTAAAATTTTCTTTCTCCATTTTGCTGTTGTTGATGTGTTAAATTCTCCTGAATAGTTTTAAGAAGTAAATCATCTTTTTGGTCTTGATTATGAATTCTACTCAGTTGTTATTATACTCTTCCATTCTGTTGCTACATCTAGTTTAATATCATGTGGCAAATAATTTTGAATTCGTGTTTGCGAATGAATCTTAATGGGTATTCTGTTCCTTCCTATGTCTTGTTATCTCTCTATATTGGTCAGGTTCTGGAATAAGGGTGAATGAGTTTACACAGTAGGTGGGAAGTCTTCTTCCTCTTTTATGTTTATCCTTCAGGCATTTTGAAAGGACCAGTGTTATTTCCTCCTTAGTTATTTATTCACATAATAATGGTATCAATGCCAAGAGTAATTGTGGTAAATGGTGGTTTGTGCATTGAAATTATAATTCTCTTCTAAAATGCCAAGTAAAAATAATTACAAAAAATTAGTCTGGAAATAAGTGATAATTATGGATTTATACATCTCCTTTTCAGTTTAGAACTCCTTACTTTGACTTTTTGCCTTATAGATATATGTATGTCGTGTGTATGCTTGTTCACATGTGTGTATGTACAGTTCTGTATATGTGGAGACCTGGGATAGATGTTGGAATTCTTTGTCATTCTTCTGTTTTAGTCTTTAAAGCATGATCTCTCAATCATATCGAGTTTGTCGGTATGATAAGGTTTGTCAGTGGGCTACCCTGTCTATGCCTCCTTTGTGATAAAATCACAGATGGGCTTCCCTCTTTGCCCAAAGTTTACATTGATTCTCAGGATATGAACTCTACTCTTCTCCCTTATACAGCAAGATCTTTAACTGTGGAACCATTTCTCCATCCCTGAGTTTGTGAGGAGCATGTTCTCCACCCCTCAGTCTACGAGGAATCATCTCTCCATCCCTCAGTCTGGAAGCTGCCATTTCTCCACAGCCCTCAGTTGACATCTTTTGTTTTATCTATTTCCTTGTGGATGATTATAATTTAAGACTTGAATTTACTAGTGAGCTTGCTTCACAGCCATCATCAGCTTTTCCTCTTTAACCCACTGGGAGACTTCTTGCTCTGAAACACACATTTGTCTTTAAATACTATTTAAGTATTTCCATTCTTTTTAACCCTTTATGCTAAGTTTTATCTCTGTGTATAGATTATAGATTGCTTTTATTGAGGTTCCTTCTTTCAATGCATTTCTCAGGAAGGTAGTAAGGCTCAGCAGGTAAAAGTGCTTGCTGCCAAAATGATAGCTACATTTCATCCCTGAGACTCACATAGCAGAAAACTAACTCCCACAAGCTAGTCTGTAACTTTCACACAGTGTGTGATTTGAATGTGCCCCACCTGTACAATAAGCTAACTATTCCAATATATAAATGTAACAAAGTTGTTTTAAATTATAATACATAAAATACATTCTTCCTGGCTCCAAAACTTATATTGTTGAATAGTCCACTTCCACAAACTGCTTTTCTTTTCTTGTCCTGTTTCTCATTCATCTATTTGTCTATACTTATATGGGAGGTTATATTTCACTGGATACCTGACTTTGTAATGACATATTATGAAGGTATGTGATCAGTGGAGGAATATTGGTATTTGTCTTACGAAGTATTGTTGCAGGATTTTAATCTTGAATTTGCCACATCTTATTCCTTTACATTGTATTTGTATGGGAGTTTTTAGGTTTTGTCCCTTTTCTTGGACTACAAACTACCTCAGTTTGATGTTCAGTCTAAGGTAAGGCCATTTTGGAATTTCAACAAAAATATTAGTATGTCTTTCTGGTGCCCCTAACTGAATCGAACTCAAAAAGCAAGAATTCACTTCTCTGAACCAGATATCAGCTGGACAACTTCTCTTGTTCTTTGTCTCTGCTTTGCACCAGATCTTTGCAGCATTCCTCAATGCAAAGTTAAGGGTCCACCCTAGGATTTTAGGGGTGATTGCTTGACTAGTGAGCACTACCCTCAAAGTACTCCCTGAAATTGAGGATTTCCCTTAAATTCTCTATCATTCAAGCATCCCCAAGCTGTGAATTCTGACATATTATTTTTGTTTATGTTTGTTTGTTTTTTGTTTTTTCAAGACAGGGTGTCTATATATTGTTTTGGAGGCTGTCCTGGAACTTGCTCTGCAGACCAGGATGGCCTCGAACTCACAGAGATCCACCTGTCTCTGTCAACTGAATGCTGGGATTAAAAATGTGCGCCACCAACACCCTGCTTGAGTTCTGACATATTATTTAATTGACATTAGAGTATATCAGTGTGGTCATTAGCTTGCTTACACTCCATAGCTTTAGTATGTCACTCAAAGATGCAAAAGCTTATCAATGAAGATTTCTCTACTAGAGCTCTCAATATTAAACACTTTAAATTATCTATAGTCTTATTGGCATCATAATGACAAAAACTTTTAAAATGTATACATGCATCAAAAATTTTCATCAAAATTTCATAAAGAATTTTGTCTCCTTATTTTCTAATATAATAAAATGATATAGACACAGGATATCACCAGTTTCTGGCTAATCATTTCTTCTGTTTCATAGAAACAGACTTTATGTTTAGTCATAATGTTAAATATTTTAGACTTCCAAACTTTTCTTTGTTTGCTAAATGAATAGCATTGAAGAAAAAAGTTAAAGCATTATCTTTTCTCTAAATTGCTTTTTCCTTCTTAATTAGTTGTTCAGACTGAATTAATTCCTTAACCTGAGGGAAACTTACAAACTTGCCCTTCTGAGATTTTTATGAAATAAATTGGAATAAGGAAGACATATAGGTGAACCCAAAATTTTACATATATATATATGTAAGTATATATATATTCACATGCATGTGTATGCATAAATACACATTTTATTTAAAATATTTGGAAATAAGTCTTTATCCTTTATTTTTTCTTTATTTTAATACTATGAGGGCCCTGGTACGGTGCCACATTCTTATAGTCTACAATCTCAGTATCAGGAAGGGTGAAGAAAATATTGAAATGTTTGAGTCTGGCTCAACGAGGCCAGCCAGATCTACATATGGAGACTGTGTCTCAGAACAGACAAAACAAAGCAAAAATATACTTAAGTATATTTCCCTTCACTGTCTGTTTTAATGCTAAATGCCTCATTGTTGATCAACAAGAGTACTCTTCTTTAAACAAAATTAAAGGATAATTCTCCCTCAGAAATCCTATAAAGGAAATGAACATGACCTGGATTTACTGAATATAGTTTTTCTTTCTGAAGATAAGATTGCAAAGTAACTGTATTTCCCTCTTGTGTCTTGTTGTTTCTATTGTATTTAGTAAATAAAGTGTTTCTTAAAGGAATCGATGTTTTCTTCTCTTTTCCTAGTGGCTGTCTATATCACAGCACTTTGGAAACCTGTTTCTCTTGGAACCAAGAAAAGATTACAAGAAATCAATGATTTGTTGTGACAAGCACAGTTCTTCTCAGAGCAATTATATTATACCAAAATAATGACTTTCATTTAGATGATTTTATCAAACTGTATTTTTTTTCCTGAAGACTGAGTCTCTAACTTTTTCTTAAACACATCTGTACTATATCAAACAAGTATTGAAGTTTTTTAGAAACAAAACAATGAAATCAATGACTTTCCTGTATCCTATTCAGGTAGTTAGAATATGTTATGCTTAAAAGTAATCATGACCACAGCAGTATAGTAACAGAAATGAGGACAAGCACATGTGTAAGTCCAGTTTGACCCAGAAAAGATGTTTCCTCCAGAAACCCATTTCTTTTTAATATCTACTGCTGTCCTGAGACACTTCCTAATTGTTTCTTTAATTATCCTTCTGTATCATGCTTCACATCTTGTCTGATAATGCTTTGTACACAACTACTACTTCTCAGTTGAATAGTGACCTAATGGTGGCTAATCTCCTTTTCTGTTTCAATTTACACTTCCCCTATTGTGTATTCTATATTGGAAATGGCATGAAACGTGACTCAAGCTTATCTGATTTTCCCTTTGCTGATTAAGTCACGCATTGGCATTGATGCAGTTTATGGTTCATAATTTTAGATTGCTGTTATTCCAGACACTGTAAAGTTTCAACTATTCCATCCCAATGATGTGAAGAAACCAATAGCTTAGAGTACTGTGAAATAGGACGCATAAACTTACACAGATTGCAATTTGTGTTACTTTATTATTTTTTAGGATTTTATATGTGAGAGTGGGTTTCACATGAAACTTAGGATAAAGATAACAGACAAAAACATGAAAGAAATTTATCCATACCAAAACCATACATCAAACAACAATCTTCTTAATGATAAAGCTATTTTAATTATTCATCTATAATACTCTTCCTGGAGAGTTGATGATTAGTCCAACTACAAACTTTAACATAAATAGGTACAACTGAATCTGATGTGTCTAATTTTTTTTCTAACAAGTTACTTTCATTCTTCATTACTACTCTCCAATGGGAGGCAGGTACTAGATTTCATTACATTGTTTTTTGTCTGCAAGAACAATGGAGCACGGTGAATCACATCACCCTTGTCTGTGTTCTTTTCAGGATAACTGACAACATTGTTTCAAAAAGCATCAGTATAAAAAAAACTAAAACAACCTGGCTCATAAAATATTGTGCAGTATTTCATAAACCAGTTTAAGGACTCACCTTAAAACAATGCAAATCTTCTCTTATTCTTTGTTCTATATTTTATCAGGGTTTTGGGGTTTTTGTTGTTTTGTTTGTTGGATTTATGTTTCAGTAACTTCTGCTAGTGAAAATAGTCACCAGATAACATATTGGTAATATGTTAATAAAATACAATTTTTATATTTTCATACAGATAATATCTAAAGGTGCCTGGTTCAGACAAGAAAGGTTTATTGCATAATTTATTTTAAACCTGAAAAAGCACAAAATACTTTTCAGTAATGTAATGTGCATGTGTGTTTGTTTGTGTAAGAAAATTCTAGCAGTTATAATAAATAAGACTGCTGTTTGGTTTATTTAATAAAAATGTTTTGTTTCTTATTCACAGCCCAGTGTAATAAGGCTTAGAAGAATGGTACCTATGTTTTTATTCCATAGTCATTCAGTCATTTAAATTCTTTTAAGAAAGAGCTTTTCTATCTTCAATAGGCATGATGACCTCCAAGACATATTGGTTTTAATACACAAGGAAAGTGAAAGAGGATCCAAGGCTGTTGTAGAGTATTAAGGGGTAGAGCTGAAGGCAATGTGAGTCGTTTCCATCTAGACACCATTGGCATACATTCAGTCACTGGATGGCAGGGAAAGCTCAGGACTATGTGTTAACTTTCTGCCTCAGAAGCAAAGAGGAGCAGGATTGATGAGTGGTCCTTGAGCTTTACAGGATCATCAAACCTAAGCAGTTCACCTGACAGTCTGAAAAACCAACTGAAAGACTTTTAATGTAACTCTTTCCATCACATGGGATGAGGTTGTGCTCAGACTGATAGCTGGGAAACCAGCATTGGACTGATCCAGATCCCCTGAATGTGGGTGTCAATGAGGAGGCCTCAACAATCTATGGGGTCTCTGGTAGTAGATCAGTATTTATCCCTAGCATACAAGTGGACTTTGGGAGCCCATCCGACATAGAGGGATGCTCTCTCAGCCTACACACACAGGTGAGGGCCTAGACCCAGCTCCAAATGTTGTGACAGTCTTTGAAGATCCCCCATGGAAGGCCTCACTCTCCCTGGGGAGCAGAAAGGGGATGGATAGGAGATTAGTGTGGGGTAGGGGAGGAGGGAAGGGAGAGGGAACTGGGATTGACATGTAAAATAAGCTTGTTTCTAATTTAAATAAAAAATAGGAAAAAAAGGAAGCATCCCATAGACTCTTGTGTTCTCTTTCTAGCAAATGTCTCAACATTTTGGGGTTTTGATCATGCTTTGATTTGTAATGGTTCTATGCATGGGAAGTTGTACAGTGTGTGGTTTCTACTTGCTAAGTAACAGCAACACGCCCAATTTTATCTCAGGTCAATTAAGACAACACCAGATATCTCGAGATTTGACACATGTCTCTATGAGAAGAAATACTCCTTTAAAAACTCCTGGTCTAAGAGTTGATTGTGCAACTGCATTTTAGAGTAATAAAGAGAATGTTCTCAAAAAAGGGCAGAAGGAATAAAGAAGGAAAGATTTTCACAATGAGTTCAAAATACATGAAAAAAAACCAGTAACAGTGTCAATGATCTGAATTAGATGCAAACAGATTAAGTTCTTGACCCAAGACTACAATTTACCATCTAAGAAGTTGCAGAGAGAGGTACCTCTTGTCTCTGAGGTCAAAGACAGTGCTCTCCCTAGCATATAAAAGCATTGCATATGCTAAAAAAAATGAAAATCATTCCTGTGATGGGATGTGTTGGACTGCCCCTTTTATATTTTCCTTGCAATTTACCTTTCACACATCCTTGGTTAATACTGACTAGAAATGATACTGACACAAGATTCACTTGATTCTTGTTGTATAAGTTTTTTAATCTTAAAAATACATCTTATATCTTTGTTGTCCAATGTCATTATGATTCTCTGATTCCACAACTTATTAATTATGGATTGGGAATTTGCTTAATTGATTTTTCAGAGGTCTCAAGTTTCTCAGCATAAAATACCTTGATTCAATGTTCAATTGTCAAATTACTCTTAACTTCTCTTAGAGAGCACCTAAGTTTGATGTTTTAATTACACATGCTAATCCCTACGAATTAATGTTTTCATAATTTCTGTTGTTCTTTACATAGAATATCAATCCTCGTCAAAAATCAAAGTATAGTTGTACATAACATCTTTGGTAGAGTATTGATGGTCATATGAAATGACATAATCTTGTGAATTATGTCCACTTGAAAATAGGCAAAGCAGTAGCAGAAAAGCAATGCACAAATACTTGTGTTATGGAAACTTTAATAACTTTAGTGGTTGTTCTAATGATTATTTATATTATAAATCTGTAAGTGGTTTAGGAACTGTTGTTAACACATTAAAAGAAAATAATCATCTTAATGAAACAAACACATGATTCAGTGCTTCATTTTAATCTTAAAATTTCTTATCAGTAATTTTGACACCATCAGGACAAAACTAATATCAGCTGAGTTTTAAAAGCACATGTCTGTACCTATGGTACAATGTGTTTGTATTTCTGCTATTATTTGTCTTAATGTTTACTGATACTATTGTTCCTTCCATAGGGGGACGGAACGAAGTTGTTATTACAGAAAACAATAACAGCATAACTGAGCAAATAACTGATGTTGTGAAGCAACCTGCATTTATAGCTGGCATTGGTGGTGCCTGCTGGGTAATTCTGATGGGCTTTAGCATCTGGCTGTATTGGAGAAGAAAGAAGAGAAAGGGGCTCAGCAATTATGCTGGTAAGAGACTATCGTCAGCTATAAAAACCTCTTATCTTTTAGAATGTAATGTGATGAGAGGAAGAAATGAAATGGAATAACAAATGGATGATTTGGGCTTGTTATAAAAACCCGCTCTGTAAAATGCAATTATAAGCAACATGCTTCAATGCCTTGCTCTTGACCATATCGTTTTATGACCACAGGCAATCTTTCTGCTTGTATCTCCAGTGAAGCATAGCCAGAGTAGACACTGATAAAATGCTCAACTGTTTTTCTCAACTAGTTCTCAAAAGCACACACGCAGAGCTTGCACCCTATAAAGACATTTTTGAGAAGTGTACTTAGGCAAGAAAGTTATTAAAATGCTCAGAAATGAAGAAAAAGATCTGAAAATAAGCTTTTAGTATGTCACAATGCAGATTGCACTGGGAAATGTCCCAGATGGAAAAAAGAAAAACAAGCAAAACTCTCACCAGAATTAATAAAACTGATGAGGCATGAATGAAGTGATTTACAGTTCACTTAAATGGGAGCCTATTTCAGTATGAACAAGCAGCATTTCCAAAAGGAGGAACAGAAGGAAGCACAAGGAGGAGGAGGGAAGCAGAAATAGCTGAAGGAGAAATGAGAGGGAAAAGACCCGAGATGATCTGCAGCATTTCTAAAATCCGTGTCCATCTTTCAAAATGCAAGAGAGCTTCTCAAGGATGCTGCTCATTTAAACATCTGTAAATGAGAAAGGAAGATAGATGGGTTGGGGACTGACATGAAAGGGAAAGAGGATAGAGTTTAGAAGTGGGGGAGATAGAAACTCTAAAATCATAGTCATTGAAAGAATGTATTCAGTACTAAAGCTATATTTTCATACAATTTAAATTTTGCAGTTATTTTTAATTATTTTCTCTAACAGCAGTAAAATGGTACTGATTCCCAATAGCACACATTAGGTAGAATTTCAAGGGAGCAATTTTAATTTTAGCCTATGAACACTTGAAATGTTTTTGAGATATTGTATTTAATCTTTTAATAACTGATAAATTCTCCGTGAAAATCAGTTATTAAAATATGCATGCTAGAAAATGGAAATTGAATATCTTGTAACTGAAAAAATGCAAAGAATGGCACCCATTTGGTTGTCTTGCTTGTTATGGGACAACATTAAATATGGTAACTTGAGTATAGCCGTGTTCTTATGTCAACAGCATATGAAAAACACAGTATTAATTACTAATCAGGTCTAGAAAAAGAAGCAAATCAAATACCTTGACAAGAAGTTTCCCATTCTCCCTTTACATGAGTCAAAGCTGCCTGCTTCCTATTCTTTTTCATCTAGGTGTTAAATCACTACACTAATAAGAGATCCTTCCCAGAAATGGATGGCTAGTAACAACTTGAGGAGTCCTGAATTTCAAGTTTTTCAATGCCATTCTTTTTCAGCCCAGCCCTCCACTTTCACCCCTAAAGATATTGTTAATCAGTCGATTGGTTCCATAAATCATTAAGCTGTATGTCTTCCTTGTGACATGCTCAAACCAATCATAGGAAACATAAGGTACAGCCAATTTAACTCAAGGCCAATTTTAGGCTTATGGCTTTACCTGACTTAGTGATAATAATACAAGGTAACACATGGAAGTCACTTCAATGAAAAGACCTACTGTATTCACTTGTGGAATGGTACCTTTAGTCACTCATGCCAGAGTAATACAATAGCTCTCACAGCCTGCAGTTTGCACTTTCAGTACAATTACATCAGATGGACATCTCTTCCTGTCTATCACAGCAATTCTTTGCAAAACCCTATGCACTTAACTTGAAAATATCTGCTGGTCTTTGAGCTTGACAAGGATTGTCCATTTCGTGCTATCATGACTCATTATGATTGATGCCCATGGGCCTGGAAAAGAACTGCTAACTCAGAATGTGCTTTGCCCTTCAGATATTTGGAAGAAGGCCAAGCCAGAGAGAAGCCTTTCAAAACCTTAATACTTTATTGATAGATGGCTGACTCTGTGGATAGATGTCCTTTATTCTTGTCATTTGCCTTCCAGCAACTGTGTTCTCTCCTAGGTGGCAAGACAATGAAAATTTGCCAAATCACAGGGAAGTAGCATTTCCTACCTGGGTTGTGATAGTGTCTCTATGTTTTCTTTCCCACTCATCTACTCTTTTACTTTCTTTGGATTTTTACATGTTTGTCTCTGACAGAAGCTGGGGGACATGGGGTTTTAATTAGGAATGGACAATGATGCACACATTCCCATAAGTTTGATCTTAGGATTTCTATGAATGGGCTGATGTCCTGTTCTAAAAGAATGGAGTTAGTGATGGACTACTTTTTCTTGAAAGCATTTTATAATATTTTTTAGAATGAAAATGCCATATTGATTTTTTTCATATCTTTTTTTTTTCATCTAAAGATTCTCTTGGAAATTTGTGGTCTTGCCACTAGAAATACAAGATAAGATAAAATTAAAGCACTGTCATCTCAGGAACTTGAAGATGTTTCTGAAGTCTCTGTTGTTTCACCTTTACATGATGCTCCATCCTGTAATCTCTCAGGGTTATGTCTTTGCAATCTATAACAATTGGTTTTTGGTGAGAGTTATGAACTTCAACAAATCAAGTCTATTTGGAACCACTATTCAGATCATCATGTAACTTTTTTTTGAAAATGCAACCAAAATTCAGTTAAAAGTTTAGTGTAAACCCTTTATTAGGTATTATAGACTTTGAATAAAAGTAAATTGATAAGAAACAGGATTGTAGGCTGGCACTCCCCTGACCCATGTCTAAAATCCATAGGATTGTAGACTAAAGCACTCTTCCTACACCTTTGCCCCAAGTATATTCTCAGTCTGTAGAAGCAAGAAACAGGAAGATGCTAATTAGTGGAGAGACAAAAATAGCTTGCAGGGTGAGACACTAAGTCTGGCAGAATGCCTTCCATTCACACTATGTAGGCAAAACATGCGCTGTGTCTCATTAGATCTACTGTGAAACTTGTTTTTAATCACAAAAAGATTTGTAAAATTTGAAAAGAGAAAAACAAAACTCTGTTTCCTGGTGTTGATAATTTCCTTTGGGCACCAACAAATTTAACATGTTTACCAGACTAAGCTAATGGACAGAACTTCCATTGTATAAACAAATGTCCAGAATCAAACACAAACTAATGCATTCATACCATTGGAGAAGAATCTGGTCTGATGTATTTTGCTGTTCTTTGAAGCCAGAAGCAGGGACTTCCAGGGCAGGAGTGATCTTCATTTTGTCATTGTTCTTTCTGTATTTTTCTTATACTTAAATTAACAGACACAAGTGCACAGCATAGTTTTGCCCATGCCTCTATTTGTAACATAAACCTACAAGCGGCATTGTTCAATAGGTCCTCCTGTCTCACATTATATGTGGAGTGACTTTTCACATCTGTAGAACAGGTAGTTACATTTACCTTAATTGCATTTACCTTAATTTCTACTGAGGAGTTCAATTTCCTTGTCCCTGTGTGTGGGAATTCTGACTACAGGAAAAATTCACAACTACAGATGTTAGAAAGTGAGGGAGATTTTAAAAAAGAGATTTATAAAGAAAATATTCAATGATTTCTTTTAATACAAAGTAAACATGTGGTCATAGTTATAATAGGTTTGTAGCTAAAATAGTGAATAAATTTTGAAACAAATCTATGCCATTCCATCAGAACTATATTTAAATGTATCAATATGTACATATATAACTGGATAAAGTTTGTGAGTATTACATATAACTTCAATGTTATATTTTTTGTTTTTTCTTTGTAAAAGGTGCATCAATTTATTCATATTATGTGTAAGGGTATTCTGTCTGTGTGTATGTCTGAGTTTCATGTGTGTTCTGGACTCCTGTGGAACCCGAAGAGAGCATGAGATTCCCCATGAACGGAATTAGAGCAGTGTTAAGCTGCCATGTGGGTGCTGGGAATTGAACTGGGAATCTCTGGAAGAACAACCAATGCTCTTAAACACTGAGCCATGTATCTAGCCACTATCTTTTTTTATTTGTAACTATTGGAGTGTTCAAATTTTGATGAAACTGAGTTTCTGTTTAATTTTAAAGGGGTGGTTATACTATGTAACTATCATTTATAAGGAGAAAATTTTAGAAAGCTTGGTGCCCATCAACAATTTAATGCAATTGGGGACATTATAGCACTGTATATACTCTATGCATGGATTTTTAAAACTCTTGGGAAATTGCAGGCATTTGACACAACTATGCAAAAGCAGTTCAGTGATTTGATGGAATTTTTATAGTCTGATTATCTAGGCTTGGTTAATGCTTATTAAAAAGGAATTAATACATTCACATTTGAGTAAGAGCTTATCAGAAAGAGGAAGGAGACTTGGCTGCAACATTAAAGTTTCCATTTGGAGTAGAAAAATGTGGCCTACTAGAGATAGGCACTCTGGGAGCTTCTTTACTTCAATATGTCAATTTACCTCATAGTTACATTTCTTCCCTCTGTCCTCCAGTTCTAGCAGACATGTCACAGGATTAATCCCGACAGGTGCTATTAGAAGCACAGGATTCCTCTGTATCTGACACAAACTTAGAAAATCTCTTTTCCTCCCAACTTTCATAAAAAGCAAAATAAGTTCAAATATTTAATTCAATTCTAAAACTTTTCAGATGTTCATGTCTGAAGCTTCTGTAAGTTGCTCCCCAGAAGTTCTTACGTTGAGATGCTAGAAGAAATTACTGAGTCTCAGCCATGGTCCTTTCAAATTTATCTCTGACAAACACAAAGTGACATGGAGATGGTCATGAATTCTCGTCCCTGTCCTAGGTTCTTCCCACATCAAGGCAAATATTTCTTTGAAATGATAACTGACTAAAAGCAGCTCTCGATTGGCTATATTTTTCTGTGATTCTCCCTGCATGACTCCTAAAAGTGCTATTAAAAGATCACACACAATTTCCAGTATAAATTCTAATTGATTATCATTTGTTATTTGCTTGCATTCTGTTGTTCGACTAGAGCTGTTACTTCTGTGCTATTTTCAAATTGGAGGACAGGGTATAAAAGAATTTATTATCCTCTTTTCTCCCTTCTTTTAAAGAACAACTAGTGTCAGGATTTAGTGGCAAACACCTAATCCCAGTACTCCAGCAGGAGTGTCATGCTGAAGTCTAAGCTGAGGCCAGCCTGACCTACACAATGATGCTGGCTTCCCCCTCACAAATATAAGAACACTACCGTGATAAGAGGTGTGGGGGTATATGTCTCCTCTTCCTTTCTTCTTTGTTCCTCTAAAAGAAAGATTCAAAATGGAAAGGTCTCATGTCTACCAAATTGTGTGTGGAGAACATTGTAAGTTACACAACTAATTACACAATGTTCTATAAATTTTTCATTTTTGTAATTGTTAAAATCCATGGGATTTTTGACAGCCTGCTGCTAATCTTAACCAATTTAAGAAAGACTCAAATGATTACTGAGATACAAAGACAAAATATTTTCTAAGCATACAATACAATATGAATCACTCTAAATGCTTTCATACTTAACCTTTAGTTTCCTATTAGTAAATATAATTTACCAAAGCTTTCAAACACTGGATATTAGCTTTATCTAATGTTATCTTTCTGTTTAGGTTTTAAGTATTATATTGTAACACTTTAATATTTTAGCACAAAATAGCCAATTTTAGTGACTCTGATTTAGCTCTCTCTTTTTCTCTTATTTGTATGATCTGGTGATAACAAAAAGTTTGGATAAGAAGAAAGAACATCAGTATTAAAACAGAACTGTTTAGTTTCTCATGCATCCCTTAAGCAACACTTTTGAAGTGTAGCTCATCAAATACTGCATGTTTGCATATGTACAATGTTACAACATTGTCCTAACTTTATTTTAGCACTTAGTATTCTACTATAAAACACATAGCTAGTAAAATGCATGACATGAGTGACTGGTAATCATCTTACTGTGTTCCTGTCTTCTGTCAGTGTGTGCATATGTGTGCTCACATGTGTTTGTATGTGTTAGGCTGTATATAATACTCCACTAGTCATTGCTCATTTGTTTACATTGATTTTTATACTAAAAATCAATTATAAAATAGATACAATATGGTAGAATTGCACTACTGATACCAAATTTTAAGGTCTTAAGTAGAGCAATAATTAACATCATCTTCTTTGCATAGATGTCTGTGACTAGCTATGGGCAGATGTAAATATTATGTCAGGATTTTTTCACAGCACATTTGAGAGGCTATTTAAAAGTTGAGATGACAACATATATGGGGTCCCTACATGACATTTCTGGGAGCCACATATCACTCTTTAAGTATTGTAGACTCTTGGAATTAAGTTTTTATTCTCTAATGATTATGCTATAAGTGATAATTTTATCTACTAGTTGACTATCAAGGACAACCTGCTGAATTATATTAGGAATCTGCAAATTTTTAAGAGTGGTTAGATTTGTTATCTGAAACTCATGCAAATGATGAACTGTGGAAAACTTTCAAATTAAAAGCCATCTGTACTTTTGGAGAATATATCATTTAAAATGAGTTAATTCTTTTAAGAAATAATTTATCTTTACCTTTACCCCAAACCAATAAGCTATAGAACACATAATTGGTGTCATCTAAAGACAGATTATGTTGTTCATTTTATGCCCATCATCTCCTGTTATCAGTTTAGGTTGGCATTCACCTTTGTGGCAGAAATATTAGATAGCGTTGACCACACTCAGCCTTAGACCCCTTTGGTCCTTTGAGAGGATTATAGCATTCCATAAGTATGAATCACAGTGAAGCTCATATATATTTTACCTACAAGGTTTTGCAGAAGGGATGATTATCTAACCTGATATTAAATACTTTGGTCAGTATGTTGGTATACTTTCATGTTTCTGGCTCATGAAGTGGAAATGATAAATTGGGAAGGTATTCTTGATCATGAAGTGGAAACAATAAATTGGGAAAGTAGAATGATGCCCTTGGTTCTACTAGATATTCCTTGGTGTTTTCTGTGACAATATCCTTAGTATTGTAGAAAACTCGAGATGTTTACACATAACTGAAATCCATTCAGTTTCAAGTATTTGCAGATTATATTGTCATGATAATATCACACATTTATTGTAGTTGATGTCTACTATAATCATAACCATTCAATGCATAATGTTTTCAAGTATACCTGATGATCGTGCTGGTGAGGAGTGTGCAACAAATACTTTCTGATGCTTTATTTGAAACATATGGAATAATGCTAGTTCTCTTCAATATGTGTTTCTGTATGATTCTTTCAAATGACATTTTCTTGTTATGAATAAATGACTACCTTTTATAATTACACGTTAAAGATATATCATCCTTCTAATAAGACTATATATGCACCAATCGAAACAGTTCTGACATCTAAATACAATGGCCAATCTAATTGTTCATTTCACTTGAAGCAATCTTATTTAATTCAGAACAAACGATGACTTTGCACTGAATCAAGCCATTACTTGTCACCACCTATATAATTCCATTAATTACACTGTGTTGGAATTCCCAGTCTTCATCTCTAAACTGAGGTCCAATAGGTAGCTGTTATTAATTGTGATTAATGCTTACTACTATGTGTGTATGTCTTTCCTTTATTACAGTAACATTTCAAAGAGGAGATGGAGGACTAATGAGCAATGGGAGGTATGCTAAGGAGTTTCTTTTTATTATTATTTTTAATCAGTACTGAGGAAATTCTGTAGTGAGCAGCTATTATTGTAATAAACGATCACTTATAAGTCTGAGAATTCTAGGAGGAATTGAATGGCTTACCACAAGGTTTAATGATCTATCTGTTGTGCACTTTAGAGGAATCAAGTCCAGATGTTTCATATCTCCCAGATGCCCCAGAAGAAATTAGTAGTAAATATCACAAGGAATGTGTTCATTTGTTAGCAGGATGTTTATTGCATTAATTAGACATTAGCAAATGAAGTTGCTGTTGTTTAAGACTCCTTATTGGCTCTCACTAAATTGCTGTGAGTGAACAATTACACATAATCGATCACAAAGTAAATGATTCATAGATGATGAATAGGCTGTAGATTGATAGGACTGGATTCCACAACTTTGGATACTCAATTGAAATTGATAAAAGCTGATAACAAACCCATACATCCTCATCTATTTTCCCTTTGCCAATATGGAGATTGTAATTAGGCTCTGGTAATAACTTCCAATCTCCCATTTAATCAATATTTTAGCAAAAAGAGATTAAGTCTAATGAGAGCTAGCAGATATAGCAAGAAGCAATTGAATCTTCTTATTGCAGTTTCCATAGAAACACACGTTTCTCTTAGGGATTGTACCAGAAAGGGTCTATCAAAAATACTACAATTACAGGTGATCTATTTCTTTGTAAATATGCTAATATTATGGAAAGGAATCAGAATCCCATCTTTACATTAAATAATAGAATTCCTTATTAAATGTGATAAGAAAGAAGTTTTCTTCATAGATCCTTAATTAGTCTTTTTATTTTTTAATGTGAGTAACCTGGAAATGTACTACTGATTGAAAAGTATAAGAAATATTCACTAATTTGTCCCAAACTATATTTACCTCCCCTCAAGTATGAGGACTCTGAGTAAGGGTGATGACCTAGAGAAAACAGATTCAGTTAGTGGCTACAAAAACGAGGATTGAATACTTAAGTTTTTTTGGAAATGGCAGATATGGAACAGCTACTCTGAGGGATTGTTCCCTTGAGATATCAACTTACTCTAAACTTTTGTGTCAGGATGCTACTATGTTCCCTATTTCCCACCAGTTCCCGGGTGGACAACTGATTTCATTTATGTGTGAGCAGAATCCCAGGCAAAGTCTCTTTGCTTCCACTGACAGAGAAGATCTATGTATAGCTTTAATGAACTCCAGAAATTCCTTATATCTTAAGAGCACTTGCAATTAATTTGAAGTCAATTAAAATCTTATATCTCCTTACCCTTTATAATGTGTAAAGAAGATGTCAAATTCCCTCACTGAGCCCCACGGGCTAATCTTCATTTCATTTCTGTTTTAGCCGTCCAGGTCTTTTAAATGCAAGTGATCCCAATTATCCATGGCTAGCTGACTCTTGGCCAGCTACGAGTTTGCCAGTAAACAATAGCAATAGTGGCCCAAATGAAATTGGAAATTTTGGGCGTGGAGGTAAGTTGTGTTTTTCAAAACAATTTTATGATTTGGGTGTCTCCTTTCAGTTTGGTGTTCTGGAATTTCTACCTTGTTCTAGTTTTCTTCTAAACATTTTACATTTTTTTGTATGTAGGTAAAGAAATATGTGGTTAGAAACACGGGAAAGCTAGAGGGAAGCCTGCAGAACTCAGCTGTCTTCTTTAGCTATGTGCACTGCAGGGATCAAACTGAAGTCGTCAAGTTTAGTGGAGGGCGAGTACCCTCTGAACCACCATGCTGACCCCAGAATTTCAAAATAAGCACATTAAGAATATTGTCCTTTCAGGACTGCCTGGGTGACTTGGTGGGAAAAGCGACATAATGGTCTCTCAGAGGACCCAAGTTTAGTTACCAGTACTCACACGAGGCAGCTCAGCAGCACCTGCAACTCCATCTCCAGGGCATCCAACACCCTCTTCTGGATGCCAATGCCACCTGAACTCACACATACTCAGACACATACATGTGCACATCATTAAATATCACTTTAAAGACTATCTTCTTTTGTAGTTAAGACAGTAAAGACTTACAGCAACAATGCTGCTCTTTGCTAACAATTTTAGTAGAAAACATGCATGTCTATATTGACTGAGAGTTCAGTTTTTAACATTATCACAAAACTACTAAAAGTAGAAATGAAGAAATTCAACACTGTACTATGTGTTTTAGCTATCATGTTCAAGTCAGCATGCTTTTTACCAAGTACTTCTTATGTACCTCTCAGTACGGGAGTAATGAATAATGTAAATTTGATCATATACTGTATCTATGAAGAGTAGCAGACAGCTAAGTAAATAACACATGTTCAGAAAGAGACTTCTGAAGCTCTGTGATTAATAACTGTTATTATAAATGAAATTGTAATCATGCTAAGTCACTGCTAATACTTCCAAATTTGGATGCTACTCTTATCTCTGTCTTATGCTCAACTTCAACTAGATGTTAATTTCCCCAAATATTTCTTCTTTGATAAACTTATAAAAAATACAACTCTGGAGATCCACCATAGAGGGCCTCACCCTCCCTGGGGATCAGAGTGGAGATCGGGTGGGGGACTGAGGGGCCTGGCGGGGAGCGTGGGGGGCAGAGGGAGCTTGTTTATAACAAAAAATAAAAAATATAATTCTATAGAGAAAATTGAATGGATTAATATCAAGGTGAAGGCTTTTGCTGCATCTTTTTGTTTAGTTTGATAGCTATATTAAGCATTTACTCCTCATGTAGCACAAAGGATAGAATATAATCCGTGTGTAATAGGTAGCGATAATGTACAAATGGCAATGCAAAGGAAGTGTGTGAGTGACTGGTCAGCTTCTAATTCTGTGTAAACTAGTCATATATGAGAATTACCACAGACACTAAGTTTTTCCCATAGGTGATGTGATGACAACACATGCTTAAATATAGAAGAAAGAATAATTCAAATAACTGAGTAACCTATTATCAAATAATTTTGCTTTTGTCAAGATAAAAATAAACATTACTTTGGCCATTTCATTAACAAGTATTTTCTCCTAATGTCCTTTGATTGGAGAATATTCGAAATGAAGACATAAACCTCAAAAATCCTTTTCCACAAGTAACTTAAGATGCAGTGAAGAAGGGAGTTATCCACACACATAATGAAGCAAAATTTGAATAAATTAATAAATGTAAGTTCAACCAAGATGTTCTAAGCTGCATTGCAAATGCAAACTGCAGGGTAGCAGTCCTTTAATTCACAGATTTTAAACACAGTATCCACAAGACACATACAGTCTAAATCATTGAGGAGGTGTGCTGGGAACCAGGAGAATAGAAAATGGGAAGTGCAGCCTCACTATGGTGATACCCCTTTAGATGCAGCCTGTTGGGACAAGAGCAGAGCCAGAATTCCAAACAATCTGCTAGTACTAGACTCAATTCCACATGTAAAATTATGAGTAATCTTCCATTCTTTCAACATTAGGATATAATTCTACTTATTATTGAAAATATGATAGTGACCAAATAATATTTGATGATGGGCATTGGTGGTGCATGCCTTTAATCCCGGCATTCGGGAGGCAGAGGCAGGGGGATCTCTGTGAGTTCAAGGCCAGCCTGGTCTAAAGAGTGAGTTCCAGGACAGCCTCCAAAACAATACAGAGAAACCGTGTCTCCAAAAACCAAAAACAAATAACAATAATGATATTTAAAGACAATATGCAACTTCAAAAATCAATATAGGTACACTTTCATTTGTAGACTGACTATACCCTATCAGGGAACAATTATGTGTCCAAAGTCAAAGTCATCATGGTTACAGAGTACTATTACCTATGGTTACAGTTTTGGTTACTCTTACCCTTCAACCCTTTAAACCCTTTGGACACTAAAAAAAAATCTCGAGTTAACAAAGAAACGGTCCTTTTTTTCTAAATCTAAAACCCTGGAGAGGCTTAGGTTCTAGAACTAAGTCCATGTAGGTGACACATCCTACTTAATTAAAGTTCATAAATGAATGTCAGGGTAGAGAAAGCAGGAAATGTCTGAAACTTTATTGATGATAATACTTTCATTAACTAATATTATCAAACATGAAGTTTTTTTGTTGTTTTCGTTTTTCGAGACAGGGTTTCTCTGTGTAGCTTTGTAGACCAGACTGGCCTCGAACACACAGAAACCCAACTGCCTCTGCCTCCCAAGTGCTGGGATTAAAGATATGTTCCACTACCATTTTGCAAACATCAAGATTTTTAAGAGCAAAAACATACTTTTTAATGAAAAAAACTATAAGGATAAAAAAGTAGTGCAATTTTGAAATCAGGGAAAGTTACTTGCTTATACAACACAGTGAAATTTTAAAAACGTGAATATAATTTTACTTCAGTAAAGTAAAATCCACATCATTGTAAACATTGGAGAAGTTCTGGACTCAAACCATTTGAAAACTGAAAAGTTTTTGTATACAAAATTGTAAATTTTATGTTATGAAGATAAATTCTCTATAAGTTATATGTTTAAAAAGCAAAACTAGTCTATTAAGTCTCTATTCCAAGTACTGTTGAGAGTCGTCAAGTCTCAAGTGTTAAGACAGTTGAATTTCTTTTTTTTTTTCTTTGTATAATGAAAAACCAAGTGGTGTGATGTCTTCAAGAGCTAGGGTGCAAGGTTTGTGGAGAGCATGTTATTGATTGCTATTAATTCTAAATGTCTAAAACCAGTGTTAGCAGAGTAGCCAACTTTTTTTCTTTTGAAAAGAGAAAATAAGCTCAGGAGAGAGGTGGCAGGTCTGAGTTATAAAGCATGATGTAAAGATAGTTCACATCCTCAAATGATAAATGGGCTGATTGATATTCATTGTTGTTCCTAAAGTTTAATTTTACCTTTGTTATCATGCGATGTGAAACTATAATTCTCTGATCCTCAGAACTGATAGGATAAATTAAACCCACTGATCAGCAAGACTGCTTTTTAAAGTTAAATCCTCTGTATCGTGAAAATTACTTACCTGTGAAAATTGTCCTTTGTTATTCACGAGAAAGAAGTCCAGTTTCATTCAGTTATTCTCCATTTCCAACACTGTGAAATGGCAAGTTAAAACTTCAGAATAAAAATGCTATTTTATAGTGAGGATAGTATTATTTTGGACCACTCTTACTGTACCAGTTATGTTTTGTGCTGAAGTAGAATGAGATGTTTTCATCTCTAATTTGTATATTCCTTTTTAGCAGCACTACCAGAAAATGCTAATAGTTTCTTTGCTTTCAAAACCAAATAAACTACTGAGTGTGTTTTCCAATAGAAGAGCATCCCAAATTTCCAATTCATGCTTGAAGAAAATGGGGAAGAGATGTAGTAATCAGTGAGATGTGAAGGACATGTGTTGAGCCTGCCTGTCACTGGGGTTGATGGTCTGAGGATGGTTGTATATCATCTCCCCTTCACTGGCTCATGAAGCCCAACTCTGCTGCAATGCAGACGTGCCGTGTGGCACATTTATTTTTCATCTTCAGTCCTGATACTTTAGGGTTCCTGTGCATCACTAAATAGTTTCATTTCCCTACATTCATTGCAGATGTGCTACCTCCAGTACCAGGCCAAGGGGATAAAACAGCAACAATGCTTTCAGATGGAGCCATTTATAGTAGCATTGACTTCACTACCAAGACCACCTACAACAGTTCCAGCCAAATAACACAGGCCACCCCATATGCCACAACCCAGATCCTGCATTCCAACAGCATCCATGAGCTGGCCGTTGATCTTCCCGATCCACAGTGGAAAAGCTCAATTCAACAGAAAGCAGACCTGATGGGGTTTGGTTATTCACTACCTGATCAGAACACAGGTAACAATGGTGAGTCAGTGTCTCCTATCTTAAGAAATTAATGTCACATCATTTGTGCATGAGATAGAAACTTGTGTTTATTGTTTAATGTTCAATTTAGTGATCCATTACAAGGTTTACTACATAAACTAAAATAATCTCTCAGCATGTATGTATCCAGTACCACGGTCACCACCACTGCTGAGTTCACCATCACACACCAACACCCACTGGTTTCATTCTTTTAGCATTTTTTCAATATAATAACCAGCAATCCATCTCTACTTCCATTAGGAAAGGATAGATAAAGCATTCCTCTGCTCTCCTACAACATCTGCTTCTGAGTTGCTAACTGCATGTTCTGCATGGGCTTGTGCTGTGAACTAATCACATGATGCCACTATGACCTCTGCCCTTTAACCCTTAGCCTTACTTTACATCCCTGACTACCGATTGGCTGAGGGATTGTCTAATAGAATGCCTCACAACCAGTCACAGGATTTCAGCACCACCAGCTCTCACAACAGCTCAGAAAGGAGTGGCAGTCTCTCAGGTTGGTCTGATCACAGTAAGGAGATATATTTGTTTGTCAAGAGCATATGACCTGTGTTCCTAGCTACCATTGAAGAAATATTGAGTCGCAACTCAGTGGCAGGCATTCATCTGTCAAGTGACAGTTGTTGATCATAGTGAAGTTATACTTTGGTTGGGGGAGGAGGAGTGATAAAGTCACTGTCACCCTTTCGTGAACTGTGCAGTGATGTACTTGAGGAAAAATGGAGCCATGTTCATAAAGACTGGTCATGGAGAACAGATGCACTTTGTCTGTCCTGAGCCCTATTTATGAGTCAAGGGAATGCTACAATGAGAAGGTTATATAAGATATTCAGTTCCAGGTCATTTATTCTAGAAAATACACATGATGAAAATGAAATTATTTTAGAACCTGATACTAAAGTTTGAGCAATGTAGCTTGATAATTTTGCATTGGTTTTCTAAAGTATCACATAGAGACTTGTTATCTGTCAAATTGTGTGACTCTGTGCCATTAATATGGAACATTATTAACACTTAATTTAAAAGCTATGCATATGATACTTTATGTGGCTTATTTCTATGTTGTAAATTTGAACACATATCTCAAAAAAGGAACTGAACTAATCACGGATGCAGGCATAATACAACATATGGGTGGAAATACATTTTGTTATAGTGAAATGCATTTCTATCCTAATATGCAACAATGGCAGTTCTACCTTCATGAAGATCCTTGCCTGTAACATGAAGACATTGTGGTAGACATACATTTCCTTGTAATTATATTCACACCATATGACTATTGATTTCATCTGTATATTTCTAATTGATCACGCTATCCAACTTGTTTCATCTTTTCATTATGGGAAGTCTTTAAAATACATAAAATAGGAAAGGATTACAGTGTGTTGGTGGTTCCCACAGATTTTAAGAGCATAAAGAGTTAACTTTCAACACCACTAGGATTACATTTGCTAAATTACTTTTCCTCAGGAGATAGAATCCTCTTAGACTGAAATGTTAATGCCCTCTTTTCCCTCCAAAATGAGTCATTGCTTATTGGTACGATTAGATACATTGTAGAATACAAAAAAATCATACATCTGTTATGAATTTAAAGTGGCTGAATAATATAGGGGAACTTTAAGAATGACCTTTTATGCCATTTTTACTGTCATTTTTGTATAATTAGTCCCACAATTGTTCTGTATAATTAAAATGTAATTTTGCTGAAGCTTCTTTCTTTTTGCTTCATTAAAGATACACAAATATCAAACAAGGTATATAAAGAACACTGAATACCATAAGCCATGGGGTCTATAGACATATGAGTCAGCAATATTTGTTATAGATCAATTGCAACCACTTTTTAAAAGTTATTTTTGAGTAATTATAAGCAATAGTTCTTGATGCATTGTTGAGCCCAGTAATATCCCAGATGACGTTTATGTTCAGAACTAGAAGTTATAAGAAATAGTTCATGTACATTTGAGCACAGAATAATTTAGATTGGAGAGAGCATTTTCAGTAACTGGGATTAAAATTATTATCCATTTTAAAATTTACTGTCCAAACTCTAGGGGAGTTCAATATTTCTGATCTGCTTCATAAGCATTATAAAACTAAACTGCCCTATGGCTAGCCAATTCTACCATATTTAGGCATTTGTAAATTAGCTGTTCACATTGATGTTAATATAGCTTTAAACATCACAAAGATCAAGTAACTTTCATTTCTGACTTATTTGAGTGAATTCATTTCGTTGTTTCAAATATTGTACAATATATTCCTTTTGAAGGTCTAAAACTTCCATTAAAAGTCTAATTATTAAAATGTCGACTTAGATGTTTTAAAAGCTACAGAAAAAATAATCACATGCATATTATATGTGAAAATTACTGTTTCATCTTTTAATGTACCAACTTTTAAAGAGTATACATTCAATATTTAACATGTATTATAATTATATATACAATATGTTTTGGGTAGTGATGAGGTCAAAGAAGAACCTCATATATGCTAGGAAACTGTTCTACTACTTCCTTCCTTCCCAACTCTGTGCATCTATTTTCAAAATAAATTATTTTCATAGTTTTCCTTCCTTCCGTGGTGTTCATTTTTGGCTATAAAATATATAAATAGTTAACACTTTGACTTGAAGAGAGAGGTCAAATATTTGGGCAAAGGATCAAAGACAAAGTGTAGGAAGTGTCATGATGTATTGTTTATGGTTTAATAAAGCTTGCAAGGAAGTTATCACTTAAAATGATGGAGCATTTAGTTGCAGGTTGCAGCAGTAGATGATGGTTCAGATCTCAGAAATAGAATTTAACTACTGGGTTAGGTCATATGCTCCCCATTAACATAGAAGCACATCACTTAGCATGGAGCTAACACACATGCTGGTGAGAACTCCTATCCTGATTATTCAAAATGAGAAAAGAGATAATTGTATACTTCTAGAAGACAGGAAACAGATGTTTTATGGAAGGCCCTTGGAAATTCCCTCCAAGAATCAGCTGTTTCCAAAGTACATTTTAAAACCTGTTGTTTACAACAGGAGGTGGTGAATTACTTTCTTGAATTATATTAAGAATTTCAGCTTGCATTTATGTAAGACTGTAGTGCAGTTGGGTTAGACACTATGCAAACAGTTGGTTCTTGCAAAGTTTCTGCCCGATGAATGCAGATTTCTTTGTATAGGAATGTGACAGTTGACCATGGAGCTCTTAGTGAGTCCCACAGTATCGAACCTTTAAAATGGACATATGGATTCTTTCTGGCTTTCATCACCCAGTTTTCTTGGTGGCCACATAAAGATTCTAAAACCTCTCTGAGAATTCACACAGACTATCCTCATCAAAGACAAAAGACAAAGAGAAAGTTTGGCAAGTGGTTAGCAAGGAAAGATGAGTTGCTCAAGCTGTTCCTATTGGAGTAGTTTCAATTCTAGGTTTATGAAAAATGATGTAATCCTTGGTCTTTATGATTTTGGAGGCTTAAAGATTCAAAGATTCATTTCATAATGAAAATATTAAGATTGGTTCAGCAGTAAACTCTTTGTTTTATTCAGAAACTCAGGCTGCTTCTGCCATACTCACAGAGCCTGGAAAAATTGAAAAAGAATGCAGAGGTGGTTAAAAATGAATGTTTTTCTTTTTAATGTGTGAGTAGTTGGAAGAGAGCAACTATGACTGTCATTCTATTCTTAATATTTTTACTTGAAATGTCTTTTGTATTTCTAAAGATATATCAAGGAAACAGAAACATCTACTTTCCATATACGGAAATTAAGATGGCTGACCTATGATGTTATAAAGGAATTAGTCCTCAATTCCAGAAGTCAAGCTGTTATCCACACAGACTTAGTGTAGATGATAGCTGTACTCATTCCCTGTTGTATTCTTCTTCCATCAAAGAAGATAAACAAAAAGTAAAAATATTGTGAGCTAGGATGGTATAATGGGTGTGAGTATATGCATGCATGACATATAGGAAGTGTGTGCTCTGCAGTAATGTGAATGTCTAGTGTAACAGTGTTATCTGTTGCTGGACTTCCAATATATTATTATTATACTATATAATCTGATTTTGCTAACTCAGATTAGTGATAGATAAGAGAAAGAAAATGGATGATATTCATCTGCATGACTAGATAGCCCTCCTACAAACATCTTATACTCACAATATTGACTTTAATAAAGATTAAGCTCATGGGGTCACTACCACAGTTGCACATGCATACAAGCTGATTTAGGACTCATACAAGTTGCTTAGGTACCTTTGTTTCTTTGCTCAAAGAATATTCATCCTTGTATCTACTTTGGTACCATCCTTGTTAATGAAGTTTTATTTATTTCATTTTGGAAGAATAAAATGTATAGCATAATTCAAATGATGCTCTGCTTTTATAGTTCACTAATTTATATATACTATCAGATATTGTTTGTACACTGTTGACTTACTTTCTGCTCACATTTGTGCATGGATTTATTTGCATTATACAATGTAGAAAACCTAATTACTCTATTTCCATGAAATTTCCTTTATTTTGGAAGTTTTTGAAATATTAAAATTAAAATGGTTGAGAATTACTAACATAATATACACAAATAATGCTGCTACTCATTAGGTTAAAAAAAAGTCTATGAAATGTATCTCAGTGAGGCATTTACGGATATTCTCTAGACTGTAGTTGATTGATTTTACCCATGGCTTTGGAGAGAAGAATGTTACTCCTATGGATTAATTAAATTGAACAAATTCTAATGGAAAAGTTTAGCTTGTATCCTTAGACACTGCATTCTCCACTGAGACAGTTTATGTAAAAGAGCATTATAAACACAGTAAAATCTGACATTTAAAAGAATTTGCTACGGACCATTATTTCATCTAACAATGGAAAATGGAAGTAGCAGAGGTGAATAAATCATTAAATGCTCTCTTAATACAGAAGCCATGTTCTTTTAGTTTATTCTGTTCTGCAGAGAATGAATTGGGAGAGAAAATGCCACTGGTTGAATTCATAGAAAAAAAATGTTTTTATTCTCCCTGATAGTATCATTCCATTGTTTATAGCCTTTTTTTAAAATCATGTCTAACATACCGATTCCTGTGTTTTGAAAACATTAATACATCCTGGCATCTGATATTCTCTGTTTCTTTGGTTAATCAGCCTCCTAAATACATGTGTTTATTGCTTTCAGGAGGGAAAGGTGGGAAAAAGAAGAAAAACAAAAATTCTTCTAAAGCGCAGAAAAACAACGGATCAACTTGGGCTAATGTCCCTCTACCTCCTCCTCCAGTCCAGCCCCTTCCAGGTACAGAGCTGGGACACTATGCCGCTGAACAACAAGAAAACGGGTAAGAAAATGGAGTACTCTGACAACATGGCCAAGGCTGCACTCCCACTTCTACTCATCTTTGCTGAGTACCTCTTTATCATTTAACTGCTTCCCCTCCCTCCGTGTTCATTGCATCCTCCTCTGCTGTTTGCACTCTCTCTATATTTTTAGCTGATAAATATAAAACAGCCCATAGTGAGGAGTGAGAATCCTTGGCCCTCAAGTGCTTTAGATTGTCTGCAATCATGATAATCAACCCCCATTTATAATATTGCTTGTTAGTTTGAAAGCAAGTCCCCACAGCTCTGTGCACTAAAGAGGCACTCCTGAGAAGGGCTGAAAGGGAATTAAAATAACCTTCTTCATCATCCCTTGTGGCTTCCTAATGGCTTGATGTCTGGCCATAGCAGGGCGCCACCAGTAGAGCACCATCACAATGGGATAATTGTGGGGACCTGGCCAGTGGGTAGAGCTTTAATCATCAGCTCTGATGGGAGTTTAGGAAGAGGGACAATAAGAGATTCACGTCAATGCACACTCTGTAACAAAATCTTTTTAAGGTAGACAATTTCTTTTGATGGCCCTTAAACGTGATGTTCCTCTATTCTTTCCCAAAAATCCCACGAGTTGGTTTCCTGTTACTTAAGAGTGGTGACTGATTTGAAGCACAAAGGCATGGATAATGTTTTTTATTACCAAAAAATCAAATGTAATATTTTACCTAAATGTTGTATCTTGCTTTCACTTTGCAAACCAGTATTTTGACTAGACTAGTATACAACCAAGAATACAGAATATATGGAAATTTTCTCTTCACAAAATTTGTTTTACACAGAAGTATTTACATATTAAATATAATTTAATTACATAGTATATTATGGTTCACATTTGTTCAAATCACATAAATATGCATATTTGATTATAAATTTTTCATCTTTTAAAAAATTCTATCTTATACACATGAGTAGTATATATACACTTATTTGTAAATATGGGTATAATATAGCTATATATACTCATACTAATACACTCACATCTTTCCTCCATCTTTCTATCTCTCCAATAGATTTAATTTGTTTCTCTGGGAAATAGTTCTCATATGTATGCAAAAAATGATTATTTAACTAATAAAAATGTTTCCATTTGAAATTAGAAGTAAAGAGCCCATGCTTTCTTCTCCGGGTTTAAAAATTAAATTGTGAATATGATCCTAATTCACATTAGTGAGGTAAATAATTCAATATCTCATGAAAAGCAAGAGCTACATATTTCATCCAAAAGATTATTATAGGAATATTACTTAATAGTTTGCATTTTAAGTTTGTAGCCAGGAAACATAGAAATGGGATTCTATGTTTCTATGGGGAGAGAAAAGTATGTTAATGCATTGTAAGAATAGCATCTGGATCACATGGAAATTGTAGCTTATTTAGAATTCTGTCTTTTTTTCACCATCAAATCTCCTTAAAATATACATCTGATATAATGATGACCATTACACACCGAAATAAATTAATTTGATCTAAGTAATGCAACATGACCTCGATAAAAAGTGAAAAACCTGGAAGTAATTCGTTCATTGATGAAACAGTTAATGTTAGTGTAGTTTTATGGTCTTACACAAATGGTCTTCAGAATATTGGTATGTCATGTCATTTTACTTATTTAGTGATTACAATTCATTTTTAAAATTTACCAAATATGTGCTATATGATTTTTCATTTCCAAAATATTCATTTACTACTACAAATAGTTAAAATGAATGTTCAGACTCTATACAGGCAAGTGCACATAAAAATGATTGTGCTGTATATTTTAGTTCTTATCTACATTTGAAGTTTTATTTGCCTTAAGTCCTGAGATTTTACTGGTGGGAAAAAGAAGAATTTTTTAGGGTTGGGGATGTATCTCAATAAAATTAGTTTTTAAAAAAAATTTATTATCATTTGCAACAGACAATAATAAAGAAGTTTGTCAACACTTTTTAAAAATGCATCCTAAATGCTATGCCCAGGTCTAGGAAGAGAAGCAATAAAAACCAAAGAACAGGAAAAAAATACATTTATAACAAATATCTGATACATTAATAAGAAGGGTATACTTACAGCCCTAAGTCATTACCTATCTCAAGGCAAACATGAACAGGTTATCCTCTCTTCCTTTCCCTCTGCCATCTCTTTCATTCTCTTTTACACACACACACACACACACACACACACATACACACACACACACGAGAAAGAGTTATACATTAACAATGACAATAAAATAATAAATAAACCTACAAGCCAAGGGAAGACTTACATGAGTGGACTCTTGAGACTCTCTTGAATTATTTATTCTTTTTTTCCCAGAAAGAGTTTCCCTGTGTAGGTTTGCCACTTGTCCTGGAACAAGCACTTGTAGACCAGACTTGTCTCGAACTCACAGAGATCTGCCTGCCTCTGCCTTCCAAGTGCTGGCATTGAAGGCATGTGCTACCGCTAGCTGGCTTTGAATTATTTATTCAAAAATGATAGTACCCAAAATTTATGGGTTGTTAGATACTATGCCCAGAATCAAAGTTTCAAAGTTAATGAAAAATAGCCCAAAAAGTATTGAATCTAGAAGGATCTTTGAAAGAGAGTAGATTGTTAGCCAATATATATATACATATATATTGACATAACTACATACCTTAATATAGAGAACTTTCTTTCTGGACAAAGAGGAAAAATAAAAAAGCATTCCCATTAGTCTGCCTTTACTATTCTATTTATGACTAATCCCCTCTCTTCTGCTTCTCATCATTTCCTGAGCTTGCCTCTCTGTCTTGATCATCCCTAGATTGCATTTTTATTGTTCATCCCCATCTTTCTTCAACTGGTACATACTGCATGAAGTTGGCTAATGCTGACATTTTATTATAAATATATTTTATTTAAAACAAATTTTAAATTTAAATATATTTTGATCATATTTTCCCCTCCCCAAGTCTTTCCACATCCTCTCTCTCCCTACCCACCCAAATTTAAATTCTTTCTAAACAATTTAATAGAACCCAATAATACAATCTCTAAAGTGAAGGAAACAAAATAAAAGCACACTCAAAAAGAAATAAAACAAAACAAAATTAAAAGCAAGTTGTAACCAAACAAAAGGACACACACCCACTCAAAAATAAAATAGTAGCGTCTATCATTCATTGGTCAACTGCTCTTGAATATAGGGTCTGTCCTGAAGTAGTTGGCATACCCATTGTCACTCTATTGGAAAATGCTGATTTTCCCTCTCTTAGCAGTTAAAACTGACAGCTCAGTTTTAAGCTTCCACAATGTAGGAGATCATTTGAGAAGGTGTCATGAATCCTGTGTGCTATATAAGGACTCAGCTATTTTACTATTGACGATAGACTAGATAACAAGGACGTTGGTTCAGGTGGATAATGTTTGGAATTTTCCAGCAAAAAGGCTGGTATGAAAATAAAAACATATGAAGACATGGTAGTAAGAGTAGATGAGGAAAACAGAGTTAGGAGAGAGTCCTGGCTGGGAATAACAATGTTGAAAATATACTGTCTAGTTACTAGTCATGATTTGTAGTATCGGTTCCTAAGGATGCAGATTTCAGTTTTCCTCGTAACCCATCCATGACCAATTTCTTTCTTCACAGTACAAAATTACAGAATTTATTTAATCGCTCCAATGAAATGATATTTGAATCTTAATTCAATCATGTAGCCATGGTGCAAATGTTTTCCCTTCTTAATATGCTTCTTCTGTTTGAAAAAGACAGTGTGTTGAAGGTATTAGGGCCTAGATATGACTGCAATACATTTTTATAGTCATAGGCTGCTTAGAAGAATTCCATAATTAAATAGGCACTTTGCTTTGCTCTTGCAATTAGACATTGGCAAGCTTCCGCTGCAGCTGAATGTTATTGTATTTGTATTAGTAATTTGGTATTTGTATCTGGCCTTTAATAAGTTAGTTCACATGCAATATTGATTTGCTGTCATCTGATCATTACTCATCAGGAAAGACAGATAATAGGTTGCCCCATACTTGGCTATCAGAATTTCAGGGAACAAGAACTTGCCTTGCAAAGGTTGAGTAAAACAGCTTTGATTGTCCATTGGGGGTACTTTTGTAGACTTTGTAGGTTACTCAAAAAAACATCAAAAGTGTATTACTTAAATAAGATGTGCATCTATAAAATGTGACGGAAACCTTTAAACAGAGCTGTATGTATAAAATATACAGTCACGTGCTACCCTCTAATCTTTCCTTGGTAACTACACAAAAACTTTCTATCTAGCCCTCTGGGATGGATTCATTTATGAATACTAGGGAGGTGATGAACAGTTCTCTACGTAACATGATAGAAACTACATCCTGACATGGCTTCCTTTATTTGCTCTTGTTAGTCTCCAGGTCTTTGGGATATTTTTACCACTTTTTATTTTTTCTTCTGGTGGCATCCACATTGAGTACGCATACTTTTTCCTGGAAGAGTGATCAAGTTTATTCGTTATGGTTCCAATTATCTTTTCAGAGAATATAGAGAGAATTGTTGACAGCATCCACCCTACTTTAATGAAAGGTTAATAAAATTTGTTTTAGTAACTTAGCACACTTTGTAAATTATTTATCTAGTATTACAATTCTTTATAATATCAAAAATTTTAAATACATTCTGTTTTGCTCAGTGTTATTTGAATAACATAAAATGAATCAAGTATAATGTACTCTAATGTTCTTCACTTTGTCATTGTAAATAATGTATATAGCACATGCTTTCTCTCTCATCTTACTCATGTTATATTCTTAATCTAAATGTCATTTAGATTGCTTAAAAATTTGTCTATTGCTGGGCGGCAGTGGTGCACGCCTTTAATCCCAGCACTCGGGAGGCAGAGGCAGGAGGATCTCTGTGAGTTTGAGGCCGGGCTGGACCGACAGCCTCCAAAACAATACAGAGAAGCCCTGTCTCATAAACAAACAAACAAACAAACAAAAATTTGTCTATTGTTCAGGTAGAAATATTTTTAGTACTAGTGAGCTATGACTATTGGAAATACTAAATATATAATACTTCATATATTATCTTGGGCACTATGCCAGCCAACATAAATATAAAAAATAGAACTATTAATATCTGCTGCAAAATGTGTTCTATGTAAACAAGCTTTTAAGAGTAAGCTTGACTTTAACTATTGGTAAAGGCTAATAGTAAACACATTCTAGACTGCAAATGGGCAGTTATTTTATTAGGGTCTAAACATGTATTTTTTACCTTAATAATGTAGCACTTGAACTCAAAAAACCATGTAAAGAAACTTAAGTTTTCTATTAATGAAGCACTTTGAATGTCAATAAATATGATTTTAGCCAGCTATAAGGTAGCTAAACCTCTTTGAAGAAAAGATACCATAAACATATGAAAAGCTAAATATTAAACTGAATGAGTAAAAGGAAGGATCAACATTGAAAATCTAAAATCCATTTTCAAGTCAGTGTTCAATAATACAGCCAATTTTGTAATATAACATTTTGTCAGAGAGTTTTACAAAAAAAATGTGCAATTTAAGGATTTATCTTGAAGACATGTAAGATTAGAATAGAATTCTGGAGTGGGAAGCTTACTTGAAATAAATTTGTTTCTATGACTGACTGTACCAGGCTACAAAATTGTAAAAGAAAAAAGGAAACAAAGCCATTTAGTTTCAGCGTGAGATTCTTGCTGACAAATCATGTACCCTGTTAGAAAATATGTTGCAGCTTAACTATGTTAAATGAACATAATAGAATGAAGAGAAGTAAATAGCTTTCTTATACTGTTCTGATGTCTTCATAGATAAATTTGTAAATAGTCAGCAGGATTGATTAGATTTGAAAACCTTAAAGCATTAAATGCAGCAAAGGATGCTGGTTACAGATTTTAGAACAATAGAATTCTGTCTTCAAATAAAAACCGTGATCTCCATAAAACAAATTAAATTGACAACGTGCTAGAAAATGTATTTCTTTCATCACAGATTGGCACACATTATATAGTAAATAAATAGAAATACAGATTTACACCCATAACGTTTTTTTTCTAGAGATAACATACTGAAATGTGTCTGCTGTTCACAATAGTATAAAAGGCATTGAGAGACAGCCATCCCTTCCAAATCCTTTCCAAACTATACAGCACTCCTTAAGTTCACTGAGACAGAAGGGCATTAAAACAGCCTCAGCAAGGCAAAAGTAAGTATGGACACAAAAACGAAGGAGCCAAGGGTAAAACTAACTTTGAGTGGAGAATATTTGGTTTATGGAAATAAGGTTTTAGAAATCCAGGGAGACTCATGGGTAGAAGTCACAGTAGTCCAAGCTCCCTGGAATTGATCAAGTCCTATGTAACTGATACATTCCTTCCTCTCCTCACTTATGGCCAATATCCTCTCTGTATCTCTTTTGGAAATTGAGGTCTTCAGTACTCATCTCTGGGCTTGCACATATGTAACTTAACATATTCCTATAGCTATTTTCCAAGACATCCTTGGCAGTGCCCAGACACCTTGTGCTTTCCAGGTATCTATTCCCACAGCAGTCTCCATTTCTGATTAGTTGCATCAGCTGATTCTACTATGCAGCATCACCCTTGCATTCTCTTATCTTCCTCATACCCCTACCAATATCCTACCGAGTCTCTATCCTGCTTCCATGTTGTCTCAGTCAATATTCTAGTGCTATGAAGACACATTACTACCTCAGCAACTCATATGGGCAAGCATTTGATTGGGGCTGGTTTACAGTTCAGAGGTTTAGTGAGTTGTGGCATGGTGGAAAGCTTGATGATACACAGGCAGACATGGTACTAGAGAAGTATCTGAGATTTTATATCCAAATAGGCAAGAAAAGAGACAGACTCTGCATCTGGCTTTCTCATTGTGAAACCTCAAAGCCTGCCTCCAGTGACACACTTCCTTCAATAACACCTCCTAACAGTGCCACTAGCTAGAGACCAAATATTCAAATCTATGAGCCAATGGGGGTCATTCTTATTCACATGTCTTTCTGTTTGATGTTTGCTTTGTGATTCACTGGGTTTAACCAGAATTATTAATATGGGCATGGGTGACTTTGTCCACTAGTACATGGAAATTCCCCAGTGTCTACATCATTAAAGACAATAAATTCCTGTCTTTTAGCAGACATAGTTCCCTTGTGCCAATCATGGCTCCATGAAGCATCCTCCCATCTAAACGTATTACTGGCTTAGTCTTTTGGAAAGCACAACTTTTGAAAAGTCTCATTTAGGATTTATCCTTTGCTGAAATACTGAATCTATGGAGCTGGTATAAATAGAACTGTTATTTAGAATATACTGTACTAGTATTCTATATTCTTTATCCAGAATACTGTCTAAAATTGTTTTGAATGCCAACGACATCTTCAAAGTAAACTGAAAATGTATAAAATGGTAGATTTCATACCAAATAATTTACTGAAATTAGAAATTAGGTAATTACTTTCCTTCTACAATCCATCTGGAACTTTTGTTTGTGGGTTGAAATAGGCAGGATGTGGGTTTCTATTGACAAACTTCATAAAATTAAAATATCATTGATATTTTTACCACCAAAAATTGATGACGAATGGATTATATGGAGCAATAGATTGCCATAGGTACAGAAAAGTATAATTCCTCCAAGTGTTAGATGATCAATCAGCATTATTGGTGTATTCTTTTGTGCACAAGGACAAAAAGAAATGGGAGTGTATGTATCTCCCAGCATTGACTTCATTAATTGTCTTTAGTTAGCAAACTGGTATTTCCACATGAGTGTCTTTGGGAGGAGGTTATTGCCATTTGAGGCCGTGTGATAACAATTAGTTAATAAGGTCTTCTAAGAATAAGTTGAGATAATAGATCAATTAGGAATAAGGACTAATAGTCAGATGATTTGCTATGATAGGCTCAAAATTGTGATAAAGAAAGCAGACATCGTGAACATTTTAGACACCATTTGGTTGCTATTTAATGCTAGCATAGTTTTGCATTTATGTATGTGTGTGTCAGTGAACAAATTTCCTTATTTAATTTCAGCTATGACAGTGACAGCTGGTGCCCACCATTGCCGGTACAAACATACTTGCACCAGGGTATGGAAGATGAACTGGAAGAAGATGAAGATAGGGTCCCAACACCTCCTGTTCGTGGTGTGGCCTCTTCACCTGCTATCTCTTTTGGACAGCAGTCCACTGCCACTCTTACTCCATCCCCAAGGGAAGAGATGCAACCCATGCTTCAAGCTCACTTGGATGAGTTAACAAGGGCCTATCAGTTTGATATAGCAAAACAAACATGGTAAATATCATCAGTAATCCACAGGCCCCATTCTTTCTACATATGTAAATGTTCTTGGATGTGTATTATGCAGAAATGTTCATAAATCTGTGTGCGTGGGATGAAAATGGTTTACAATATGTATTAGCCATCTATATTAAGAAACTGGTGACAGAAACTTAACTAACCTGACCAGTATCACTTATCTGGTTAGAGAGTGAAGTAGGGATTCAGACTGACGTGCTTTTGGCAATACCAGAATGCTTTCTTAATCACAAACCAGCTCCAATTAGTTTATCCTTGAACTTGCTTTAATACCACAATAAAGGACTCCTTTCAAATTCTTTAAAGTGCCTGTGATTAATTCTGTATGTGGTTGTGAATATGTAAATACATGCATCTGAAAATCACTATGGACAGTGTCGGTTATTAAAAGACTCTGTTTGAACTGAATTAAGTGGATTAAAAATTAACAAAAATAAAAACAGTATATGCTTCAACAGAAAACCAAGAACACATTAGGATTTTTTTTCTAAAAAAACTTCAAATTCATAAGTCACAGATGGTTAGGTGTTCTGTGAAAATGTGGCAGAAATAGAAATAGGACAAGGCAACATGGTTTTTATAGGTTTTGTTTTTCTTCAATACTGATTTACATGTTAGTATATATGTCCTATAAAAAAGTATATCCTGTTGACTTACATCATACTTGAAGTCAGATGAAAGACTTTTTCATTTTGGTTGCTTACTTACTGAGATGTATTCATAGTAAAATATTCATCATTTTTGCTTATGAGATGCTTATTTTTAAAATATACCAAAGCAGATATTCAAGAATATACCCAAATAGGGGAAAAACACTCCATACTGTCACAAACGTGCTTTTTACTGGGATGCAGAAGCCTTTTGTTCACAATCAGAGAATATATTCTCAGTAGTCACACATGCTTACTCTTAAATAACATTGTTTTACATAAAGATCCTTTGTGCAAAATACAACCAAGTTTGAAAGAATTATGTGAATAAACATAGGATTTTTCTCATGTTTACTCATGAAGTTGCAATCTTGTCACTTATGTTTTAAACATGACTAACTCATATTACAATCAGCTGGACAAATTTAATACACAATAATACCTAGATACTACCTCCAAGTTGATTCTGATTGCTTAGTGTGGGAATCCATGGAGGAAAGCCAAGTGTAGGCCCACTTCCATGAAGACAGATGTGTCTTACCAGATGTATGACTTGGAGAATTTTGCCATTTCTATGTATACTTCTATGTGTAAAGTGACAGTGATGCTAATAATTAGCTTCCATATGAACTTAATAGGGTTCATTACAACAATACCCTAAATTATGATCATCTATATGATCCCAGTCCTCAAAATCACTCTGAAGTTTGAAAACATGCTACGAGAGTTTTAAGAATTCACTGGATCTCCTATAATTAAAGTTAAAGATTATTCACAGAAAATACAATGGATTAAAATAAGCCAAGGGAAGAGATGTGGAACAAAATTCTGAAGATTTCCAAAGGCAGAGATCTCCCTTCAGAGTTCCAGGTAGCTAGTTCAATTTACCCAGCATTAGCAAGATACAGGGAGTCTTACCAAGTCATGGAGTACATGTGAGCATAGCTAGAGACGTGGCCTTAGACCTCTAAAGTTGACTCCTTTCATGACTGAACTCAGTAGTCACTCCAGTCAGAGATGAAGCTGTTACTTTGTGATTAAAAGCCTGTGATGATTTGTCCTCCTAAATATTTCCAAGTCAACAGACACTTGAGTCAGAAAACATACTATGAGAGTAGAGACTACCTCCAGATTTTAAAGAACACTACCTACACTTTTAAGTTACGATGAAGCTATTTATTATGCTTCATTGAATTTTTGGAAGATTTAAATATGATTGCATGTTTCATTGTCCTTAAAAAACTACCCATCTATATCCTAATTTCTAATGTTTAGAAGGGGTTGGGCTTTTGTCCAAATTGGTTGCTGATGTCTTTTTACACTTAAAATCTCCCATTGAGTATCTCCTTCATTGGTATCTCCTGAGTGGATGAATGAACTAAGACATTTCCATATCTCCCCCCTACACATACACTAGATCTCGTTTCTCATCTTGAGACTGTTTCTGCACAATCTGCGAGCATTCTGAATGCCTCAGTTAAAACTGCATATGAGGGTAGTAATTCATCCTTTACCCAAAAAAGTACTTCACTTGCTCTCGTGGTCTGGAAGTGCCAACTACTTTAGGTTACACATCACATTCACAAAACTATGAAGATAAAGGGTCCTAGCTGCACCTCCAAGGATGCTTATCATACTGACTAATGAAATGTTCAAAACACTTCCTGTTGCCAGCAGGTTGTTATACATCCTGCACACCTTAATCTCATATTTCAAATTAATTTGTAATTCTGCTCTAATAGTTTAATACATTTTTATCCCTTTGCAATTTCCCCATCAAGACATGCTAACAGCTATATAGAATTACAGTGTTGGTCTGTTCTTTCCTCACCCACCCCAAAATCTATAGCATTATAGTGAAATGAACCACATATGTCACCCTCCTTGACACCCTCTTGTTTATCATGTAGTGCTTTCGCTCCTCAATTTTCAAACTGAATGTGATGACCCATGTGTAGCAAAGTGGGTCTGTCAAAGCTCAAGGGTCTGTCTAAGATATTCTAGTGAAACTTGCTTTTCTTTCCTCACAATGGATTAAGAGCCTTGTGATGAATGCCATGGAGTTGCATGCTGCCTCAAATACCTGTTTTATAACACTAAAAATTAAATCTGGCTACAATGAAATGATGTCCAGAAGTAACAATTTTTGGGGTTTTTACCATTGAAGGATCTAGAATATGGTTAGCTTTAGCATTGTTTATAAATTCACATATGCAAATCACATAGGAATACTAAGCAAATTGTAGAAAAGGAAACATTTTCTCAAAAGATTATAAATGAGAGCAGAAATAACTCTTCAACTTTTCAAAATCCAGTGGAAAAAATGCACTCCCCTTATTTGCAATACTTTTACATGGAAGGGTCCTTTTGAATACTTCGCTAGGAAGTCAAGAAAAAAATGTTCAGACATGGAACACATTCACTCTTTGTTGACAGTTACAAATGGTTGAGTTAGCATCCCTTGAGCATTTTATAGGTTATAAGGGATAACTGAATGATCTCCCAGCACAGCAAGTGGACCTCAGGCTCCAGCTCTACATTGTATTAGTCATAAAATGTGAACTCAAACAGGCTTTATTTACATATTTTCCAATAAATGAATGGCCATGCAGGTTCTGTTAATTTTATAATGTTGGGATGAGACTTCTTTACTCATTTCAAAGAAGGTATTGAACATACCTTATGTTTTAAATTCAATCCCCCACCCTTAAGACTTGGTTCTTGAGATGCATTGCAAATACCTAGAGAGCACAAAGGATTTGTGTCTAATCTAAACTGGGATAATGGGACAGCTGTTCATCCTAATGTGATGGGAATCATACCAAAAGCAATCCGTATAGGGCTGGAAGTGTGCCAGAAGCAGGGCCAGGGCAATCAGGCCTCCACCTGACAAACTTTCTTTGAACATGCTACATAGACTAAAACAAGTGAAGTAAACTTTAACATTCCTGGAAACCAAATTGCTATGGTTATGGGTGGAGGGAGGTAAAAATGATTTGGGTCAAATATTTCTATTCTCTTTTGAATCTTTTGTTGATACAAAAATACTCTCTATATTTTTCATCTCTATGCATCACCTTATAAACATCAAAGCAAGAATTTTTGTAGTTTATGTGGTTGCTATTTGGTAAGGCACATGTGTCTTTACTGAAGTAAGATAATGCGCTGTGAGTTAGTACACACAGAAGACAGTATGAGTTACCGTAACATACCATTTGACATGAATTATGATCTTGCTGAATGATAATGAATTGCTTCTCGTCTTTCGTTTCTTTCCATTTCAATTCCAGGCACATTCAAAGCAATACTCCACCTCCACAGCCCCCTGTCCCACCATTAGGTTATGTGTCCGGAGCCCTGATTTCTGATTTGGAAACAGATGTTCCAGATGAGGATGCTGATGATGAAGAGGAGCCATTAGAAATCCCCAGGTCCCTCAGAGCCCTAGACCAGACACCTGGATCCAGTATGGACAATCTAGACAGCTCTGTGACAGGTAACAAAACTGATAGAATGGGAATAAGTGACCCACTTGCAACATTAAAATGTACCACAAATCAAATGCTTCCTTATGTAAGATTTATTCCACTCCATCTATTTTTGTAACATTTTAAATATGTTAATGTTAAACACCAAATTCAAAAAGGATTTAGAAATACTTTTGCTTTGCTGCTAAAATGATAAGGAAATTCATGAATTTTAAAAAGCTTTAAAGACATGAAAGAAAACTCAATTATATCTCAGGCTTTCATGAAAAGTTCACTCTGCTAGGAAACTAAGTCTATTATATGAAAAACCTTTACTTTTAGAAATGATATAATTTGTATATCGGGGGCAACATACAAAGTGAATGAGATCTTAAAATGCTTCTTGATATTTCACTATGTAAAGCCATTCACTGATGAAAATAAGCAAGTCTTCAGAATGAGCCTCTCTTAGGTTGCACATGGCATTATTTTTGGAGTGGAAACATGCATAGCGAGATAAGCAATACATTTATGCATTTCACATTGCTGAATCCAATCCCCGATCCTCTGCCAAGAACTGTGGTTATTTTGACTGTTTATTGCTTAGGCTCCTCCCCCCCTTTTTTCTCTTGTTCAATAAGCAAGGACTTGAGTTGGTGCATGCCTATGATGACTCTAGGGCTGAGAAACAGCCTATTTCCAATGATCTAAAATTGTGCAACTGAAACTCCATATATACACAAAGGAAGTAGCAAGAGCCAAACTTCAGTCTTTCTCTGCCTGAGTTATCTGCTCCCTCACTCACAGTCCTTCCTCTTATTGGATAATGAGGTCATAGCTTCTTCAAACCTAACCCTGACCTCTGTGTTCTCTCAAGTCATCTCAGACCACCAAATCTATGTCACAGGGACACCTTTCAAGTGGATCCTTTGGTGTTTTGGGAGACTTGTTTCTTGAGTTCTTTGTAAATTTTGGAGATTAGCCCTCTGTCAGATGTAGGGTTAGTGAATATCTTTTCCCATTCTGTGGCCTGCCTTTTTGTCTTTTTGACTGTGTCCTTTGCCTTACAGAAGCTTTTTAGTTTCAGAAGGTCCCATTTGTTAATTGTCGATCTCAGTGCCTGTGCCACTGGTGTTATGTTTAGGAAGTGGTCTCCTGTACCAACTCGTTGAAGAGTATCTCCCACTTTCTCTTCTAAAAGTTTCAGTGTGGCTGGATGTATGTTGAGATCTTTGATCCATTTGGACTTAAGTTTTGTACAAGGCGATAAACATGGATCTATCTGCAGTCTTCTGCATACCAGTACCCAGTTATGCCAGCACCATTTGTTGAAGATGCTTTCTTTTTTCCACTGTACAGTTTTAGCTTCTTTGTCAAAAATCAGGTGTTCATAGGTGTGTGGGTTAAGATTAGGGCTTTCGATTCGGTTCCATTGGTCTACCTGCCTATTTTTGTGCCAATACCAAGCTGTTTTCAGGACTATAGCTCTATAATAGAGCTTGAAGTCAGGTATGGTGATGCCTCCTGAAGTTCCTTTATTATATAGGGATGTTTTGGCTATCCTGGGCCTTTTGTTTTTCCATATAAAGTTGATTAATGTTCTTTCCAGGTCCTTGAAGAATTGTGATGGAATTTTGATAGGGATTGCATTGAATCTATAGACTGCTTCATCTAATTATTGCCAAAACAAGCATTCCTTCTGTGTCCCTTATATATAATCACTAGACTAGGAATTTAGATTCAGTAACAATATCAAAATAGTAATGAAGAAGAGGGAGAATGAGATGAAGAGGAGGAAAAGCACCCTAATAAATGCAAAACATTCTTCTAAGCAGTAGGGGCTGCTTTTTGGATGGCCCAGATATTTAAGAATGAATTTTTTTCTTCTTGAGACAGGTTCTTACTATGCAGTCCTGCTGGATTTGAACATATTATATAGAGCTGGATCAGTTTGTAAACTAGAATTAAAGTCGTGCACTACCACACCAGGACTGGTTGTTCACATTTTAAAAGCATAGCAAGGAAATGAGAGACAAACAAAAGCTAGGGGAAAGAGAGAAAGAATTCTCAGAAGAAGGAAGGAACCAAAAAGGCAGGAAAATGCCTGAGATTTTGAAGTCTAAACTACTGAGTATCTGGAACTTTGCATAGATATGACTGGCCCTACCTTCTAAGGATGTACCCTAGATAATAGTTTGCTTAATCTTCAAACTATTTGCTTGCTGATGCTTTAATTTTATAAATAAATAAATCAAGTCACAGATAAGAAATCAAATCACAGGTAAATCATGACAAATATATATATATATATATATATATACACACCAAAATCAGTCTTATTCTAACTGACTGTAATCTCTGTTTTCTGGAAATGCCTAACATTTATCTCTGAACTTAATCTTATGTAATATGAAAATGGTGGCTAGTTTGCTACCCAACACAAGACTTTTTCATATATATAAATATACATTTCTAAAAAAAGAAACCACATAAAATTATATGGACACCTTAATCCATAATGTATACTTACCTGATCAAGATCATGATATAAGTTTTCAGATGTGACATTTATTTTTCTAACATTTGGTTCTACACTCTGTTATAGTTGCCTGTCAAAATTTAGTTGTCAGCGTTTTTAAAGGAATCATCTTTTTATCATTTTTTATTACTTTCTTTTTTTTAATTTTATTTTCCAGTTTAAATTTAGATAAGAATCAAGGTTGCTTCACAAGTCAGTTCCAGGTCCCTCTCCCATTCCCTCCCTTCCTCCCGTGCCCTTCCCCCCCGCCCCCCCGGTTATCCCCTCATTTCTCCAGGGAGGGTGAGGCCCTCCATGGGGGTGTCCATAGTCTTTTTATCATTTTTTTAGTAATCTGTGCATCTAACTCACCCTGCACATCTATTTGGTTGTCACAAAGCACAAAAAATAGCTGTAGTGATGCAGTGTGCAGCTTATGTGGAAATAAACACTGCAAAGCTTCCATTTTCAAAAATAAGCTGGTGAGATTGCTGCCTAAATGCCAAGCCAGCATCTGAGAATATCAGAGAGAGACAGGATTCAGCATTTCTTTCCCAACATGCATGGTAGGAGACAAGGAGAAGCATTTTCTGGAAGTAATACCCTTGAAAAGACAACTGTGGAAGATAGAGGGGAAAGAGGGATGGAAAAGGGCATCGTTAACATATAGTTCAGATTCTACCTGCCTGGTGACAGAATTAGGGCCAAAAGTGAGTGCTGCTGAGTGAAAGAGTGCCTCAAGTGTTGGAACCCACATGCCCATGGTGGCTGAAAGGAAATTCCGGCAGTGTTTTCTTTTCTTGTTCTGGATAATTTAATTTTTTCTAGAACTTGCTCACCAGATCGGTATGAAAATACACCTTGTGACTGTTGTCACCTCTAGCCTGCTACATAGGCATTTCGAAAGTTGGCCATTAAAATTTTTCAAATGAGGTATTCTCTCTGCTGCAATTTTTTTCTGATAAACCCTGTAAGTGACAAATATATTGCCTTAGGCTACTTCAATAATTCTAGGAACATTAAGACAATTTTATGCCAAAATATGACAGATTAAAGGATGGATTAGATAGATAGATAGATAGATAGATAGATAGATAGATAGATAGATATGATTTTTGTGGGAGTGAAACAAGTTAACAAATGTTATGTAACTTAAGGAAAAGATTGTGTAATTATTACTTTTGCTTTTCCTGTATGTTACACACACACACACACACACACACACACACACACACACACTCACTCACATACCTGGACCAGGGGCAGATTTGTTGCACATCCAAATCTTTGGAGTATCAGAAGCATTTTCCTCTCGTTTTTCCTATTTTTTTACCTACATCTAGAAAAGGTCATTATTTGGAATGATTTGACCAAAGACAATTATAGCAGAAGATTTGACTTAGCAAGTAGTTAGACAAGCTGCGTTATCTAATAGAGTTCCTGGATTAAATATTGGCTCAAGAAATGGGCCGTCACAAGTTTTTGTAGCTCATAAAAATGGTAATACAACAATTAGCAGGGTCGTGTTAGAGAGTACAGACTTTTCTCCAGCTTAATGGATCCAAGGATAAGCATTTGTCAGCAAGGAAGGATTTAGCATAAATTGACATGTAAATGAATTGACGACTGATCATAAATTAATTTTAGTGCTGAAGATGTAATAGAGACACAGCAAGATACCACTTTATCATGGCATTTTATGCTCAGTAACATTTAAGCAACTTAATGTCCTATGTGAGATTCTTCTTCATCAGTATGAATTAATTTCAGTTGTTTTTTTCCCTGTCCTTTCAGTGTTTTAAGCTGAGGCATCTGGAAAGATTGAAGCCATAAAGACCAATAAATTTGGCTCTGTGACATAAATTCATTTTTCATTAAATGTTTAAATATTGATTATGTTTGTGACTCTAATGTGTCATAGGGGTATGAATTGCTTGCAATTTGTAAAGGTTCTCCAGCCAAGTTCTTCTTACCTGGTGTTCTCTAATTTTCAAACTTGGTGTTCATAGATATGAGAGATACTGTTATCATAAAAATGACATACTGTTGAATCTACCAATTAATGCTTTTTTTCTAGTCTCTTTCACACACACACACACACACACACACACAATATCTCTGTATAAAATATATGGGAATGAATAACAGGTAGTTCCTTATCTCTAAAACTCTACTTCCTAGTGATGGTATATGGAACAGCTACAATCAGGGATGGAGTCAATGTACCGTTATATGCACAGTTAGGCAACCAAGAGCCTGAGACTCATCCTAATACAAGCCTGAAGGTGAAACAGAATCAAGTCAACCAAGGGCTCATGGCTCATTTAGATCCTGGAAACTATAAATGGTAGCAATGCTGAAGTGTACTCAAGTGGTGGCAGATAACATTACATGACTACAGATACTGCAGAGATAGGCAGGGCCCATATTAAAAGGACCCAGTGATTCAGAAGCCTGACAAGGACATGGATATGTTAGTAGTAGAGAGCTGTTTAAACTAGGACATCAATGTGGGTAAGTTCTTGAGAAAGAAAATTTAGAGAAGGATAAGGAAGATAGGAGGGAGGTACCAGAAACAAGCAAGTTGAGGGAGTTAAAGACAAAATGTGAGTGAAAGAATAAGGATATGTCTATTTTGACATTGAAAATGTTAAAAATCATCTGTGGAAGGGACAGATACAAGAATTCAGATTCCATAAGTGTATTCTCAGCTGTGGTTCCACAGTCTTTGGTGACCCTCACGAACAACCTTGGACATTTTCCGTATCTCCTATGGCATTACCCCCACACAGTCCTTTGCATCTTTTCTTCTTCATTGGGGCCTAGTGGTGCTTTGCAGGGATCATTACTCCACAAAAGAATGTCTCAGAGGAGGCTGGGTTGCTCCTGTTATCGTAGCCTGCCACAGGGATTTCCTTGGAATGTAAAAAGTGTGTCTCTGTACTTTTGCTAATTAGAGTCCAAACTGTCTTTCCCTGCCCCACTTAACACTCTTCGGGTTATCCTGTACCTTTGCGATTCTGGTTTCTATCCATTGAAAATGGGTATGCTACACCATTGGCCCTTTCATCAACATTTCAAGTACTTCAAAATCTTACCTACACTATAGTCTTAAAAAATGAGAGAAAAGAAAAATGCTACAATATTAGATTTAGCCCATTTCTTATAAATATTTTTGTGACAGTTAGAAACTTAACATTGATTAAATAAGCAGATGTTTGTGTCCTTTTTCTAAATTTATCAGGGTAAGCACTATTTGGTAGTTTATTGTATTATGAACTAATAATAAACCAACCTAAATATCATATTAATTACAGTAAGTAGTTGGTTAAATTCCCACTGTGATTTTAAGAAAAACATGAAAAGTGACTTTTTTATATAACTTAAAGAAAATGTTGCTTGTAATATCTCCAAAGTACTTAATATTATTGACTTAGAAAGTTGCAATTTTTCCACTAACATTGTGTTTCATTTTGCAGAAAAACCCACATTAATGATCATTCTATTCTTTTGATTATTTTTAAAGGAATTACTAGCATTCAAAAATGGGTTATTAAGTTAATTAAAAATTAAAGAATATATAACTGCCATAAATAGAAATTCAGTAAGATACAGTTTTCCTTATGTTGCATACTGATCTGATATTATTTAGACACTTTATGAGTTTCTATTGCTTTTATGACTGACTTTTATTTTGAATCCTGATATAGTTGATGGAATCTGAACTACAATTAAAATATAGTCACTATTTTTTCAACCTATTCCTTCTGTTTCAATACACTAAGTTGTTTCAGTCAGATGCATAGAAAGTTAAATATATATAGTATCCCTTATGAAGAAATGATCATGTGTTAACTTAAGCAATGTAAGAATTGAACCAGTTTGAATATGTTTTGTAAATGGGCTACAAACAAACACAGATTCGAAATGGCCTCAGTGTTTTGGTACTCAGGATGTTGGAGACATAGATGATAGGGGGTTTAAAGAACTCCCAATGGAACTTTAAAGAAGCAGTGAGGTGAAATAACCAACTTGCTCATTATACACTGTCTTTCAGCAGATGAAATATCTGATATATACAACTTACTGGACCACTACATTTGTTTTTAGGTTCAATGGTAAATGGATGGGGCTCTGCATCTGATGAGGATCGTAACTTTTCTAGTCATAGATCTAGTGTAGGTAGCTCCTCAGATGGCTCCATCTTTGCCAGCGGCAGCTTTGCACAAGCATTGGTGGCAGCAGCAGATAAAGCTGGTTTTAGGCTGGATGGCACCAGTCTTACAAGAACAGGTTGGTAGTTTCCCAGTCAACACTCTTTGCATGAGAGAATCCTGTGCTCTGGACACTGCCCTTTCCTTCTGTTCTTTTTCTCAGTGAATCTAACTACAGGCTTTTTAAAATATGCATGAACACAGTTGGATAGATGCTCTCTTACTAGAACTCTCCTTTGATGATAATACTGCGAAGCCAAAACTAGACTCCTACTCACTACCTTGCTTATTATCCATCCTTTCTCGTCATGGCTCTGCTGGCTAATTGCAGTGTGCTTCTTTTTCATATTATAACAAAGCCACAGCTAAGATTGTCATTAAACTTTCAGTAACTCACACATTATAAAATCCTTACAAAATCAATAACGAACCTGGTGATTAAAATTATTCAACTTTTATCTCCACCATTTTATCTGGCCCCATTCCCTTCTGCAGGAGCACTTTCTGGGAAGGCTTCCTCACCATGGGGTGAATGGGTCTAAAACTCCTGCCTAACCATTCACGGTCCTAACTAACTAAGATTTAATATAATACTTTATGGTTTTAGAGGATGCTAACTAAAGATACACCAAATGCATTTGTGAATTTAAAAAGATAATATCTTCATGTGTATTGCTATTTAAAGTAAATTCATTTTGATTTCAAAGGGCAGTGAATAAAAGCATCAAAGTCAAATTATATAATTGCTTTGTGTATCTCATGCCACAGGGAAAAAGATATGTAGGATTAACTCTGGTAAAATATCAGTAATTTATAAGCATAAGGGTTTTTAAAACAGCCCTTATGTTTGTATATGTACTTTTTACCTGCACATAAGGAATATTATGTGCATTTACTATGCCGCCTTAACAAAATAAACTCATGAAATATCAAATGCACTCTTCAACTTAACGGTGATCAAATAGTAAAGAAAAATTACTTTGAACCTTTGCTACACTTTCAGGTGATAAAATTATGTCTTGGACATTGTAAGTTTTACCATCAATATTTCTTTCAAGTGTGCATTAGGTATTCTTCAAACCAAATGGAAGAAATTCCCAGGCATTGCAAAGGTTTATTTTTATCTAGCATCCAAACTAAAATATGTTGCAATATAACTGTTATTTGGATTTTTTCGGCAGAAGACATAAGTGAGAATCTTTATGTTGCCTGAGTGCTTTTTGTAGCATTTGCTATAGGCATAGATGGGAGAATGTACAAGAGAGCTAATAAATTAGAAGGCATAAGTGCACCAGCAGCATGTATCCTAATCGCTAATAAAGCATTAGGCAATATCAAGTCACAATGACTTAGGACAGTGAAACTACATATGATAATTTTGGGTAAAGTGAAAATATGCACAAGAGAATGTGTGCACATAAACCAGTCCTCTCTTACATGATAAACTTAGCAGTAAATTATTTCATTGTACAAAATGTATGAGCTGACCTTTTTTCCTGGAAAAAATCCATTCATGTATTCTAAGCTATCAAAAAGAAAATAGTACAATTCATTTAAAAATTAAAGTGCAGGATCCATTCAGATATAATAGTATGCTCAGAATACACCTATTACATTTTGGATATATATCAAGACTATAACCTGTTAGCTTCTATTGTATTTAGCCCTGCCTAAAGAGGTAGAATTCGTTGTATATGAACATTAAATAATAGGGTTACATGTACATCTCACCAGGCCCTTCATGTATAACTTCCAATGTAATTCTAAGACAATGTTTATGATTCTGAGTAAAACATGATGAATCAAATAAAACAGAAGTCATTTTTAATGCTCATATTTGGAGAAGTAAATGTGGCATGCATTTGCACAGATTTACAAAAGTATTGCAAGGATTGTTAAGGTATATAAAACCATGATCAAGCAAAGTGAAGCTTTTGGCTGGTAGGTTTATTTCAGGTTCATGTGCTCGAAATATGTTTTTGTTGGGTAGGGCGCTCTTAGCTTATTACAAATTGGATGAATTACAAGCAGCAGTTCATGCATTTTGTGCAGATACATAGTGGTTTTTGTAGCTTTGAACAACACCTCTGGGTACATTCAATAGGTAGTCTAGTAAGAGCAGAGGCACAAGGCGAGACAAAAATAGAGTGCTATAAGTGGTGTTCTCTATGTCCACTCCAATGGTTTTTGTTTCAGGAAAAGCCTTTACCTCCTCTCAAAGGCCACGACCCACCAGCCCATTCTCTACTGACAGCAATACCAGCGCAGCGCTGAATCAAAGCCAGCGACCTCGGCCCACCAAAAAACACAAGGCAGGGCGGATGGACACACAGCCAGTGTTACCTCATCGGAGGGAAGGGATGCCAGATGGTAGGTTTCTTGTATTAACTCTCATCTCCTCATGAAGAAATATGCTCGACATGATCACTAACTTTCAGTAAAGTAGCTATTGTAGCTGAGGTGTTGCCTCTGTATCACTTGGCAGCATGCCATATTTAAATAAAACACACTCTTTCCGATCATGTGAAATCTTTTGTTGTTGCTATGCCTCAGGAAAGATCTATAATGCTAGATCTTTCCAAAGTTTCAGCTCTTCTGAAAATTTCCAGCCTCTCATTGTAAGTGTAGAAAGAGAACTGTGTAGCATGTGCGTTTGTCACTGTATCAGGACACCTACCATCATCCATCACACATTAGTCTCCTCCAGCCCCTTTCCCTTTCAATCTGTGGAGCGATGTATGAAGGTTTATCATTTATGAAAGTTCATGAATTTCAGAACTAGAAGGCAGCCATTGGTCAAGAATATGAAAACTTTCTTTGTTGGGGTTTTGCAGTATGTTATTACCATCTAATAAGCAGTAGAAAACACGGAAAACAGAAATTTGTTTCTCAGTTTTAATGTCTAGAAAGTCCAACTGTTGAGATGTTGATGTTAGTTGAGAGACCTCTTTTATGGCTGTAGATGGTGCCCCTTATCATTATGACATCATATGAAAAGAAAAGAAGTCTCTCTGGTGTTTCTGATAAGGGCCCAGGGCAACTTCATGATCTAATGACCTCAAAGATGTTTCAGTTCCTAATACCGTACCAATAAATAATAGGATTAACTTCAATATAGGAATTTTACAGACATAATTATTCCACCCATACAAAGGCTCAATCTTTGTTTTGTTTTGTTCATTTTGTATTTTCTGTTCATGTTCAAACAGTAATTACTTTTGGCTTTGTGGAGCATGGGTTTTATACTCTAAATCTATGCCTTGTTGAGTGAGTGCACTCACAGAAAACTACATTTGAAAATATAACTGTGGTGTGACTCAATTTGTAGAATGCTTGCCTAGGATGAAAATGAAGCCCTAGATTGGTTAGCCAACACTACATAAACTGGAACATACAGGTAATCGTAGCACTTGGCAGAGTGAAACAGCATTATAAGAAGTTCAAGTTAGATGACAGTCTGGAGAAGAAGAAACCAGTTCTGAAAACCTACTAGTATAAATGATTTCAATAACACTTTATTGTTAAATGAACTTATGGCTGAATTTGAACAATGACATTTTATTTAAATAATTTTATTTGCACATAGCATCTATATTGAATAATTTCATTAAATATTGGTAGCTTCTGGAAGACATATATTCTCAATGATTATTTATTATGTCTACAGAATACTCCTAGTTATAATATTTTCAGCTCAATTTTCATGTCTTCTAAAAACATTTATCCTAAACTGTCATTCTAAGTTACTTAATGTTAAGTTACTTAATATATTTAAATTTCTCACTGGAACGTTAGAAGGAAAGATAAATTTCTGTTCCCTTCTCAAAGCATCTGAAGGGGATACCTAAACATTATTGTGAGATCGTTTTACTAAATATTAAAAGGATGAAAATAGCCTGCTGAAGGTTAGAACCATTTGCAAAGATCCTAAATTGTAACCTTCTGGTTCTATTGTAATTGTCTGAAGTAGACCCCACCTATGGGTATTTCTGTATCTCAGCTTAGAGTAGCCAGATCCTGGCATTAGTCCTTAGACTCACAAGCATGGGGTTAAACCTTGGCCAGAAAAGAATAATGGTTTTGTTCTTCATTTTTGTGGGGGATGAAACTGCAACCATTACTGTACTTGCTTTAAATCTTATCATGCAAAGGCTCAGAACACCAAGCATGTTTGTTTCACTGCCTCTCTTTGTTTCTTTGGGAAGTGTTTCCATGGAAAGTTGAGGATACGGGTGTATTCACAGGTGTGTAATTTGCTATCCCATGATGCACAAAAAATTGCTTGCCATGTCCTCTCTGCTTCAGATTCTCAGAGGATTAATTGATCACTTTAAGTCATTTTGTAGTGTTGATCTCATCCTCTCAACATATGAAATTCTCTCATCCATATGCTCATAGTAATCCCCAAATTAATAAGTATTCCTGATCAGATCATTCTGGTGCAGGAGGTCACTGCTTAGTAGCATTTACCGTATAGGCACTTTACACTGAAACTTTTGAACTATAGATTTTTATAATGGTCTTTATGAGCATAATAATTAGGGTAATTATTGGTGACTTTTTCTCAAATATTTAATCTCAGCATCTTATCATAATAACAATCTTATTGTCATTGACATAGTCATTTTTCAAGGTCGGATGACTTTCCTTTAAACAGTTACACAGGCTTTAGAATTAAGAGAGATTGGGATATCATGACCATTTGTGAGTGTGAGTGTGTGTGTGTGTATGTGGTGTGTGTGTGTGTGTGTAGGTATTTATGTTCATGTGTGTATGTTGAGGGATGCACATGTGTGTAAGCTTGCCTCATGCATGTTTAAACTGCCAGCTAATGACATGTGTCTTTTTAAACAGTTCGATATTGCTTTTCTATTAGAGATAGGGTGTTCACTGTTTCTGAAATTCCACCATTGTCCACATTGGTAGGCTTGAAAGTTCCAAGGATACTCTTGTTTTTTCCTCCCCAGCACTGGAAGCCCATTGTAGCACCTGCTTTTTTTTAATGTGTGTGCTGGAGGATAGAAACCATGTCTTAATGCAGAGCAGAAATATTACCTACTCACCCATCTCTCCAGCACTCAGCAACACCAATTTTAGAGTTGAACTTTGTGGTTTCTGAAGATAGAATGACAGATTGTTGTTGATAGTAGAATGTCCTAATAGCAAGCAGCACATCCCACTTTTTCATATGTCATTGTCAAGACTGCTGTCTCCTTGTGTCAAATTACCTTCTGAGGAAAGGAAGTAATTTTCTCTCTCTGTCCAGAGAGAGGAATTTGGAATAATAAGAATTGTCAGTTTCTGTCCCAAAGGCTATGTAAAAGCCCATACACAGTTATGGACATGCTTGTTTCTCTTGTGGAATGTCTCTTCTAAGCAGGAGCTGTTGAATGTGAGTCTTGTGTCCCTTGAAGGAAATATCCTGAGAAGTTCTGGATCAAAGATGGTAGATGGTTGGTTCCCCATCAATGTGTTCTCCTGAGATTATTTCTCTCAAACAGTTCTGTCTTTCCCCTAGCCCTTAATTCCCAATTAAGAGGAAAGTTCTTCCCTAGATCTTTGACAACGTGACCTTCTACAAATTTATGAGCTCATTGATCCCTACATTTAAACATTCAGTGAGCATATATTATAGGTATAACTCCTTAATCTCCTGATCCTTATATCTAGAAAAAAATCAAACAGATGTTCAGACCAATATAAATGTATAAAGTATGCCAATGGTCACTATTGCCACGGAGAGAAAGACAACAGAAAATTGTGATGTATTTAGGAGAACGTATTTGATTATAGGGGGTTTCAGAGAAAGCCTCAACAACAGCTTGACATATGAGAAAAGACAGGAATTATATGAGGAAAAGAACAGTGCTTATATCCATGGAAAGATCATCCTAGAAGCTGATACAGCAATTGAAATCTGGTGAAATCCTTTCTAAAGGGAGAAATAAATAAGATAGACTATGATACCAGGCAAGTAAAAAAGGAGCAATGTTTAAGGACCTGTATTTTGGAGAACTGTCATCGAGTTTTATAGTAAGTTGAATGGAAAATTCTTGGAAGGGTGTGTGTGTGTGTGTGTGTGTGTGTGTGTGTGTGTGTATGTGTGTGTGTGTGTCCATAAATGTATGTTTAAGGTAGAATGGTGGCCTAATCTATTTTAATATAAAAATATAATATACATTTTAATATAAAAAACTCAGTCTAGAATTAAGTGGCCCAAAACTGTAAAAAAATAAAGTTGTAGATCATAGAAGCAATAACTAAGTGTGGTTCCTGCCAAGATGGCATCAGTGAAAGCAATAAGAAAGGTAAGACACTGAAGCTGGAACTAATGGGGTTTGTATATATAAATTAATATAGGCCACAAAGAAAGGGATTCAAAGACTCTTTCCAAGTTTGGATAAATGATAAGAATGGAACTGAATAATACTAAGAAGAGGAACAAAGGAGTAGAAACATATGTCTTTATGGGATGATACAAAGCTGTGTTGAAATGTTAGTTTTGAGGTATTTTCTAAACATCTGATCTGAGCTGGACTCTGTGAACACAATTTCATGGGATGGATCTTATTTTTATAAGATTTAGGCAGGAGATGCTTGATTTCTTTGTGTTCCACCCCATCCATTTACCTGAAAAATATATGAGAATAATAAGGTACCTCTGTCATTGAACTGTCATTGCTTGACAATAGCTAACCCACAGTGGGCCACGGAGATACTCTAGTGAATTGACTTGCTTGAAATAATTCCACAAAGAATTGAATAATGAATTTAATTTAAGTAAATGTATTGTATTATATGCCTTTATTTTTTCCACAATCATCTATAATTCCATCTCTTTTCAGTTTATTTCAATGTATGTGCAATGTCCTTTTTTCTTAGAAGATAAAAATCTCCAAGGATATTATATAATTACAAAGCTCTATAATTTCAAGTCAGATTAAATAGGCATCAGAATTTTAGCTGCCATAAGCAAATGGCATTTTAGCCATTTTAGAAATTAAACAGCTCAGATGGAGAATAAAAATCAATGACAAGACATGCTATTTTGGAAGCCAATACAATCATCCCCCCCTGACAGACTAAATCCAATAACTCAAATGAAATAATTAATTTGCATTCGTAATAACACACAGCAAAGGAAGATAGTATTGAATGTAAAGGAAACCCCAAACTCATTAGATTATCATGCATACAGATAGCACATTATTGCATTAGCTCTTTATTTTGGAAGAAATGTTCCAAATACAATCCTATTCACCAGACAGCATCCCCCTTATCTCATCAATGACTACTAGCCTGTAATCTGACATGGAGACACTCATGAGAACTGAAAATGCTACTTCAACTTGGAACCCGAGAACAAATTTTCAACAAACCATTATTGTCTTTCCAATGGAAGATACTAATGTTTTCCTTATAAAATGAAGAGTAAAGTTTTTAAAGAAGGCCTTTAGTGAACCCTTCAGCTCTTTTTTAAGAGAGCTGGCTTCTTGTGTACAAAACATTGGGCTTTAGCTTTCTGATTACATAAAATAGCATTAGAAACAAAAATGTATTTATATAACAAGAATGAAAAATAATTGTCCATATTAAATGTAATATCATTCATTCATTCAACAAATATGTATTGTGTGATATGTTTTATAAATAAGCAACATAATTGAGCCAATAAATTAACAAAAGCTTGTAAGAAAAATTAGATGACACTGATATAAATGAACGTTTAGAAGATTTTCAAATCCTTACTCATGTCATTTTAGAAATAATATTAGGAAGATGTTAAAGGAAATATAATTTCATAATTGAAGACATTCAAAATATAAAGATGAAGTCTGAAGAGCTTGCAAAGGAAAGTGAAATTTTTGCTTATATTCAACTTTTAGTTTTTCTTCATTTCCAAAGTATAATTTTAAAAGCCTTTTTAGGCTACAGTCAAACCAGCCTGAATATGCCCAAACTCCTCTGAAAAGTTCCTTCAAAAACTTATCTCTTCCACTCCATCTCTAATTTCCACAATACATTGTCTACACCACTCACCATTTAGGATATTCAATCTGTTCTCTGAACATTGGTTATTATTTATTAAAATTAATACAAGGGAAGATTATAGTGCATTAGTTGTAACTCATTAGCTAACTCATGAAATGTGCAGGCAGGATCAGTTGTCAGGCAGGATGTTAATTGCATTTAATAAAGTTATCTTAACCCTTTGACTGCTGCTCAATGTGGCATGCACTTGTGCGAAGACAGTCATATGCTGCATATGATACGGACTGTAGTCCCTAATGTTGGCAGCATTATCTGTCCCATGGAGATCATTCAGAAAACTTTTGTTCTCAAGGGCTTTTACTGGTACAGCTGCTAGAATCTATAGTGTTATTTTTTCCCTCATAATATTTCTATCTTGAAGAGAAGGAGATTGAATATAAGCCACAAGCCATCCTGTACCTTGAATGTTAGCCCATAGTATGCTATTGAAACAGATGAATGAAAAGAGTCCATTTTTGTCTTGAAGATGTTATGGCAAGAAGATAAAAGACAGATTAATAACATGCATTTTGAATGGTCATTAATTGACTTTTATTTTCCATAAATATCTTTTCGTTGGGGAATACTTATAAGGGGGCAAGGTTTTTTTTTGTTTGTTTGTTTGTTTGTTTTCGTCTTTTGATTTTTTTCAATTTTTCAAATTGAACTTAAACTTGTATTTTTTGTTAAATCATAGTTCATTCTAAACATTATTCAAAATTTTTAGATCTTCCCCCACCACCAGATCCCCCACCAAGTCAGGGTTTAAGACAGCAGATAGGCCCGAGCCAGCATTCTGGTAACGTGGAAAATTCAACAGAGAGAAAAGGAAGCTCTCTAGAGAGACAACAAGCCGCCAACTTAGAAGACACAAAGAGCTCATTGGATTGTACAGCTAAAATCGCCCTAGAGTGGCAGCGTCCCACCCAGGACTGGATAAACTCTACAGAGCGCCAAGAAGACACACGGAAAGCCCCTCACAAACAAGGGGTTGGATCAGGTGTGTGCTGCACAATCCCAAGAAAGTGGGACTGTTATCACTTTTTCCCCTACCAGGTATTTTAGCAGTGACAATTGGTATGGGCATCTGGAACACATTTGCCTTAAATCTGTTCAAACTGGACTTCCTCAGTAGAACAACAGCACACATTCAGGGAAGCCTATTCCACAATTTAATCTGCATAAGGTTTTTGAACTTAGAAACCTCCAGGTTTCATCTGGAGTACTCAGAGAATAGTTTGATGCTCATGTACTTCAATGTCTGTATTGAGTAGTTTTAAGAACACTAAATTCCTTCTTTTGCATCAACTTAATCTCTATGGTCAGCAGGTTGATTGAAATAGCCACTCATTTGAAAGGGAGCTCACATCTTTTAAAAGGGGGAATTAGTTGAGCTCACAAAACTGCAAGTGAATGTTCAATCAGGTATCATAAAGTTAGAAAAGATAGAACTTAGCTCCTATGTTCTCCAATAGACTAAATGAGGTTCAATGTTAACATTTGGATGGGAAGAGTTCTTATTCATAACAAATTACTGAAGTCTCACAACATTAACCTCATACTTTCTGCTTGGATATTATTTGGGGGAAGTAAACTGTTATACAAATATATGTTTTGGGGGAGTATCCATTATTGCTTAGTATCTCCTAGAAATAAACACACAGATACACACTTCAGCAAAGCATCAATTCATGTATAGTGTGTATAGTATTCAGCCTTGTCTAAGTATGTCTTTGCCCCATGCACTTTCCATAATTATATTTTGTCATCATGTGATGCTAACATCTTAGAAAGTTCCTTTGTGAAAGGGCCAGAAAATGACAATCACAATATTTAGATTCAATGAAACCTTTTGGAAGGTTACCAGTTGTAGAAGAAATACTACCTGCCCCTTCTCATTAAAGGCCCCCTAAGGTGTTAAGTAGTAAATTCAATAAGCAGTTTTTATTCACTTAATAGTGACATATACCTAGAAAATTAGAAGAAACAATAGTGGAGTTGGAAGGGATGGAAGATAGAGAATGATTAGAATAATGAGAGGAAGAGTTCTAAGCATGAACACATTGATTATAACACAATTTATTTTTTGAATAGGCATATAAAAATAATATTAATATATTATAATTAATATTTAGTTCTCTTTTAATAGAACACAGAATCATTCAAACAATGGATTTCTGGCTCAAGAAATAAACAGAAATTTAAGACACTTATTTAATTCACTAATATATAGTCCTATTTCTAAAGAGATTGAGAGAATATTATTGTAATTTAAACTGAAGCAAAAAACCATGTTTCTTCAGTCTTTCTTGGAAAACATTAAACTGAGCTTCATTGAACTCCAGAAATCATTCTCAGACATTATTTTTGTTAAATAATGGCTCTTTTAAGCAACACTCTATTACAACTAATTTAAACCTTTGAAATACTATTCTGCACTTATCCCAGGCTATTTAGTTAAATCCCTCTAAATGTTTGTTGTAGAAAATGTTGTCTGCATGTGGAAATACCTTTGGTATCCGGGACTGATTAACCTCCTAATTTTAATTTTGCTCAAGAATGAAAAATATGATTGGGTTTGTATTTGCCCCCTGTGTTGCAGTTCAATTTAGTCTGTCATGGTTTGTTTTCTTTTTCAGAGGAGTCCTTGGTACCCTACAGCAAGCCCAGCTTCCCATCTCCAGGAGGGCACAGCTCTTCCGGAACAGCATCCTCTAAAGGGTCCACTGGCCCTCGGAAGACTGAGGTTTTGAGAAGTGGCCACCAGCGGAATGCCAGTGACCTTCTGGACATTGGATATGTGGGCTCAAATAGTCAAGGACAGTTTACAGGTGAATTATGTAAGTCATTGTGGTCATATTAAAGGCCATCATGACTCGGAAAATGTATTGGTCTAGAGGAATCGCTATATTTAACAAATTTCTGAATAATACAAAATTTCCTTTGGTAAAAACCAACCAAATTTCATTCAGGATTGGCTATAAGTTCAAGGATAGCTGATTTCAGCAGTCAATGATGCAAACATTTCATGATATTTCAAGTAGATTTAAACTGTACGCCATTCTTTTAATGCTGGTAATTAATCTTAGTACTTACAAGTTAAATATAATCCACTTAGTAGGGGCCTCTTTGCCCTTTTTAGCTGAGTACAATAAAGAAAAGGAAGCAAACTGCCCACTTGATATTTTGCTTCTTTGTTGTGATGGGGAATGAGCGTAATGTTTGCTATTTAGCACTAACATGTCCTCGTCCCTCTTGGTAGCTTTCACAGACCTTTTTAGCAGTTCCCACTACGTGAGTTCATCTTTATTTATTTTATTCTTTCATTTTCAAAATAAGGAGAACAGTAAAGTTTTTCTAAACGGACTTCCTCAAGGGAAATGTGGGTTTACTGGTGTTTTTGTATCAGTGTCAGGAGCTAGTTCATCCTGTGATGACAGCAAACTTCTGACAAAATTGCAGTTCTCTATGGATCTCAATTAACTACCAGCAGCTACTGCCACGTATGTCATCCTGGTTTGTTTACAACTTTTTTTGACTCACATATGCATGGATTCTTTTTAAACTTTCTTTACAGTGTAGTCTGATAAGTACCTCAAGAAAGCTTCATGTGCATCACCAATCTGTATGCTCCTAGGACTTCCCTGTCCTATGTCAATCTTCAAAGGAAATGGCTTAAACTCACAAATGCAATACTTAGCTCACAATCCTTTAGTTATTCTCTGGTGGCTTTGCTATTATTGCTAGTCAGAATAGAATAATATTTAAATATGAGAAAGCTATATTTATGAATTTTGGTTTTTTTTTCTCTTTTCAGAGTAACTGAGAGGGGACATACAAAGATGCTCTGAGGACCATCAGGTCTGAACTCATGGAAGTGATAACATTTAACAGTGCAATGAACAATTTCCTTATTTATGTCCTATTAAAAAACTGTAAATGCAATGTAAAGACACACAGCCACACATATCCCACAGTTATTTTCTTGTGTTCTCCTCTTAAATTACACCACCTACCTTAACTCTTTCTTGTCAGGAGTATATAAGAAAAAGAAAGAAAGAAAAACCCACCGTCCAGGAAGAAAAAGGATTTTCCTCTGTATATAATTTCTTTTTTTGCATTACTATGCAAGCTCACTCTTTTTAACTCTGTCCATATTATTGTCTGTTCTTATTGGTCTGTTGTACTATATGTGAATTAATGGGCTGTGGTGCCATATATTAACTTTTAATTGTGTAACTTTTATGTTTAAATTTTGCACTGCAATTTTATTTGGTGATAAGCACAAATCTCTACTCCTCATGACATGAAGAAATGATTGAATGTGAAGGGAGTTTTCTGTACTGTAAGTTAGGTTGGGTAATGCTGGTGTAACAAGTCCTGTGAGATGGTTTTCATTTGGGGTGTAGAATTAGGAAGATTCAAAGGAATGATGGTGTTGGCAAAGTCTTCTTGAAACATCAGATATTGAGTCAAATTTAAGATGCACAAAGATGGCTTTTACTATTGAAAAAAGCAGGGGTCAAAAGAAGGAACTTTAAGTCTAGGCAGAATATGTGTTGAAGTGTTCTGGTAGCAAAGATGTACTAACTTTCTTTAAAAATATAATTAAAGATTTATTTAGAATCAACTTTACCTGCCACTGTAATTGACACAATTGAGACTTACAATGAGCAAAATGGAATCAAGGTGTTTCATGAGATCTGTATTTATATTACAGCTTTTAAAAGACTGGCATTTTTGAATTAACATAATTAAGCTTTCCGACTCATTAAGTCAGAATATAACATGAAGTTCCCCAAGGAAACAAAGAAAATGAACTCTAGAAATTCTAGCAAATAGTGAAAGAAGCAACTTATTATTAGGACATACTCGGGCTACTCTTGAATATTGCAATATCTTCTTCATCTTTTTAATACATGTACAGTACTTACTAGAGGATGTAGCCACATCACTTAAGTTCATTACTTAAAAAAACTAATTCATGCTGCATACAATTTTGTGTTTCATTTAATTAAAAAGTGAAATCAATGCCACCAAATGTATAGCTAACTTGTAAGTACTTAAAGCCAGTGCTCGAAATATGTTCAGTTTACACTTAGTAGATTTATTGAACTAAATATTTTCTGGTACATTCTCAGTAACTGGCTACCAACAATATCTGTTTGACCCATTTTGAATGAGTAAATTGGAAAGAACAGTGAAAAGGGAGAAAAATGCATGTTTATACACTTTTTAAATAAAACCAAATCTTGTAAGTGGACATTAATAACAGTGTCCTGCCTCATTTGTTTTCACGACTTTGAGAACAAGGAGTTTCTGGACATCAATTATGTATGCTCAAGATGATTGTGACTTTGAAATGTATGTTAGCTACTGTACATGTATATAAGTCAAGTAGATGTTAGCCTTCCTGAAGTTACCAATTATGACATTTTCCCATGTGCTACCTACACAATCTTTAATTTGAGTCCAGCCAATATTATCTTTTATTTTTTTCCTTATGATGTTCAAAGATATTGTATGATAGTTCAAATATTCAGTTTTCAATAGGGGGCATTTTGACTGACAATACACACTCTGTAATATTGGCTCAGATGCCAATTTATATGACATTTATCATGTAGAGTGTACAAAATAAGTACATGATTCCAAGGCCACTGCAACACAGGCAAGCATAGAATGCAATGTTCTACATGGGTCTCAGAATTTTTCTTAGTGCCATATAGTTAACTTTCTTCACTAAAGGGACAAATAATTCTGACACACCCTTTAACAACTTTTTACCATCAGTGCCTGAATTTTGAAGTTTGATGTCTCTAGTACAAGGAAATGGGGAAAGTTTCTGTGAAAAAGAAAAAAAAACAGTTTCTGTGAAAAATAAAAAGGATTATCTAATTATTGTCAGTTCCAAGATACAATGAATTTTATTTTGCATTTACATAGTTCATGGCCTCTATTTAAAAGCATACAATCTTTTAAGAAATATATTTAGTTGTATTCTCAATTCATGTTCATGAATAATATAATTTAGTATAAAACAGTATACTACATATATGGTAACTGACATTTGCAGATTATTATCAAACCAAGTCACAAAAAATGATATCTGCAGATCACATTTGAGGTGAATTATTTGGGGTTATAGTACCATGTCTTCCTAATTGTTTTCAGTATAAAATCAGACTATGATCACTGCAAAAGCTTGTATCCAATATCTGTCATAAAGACAGATAAGATGCTATGGTAATTTGAATTCAGGCATACTATCTAAAACAAAAAGCCTTCATTGTCTAGGTATTTGTACAAATCCATTCAGCATTAGTGTTCAGATTGTTGACAAGAGAACATACACCTCGTGAGAGTCCCATGTCTTCCCCTTTTGTAGTTGATTGAATGTCATAGGAAATCAACTGAGTTCAGTCCTCTGTGAGCCTGAACAGAAACATGCATAAGCCATCAGAAGGAATTCTGGGTGGGAAAGAAGCCTCATTTTTGCTCATAGGCAATACTGCTGTGTAGTCATGCCAGACTCAAGTGCAACTTCTTCCTGAACAGGCAGAATCTTAGGGAATGCCATGATAGCAGCACCCAAACTCAGGTATGCCAGTGTAAACAGTGGAGTCGGCCTACCCTTTTCATGCCATTTTACAAAAGTAACTTAGGAGAGGACAGAGCTATGAAAACAATGAACTCCACAGGGTTTAGGATCAGCTTAAGGAAGTACGTAGGAAATTCAAGACCAATGTGTAAGGCATCACAAAACCAAAGTGAAATAAAACCTTGCAAATTTACTTACTTTGACTAACAAACAGATCTATTATGTTCTATGTAGCTCAATGTTCTACGTACTTAAATACATTTTCAATGGGATTTAAATTGCAAGTTATGTGTGATTTCATGGAATACAACGAAGTTCTTAATGAATTTAAGCATTTTTTTCATTGATGATAAAACAATTACCACATCAATGAGCTCCCAACCTATAGAACCACAACATTCACTACAGTTAGTTTGCTCATCTACTTCTGTATATTGTGCAAAAAAAAAAGGAAAGGAAAGAAAGAAAAGAACTTGTCTTTAGATATTACCTGGGAGTTGAAATGATTTTTTACTTTGCTTTGTCATAAAGGGTACTTTAAATGAAACACCATACATTTTTAAATGACACACAGTTTGCAAATATTTTTTACTCTAATAATTTTACAAGTGTTCATTGTGATTTTAAGGTGTTACAAGATAAGGGATTTTGTGGCCGTGGGTAGACTTTTTATACTTTGTTTTATAGATGGATTTTTCTCACTGTAGTTTGAGTCAAAAATAGTATCCCAAATCTTATTGTGTTTCTTTTAATGTTGTTAGATGATCAAAGAAATTGGCATAAAATTGATTCATAGTATTGTCAAAATATGTGTATTGTGTATTCACTGGGAAAAATAAAAATATATTCACATTTAAATTTTGCAGAAAAAGCCATTTATGTAAAGCAAATTTGTCTTAGAACTCTGTGAATATTTTGAGGCCCTATTCATCTATTTTTTCTAATTCAGAGATGGATATGAAGTGCTAAGTAGAAAATTACGAAGACAAGGTAATTATGACTAAAAGATACCAGTAAAGACTAAAAGTATTAGATTTATTCACCCTACTCTGGCAGCACTAATTTCCAGACCTATTGTCTCCCCCACAAAGATGTTTAGGTAGGCAGTAAACTGAACAAAATGATTTGATCAACAGAATTACTATACTGCTATTTTGAAAGGTAAGTTAACTCAACTGGAGGCAAGTGGCCCTTTTTTGTTTGTTTTAGGAAGTTTATGATGCATCTCTGTGAGGGCATGGAAGATTGACACATCAACTCAGGGAATGTGTAAAAAGAAAATTACTCACTTTTGTGTACTCCATGAATATTTCATTCTTTCTAATTAAAAAATACAATTATAGGCCTTGATTCTTGTCAAAAATAAAAATGCATTTGTGTCATATAATAATCACAGTAACAATAAAAATACAGAAGAAAAATGGGAAAATAATTTAACACTGAAATGTTCATTTAAAAATATCTTAAGGAGCACATAGTAAAAGGGCCACGTAACTAAACAAGATACTATGACAATAATTATAAATAATGTACACAGTACAGTAAAAATATATATGCATGTAAATTAATAATGAAATGGAACGGTTCCCTGTGTTTCAAATAGTAGAAGAATGAAAAACTGCCACTGCTTTACTGAATCTCTATTGTGGAAACACCAAGACAAGGGAAATGTGTAAAAGTATCAACACAGTTCATGTGTGATTTCTTAGTGATTGTATGTACAAACTCGAGAAAAGAAATGTCATAGTTACAAAAGAAAGCTCACACAAAACATAATACTATATGCCTTCAATTTATGAAAACCTACTTTATTTTGTGCAGATAACAGTGCAACAGGTATCAGGCTAAAATTGCGTATCAGAAGAAATGAGAAATAATACCAGATACTAACAACAAATAGATTCAAAGGATTAAAAGGGAAAGTCAGCTTAAAAGTGTAGCTAGTGGGATCAAAATACACACGTGCATGCTCACACACACACATACACACACACACACACGTGTATATGTGTACTGTAAAGCTTAGCCTTCAGCCTCATAGACACATGTAAGGAATTGGGTGATGGGTCTCATAGACCTGTTCATTACTATAGCTACATGTATAAGAAGAATTAGGAAGGTAGCTAGCCTTGACATTATCTAGTCAACATGTTTTGTTTTTGCAGTAGAAAACTATGGGAGAACATGTGTGTGTATGTGTGTGTGTGTGTGTGTGTGTGTGTGTGTGTGTGTGTGTTTATAGAGATACAGTACTGTATGTTTCTAGGATATCTGATATTACCACAGTAACTGATTATATACTCAGGCATATGGTTTTGATATATATGTCTTATTTGTTTCTTATATATTTGAATGATTGCATTATATCACAAAGAAAGATACATCACACTCAAATAGTACAACCTTAAGCTAGGACATTTATCTCAGACAACTGCAACTGTCCTTTCCCATGCCTTTTACCTATACCGAATGCCTTGCTAGATCTAGTCTTTAGGTAGAAGACAACATTTTTCTAGACAATTTATTCTGACGTTTTTCTAGGCAATATTTTCAGTAGTTGCATCTGATTAATCTGATTCTTTTATTGTTTATTCACGTATTCCATTTGCAAGGAAGAATGCTGATTCTGAGCTTAAATATGCAGAGTACTTGAAAGGAAAGCAACCTTTGTTTTCAGAAGTAGATTAATATCTTCTGTTAAATCTTGCCCTGGTTTCTAGGAAAGCATCAGTTGATTAATGGTTTATGCGAAGAGGAAAGACCAATACACAGAGCTTTCAAATACATTCCTAAGCAAGAAACTCAATGCCAACTTTATTCACATTTCACACTACCCTTATATTATCCATGTTTCTAGTCATTCTGAAAACTGTCTATGGAGTAGTAGTGAATATTTAAAATAAGAAGACAAGGTGGGCATTTTTATACTAAATTACTTCTTTACAAGACTCTTAAATATTTTAAAATATTTAAAAATTATATTTATTGAGAGAGAGAGGGTGGGGGTACATTTATTTGAATTTACCCAATTTGTTTACAATGACAACAGATCCAGTGCAATAAATAGCTCAAAATATTCAACTGAATACGATTTGCGGGAAAAAAAAAGATGCTGCTGAGCAACTATTATTCAGGAAAAAGTATGGATAAGGGAAAGGAAAGTGGCCTGAGAGGGAAAGATGCATGATAGTCATTAGTCATTTAGTCTTGAAAGTAGAAAAAAAAGGCTAAGAATGTTGTATAAGTGTGAAAGCATTACATTCTTTCCCAAAGGAGAAAAAATTCTCCAAAACAGTAGCAGATAATTTAAAAAGAAATAAGATAACAGAGTTAATGTCCACAGCTGAAAATGAAATAAAATCTTACTTGAGTCTATTATAAATGTTTATATCTTGCATGCTATATAAATTTGATATAAATTAGTGTTAGAATGTGTGTGTTGTGTGCAAGAGAGCTACTGTTTTAGTTTCCAGAATTCAAAGGAAATTTAAAATTGTACAATGAGGATACAGACCTCTTTTCTTTGATGATATTCAAACTGAAAATATGGTGTTTATTTTCTCATGTTTCATGTAAAAATGAGAATAATCCTTAAAATGTATGACATAGTCAATAAGGAAACAGAGACACAAATATATACATAAATAAATGTATGCACCTTCCATAGG